TACGAATGATCCTGGAACCCCTCGTCGAAGCTGGCAAGGAAGGTATAGAGATCACCGGTGGAGACGGCAAGGTGCGCCGTGTGCACCCCATCCTGGCCTCGTACGTAGCGGACTACCCTGAACAGTGCTTGGTGACCTGCACCAAGTATGGGACGTGTCCGCGCTGCCAGTGTCCGGAGAACGCACTGGACGATTCCTCTCCCGGTACGCCTCGCACGAAGATCTGGACGCTGGACGTTCTGCGCAAGGCGCGCTCAAAGGGCTCCAGGGACTCTGCTGCCTTTGCGAAGGCATGCAAGGAATTCAACGTCTCAGGCTATTGCGTCAAACCGTTTTGGCAAGACCTTCCCTTCACAGACATCCATTCCTGCATCACGCCCGACGTGCTCCACCAACTCTACCAGGGAGTATTCAAGCATCTGGTGGAGTGGAGCACAGAACTCATCGGTGAGAAGGAGCTCGACCAGCGTATACGGTGCCTACCCCCTGCCTACGGTACCCGTCGTTTCAAAAACGGCATCTCCGCCCTTTCTCAGGTCTCCGGTTCCGAGCGCAAGGACATCGCTCGCATCCTGCTCGGCTGTCTCGTTGGGCGCATCCCGAAGGCCGCCCTCCTTACTTTCCGCGCGCTTCTGGACTTTATCTACATCGCCCAATACCCCACGCATGACGATACCACCCTTTCGTACCTTGAGGACGCTCTGAAAACCTACCACAAGAACAAGCACGTCTTGAAGGAACTCGGCATTCGTGAGCACCTCAACATACCTAAATTTCATTCGCTCCAACACTACGTCGATTCCATTCGATCTCTCGGTACTACGGATAATTACAATACTGAAATGTTCGAACGTCTCCATATAGACTGCGCCAAGAAGGCCTGGCGAGCCTCTAACCACCGCGACGCTCGTCCACAGATGGTTCGGTGGCTCGAGCGTCGCGAGAAGATATTCGCGTACGAGGTCCTTCAGGAGCGACTTGCCGAAGAAGAACTCGCTGCTTACGATCGGTTACACGAAGACGACGACGACGGCCCCTCGGACGAAGCAAGTACTACTGCAGGCGGACGTACCGGTAGTCGTGGCAAAAGAGGAATCAAGTTAGCTGCGCAACCGTCTGTTCGCCAGCAGTCCCTACCCTCCATCCAAGAAGCACACGCCGCACCGGGTTTCACGCAAGCTCTATCGCAACACGTCTACACTCTGAAACTGGGACGTACACTCACCAATCGTGAAGCAGAGAAGGCTGCGACTTACCTCCCGTTCGCACGCGTGGACGTATTCCACAGTTTCAAGCTCAACACCGAATCTTTAGAGGATGACCAGCTGGAGGACGACGCGGTGAAGGCCAAACCTGCGCGCGGTGACCAGTGCGCCCGTTTTGACACCATCGTCGTACTTCGAGGGGAAGAAGGGGAGGCGACTGGGTTACAAGGTTAGTCTCCTTCTTCAAAGTCTACGTCTGCGTTGTGCTGAAAATGAGCTCTCAAAACAGGGACACGAATCGGAAGGCTACGCGTGGTCTTCCGCCTACCCAAGACCATTCGCGATAGGCACACGTTTCAGGAGGTCCCTGCGCCGTCCGAATGGGCGGAACAGGGGCCTCTTGCGTACGTGGAGTGGTACGCCAAACTCGCCCCTCATGCCGATCCTGTACATCTCATGTACGATGTTAACAAAATGCCGCTTCGATCTAACGGGACGCCCTCCGGCGAGATAGTCCCTTTGAGTAGTATACGCCAGAGTTGTCAGCTAATACCTCGTTTTCCCTCCCTCACTTCTTTAGAAATCTCCACACTTACGGTACCTAGTCATTGGACTTCTGATTCTGTACTAGACGACGCCTCACGATTCTTGCTGAACAATTGGGCTAGTAAGTTTTCTTACCAGACTTTGTGGTAGACGTGTTGGTACTACTTGGCAGAGATAGAAATATTTTTATTATATCTCTCCTTACAAGAACGCTACTACAGTGGACGAGCCAGACAGAGTACAAACGGAACGAGCAGGTGAGTGAGACGGCGGGCGGGGAGGTGACGCACAAGCGAGCGGCAGAGGAGCGAGACGGCAGACGGACAGACAGCGGGCCCCGTATCCGCGCGGGTCGCTAACCCGTCCTACGGGTACGGATACGTCGCGGTTATCCACGGGTCATGGCGGGTAGGAGTATATACACGGGTCGCCCGCCCGGTTATCTGCACGCCCGCCCGCTCCCTCACCTGCACGCCCGCTTCTCGTCCCCTTGCACACCCCCTGACCCACCCTCACCTGCACCCATCCTCGCTGTTTTGTTGCGCTCACGCTCGACCTTGTGCGCGTGGCATGCGTTCGTCGGCCGTGCTTGCGTGCTGGGCATTGGCCCTGCCCGCTCGCAGTCGCCGTGCGTGTCGCCTGCGCGCCTGCTTGAACCGCAGGTCCGCTCCGACTTCTCGGACGCGTTGGAGAAGCGGCGGTGAGGGGTTGGTGGGAGAGCGCGTCACCGTGTACGTGTCTTGTTCCCTAGGTGTCGCTGCGCCCTGTACCCGCCACCCGCTCGCCTGCACCGTCATCTACCGTCCGCTCGACGTTCGTCCGCTCGCCCGCCCATCTTCCCACCATTCTGCCCATCCGCCGGAGAGCCCTCCCGTGCCTTCACTTGTCCACCCGTCCATTCATTCATTCTTGCGGTCATTGCCTCGGCCGTCTGCTCACCTATGCGCCTGCTTGATGCTCGTACACCTGCCCGCTCGCTTGTGCGCGTCTTCGTTGGCCGTGTCTGTGCACTGGGCATTCACCCAGCGAGCTCGCGGTCGGTGTGTGCGCTGTCCTGCACAGTGTTACGCCCTGTGCTGGTAGTCAGATTGCTCGCTGGCTAGCATCTGTACTCACCTTCTCTCTTTCACTGACGCGCCTGCTATCCGCTCGTCGTCTGCGCCTGCACGCAGGAAATTAGCCCTGCGTGCTCGCGGTCGTCGTGCGCGTCGCACTGCACGTAGCCACGTCCTGTGCTTGATGTTAATGAGCCTACTCGTGTGTCCTGACTCACCTCGCCCTCGCCCGTCCGCGCCGTCTGCTCGTCGTCCACGCTTGCTGTCTGCTCGCCGTCCATGCCTGCCGTCTGCTCGTCGTCCACGCCAGCCGTCCGTTTGTCGCTGCGTCCAGACCCGTGGCGAGTTTGTCGGCCGCGTTCGCGCGCGCGCGTGCGTGCTCATCGTCCGTGTGTGCGCCGTGTTGCCTGAGGTCGTGTGCGTGTCTACGAGGGGAGAGGGGCAGGCTGGGGGAGCAGGGGCAACCACGCGAGTCGGGGCCTGCAATGCACTAGCTGGGGTGGAGGAGACGGTAGAGAGGACGGCGGTCCGAGAAGTGCGCAAAGTTGCGCTTGCGATCGAGATCGAGATCCGTCCGGGTCCGTCCGGGTCCCGGAAGTCGCCCCGCAAACTCCGTGTCCTGCGCGACCGACCACTTCAACGGTATCTCGTCTCTTCATCTCGTCTCACCTCTCTTGTTCTCGCCCTTCCCTGCTGCGCACAGCATGCCACCGAAGAGAAAACCTCGAGACAAGGAGGTCCAATACCTAGGCTTCCACCGCGTCGACGTCGAGAAGAGCGCGGTCCACGTAAAGAAGCTCGAGGAAGACGGATTCGTTTACTGTGGGTACCAGAACACGGTAGACTACACAGACGTCCCTCTACCGCCTCGGCTACGAGTCAAGAAACTCAAGCCAAAACCGGTCGTCATAGTCATCTCTTCCGACAGCGAAGACGAGAGGGGCGAAGGCGAGAGGATGGCAGTCAGCGTTGCCGGGCGGTCGACCGCGGCGTCCAGCTCGACCGCGGCGTCCAGCTCGACGGCAAACAGCAGCGTGATCACGTCACAAGGGTCGCACAAGGTGAATGTGAGAACTTCGTTGCTCCGATTCACCGTGCTGACTGCAACCTCTTGCTTGACAGTCGGCTCACCAGCCTACCCACACCAAACGCGCGACTCCCAGAGAGTCTTCCAACCTCCGGACGAGCAAACGACGCAAGAAGGATGAAACGCGTGGGCCAGACCCGACATCAAATCATTCGCCAAAACGCAGGCGGTCGGCACGACGCAAGCCATCGACCTCGATTATACCTGAAGACCAGTAAACAACGGCAACGTCGTCAAGTCAAGGTAAGTAGCTAAGTTCATTTCTCTACAGCTCTAATTATGTAGTAGAGGCGACTGCAGCTCGGACGCACGGAACATCACGTAGGGCGGATTGAAGCTGGGAGAGGTGGAGGTATAGGACGCTGAGTTTGTACCAGCCCATGAATGGATGCGTATCTGGTTGGCACTACACGACCTCGAGGCGCACAAGAAGGGCATTCGCCGGGTGGCGTCAATTCCTTCGGTTACATGGCGAGGACTTTGGGTCCCCAAGACGTCTTGCAAGTCTTGCTCATGAACCTCCGTGTGCAGGTACGGCAGATGTCTGCCGCACGGTCGCCGTCGCCATCGTGGCCGAAACTTGCGGTCCCTTCACTTGTATTCCCGCGATTCTGAACGAGTACCGGACTCCTGAGCTGAACGTTTGCACCAGTTGCTTGAAGGCGCTGTCATTCGTCTTCGAGTACGTAGGACGGCAGCCCGCGTACTATGCCCCTTCTGTGGTCCCCATGCAGGAGGATGCTCTCACCGACCGTGACCTCGTCCATTGGCAGACAGCAAGCACCCTCGTCGAGCACCTCGCCCTTGGCGTTGCCGGCCTCGAATGCGAGGATTCCATCTGATGAAACTCGTATGGCCGAACCGCTTAGAGACTGCACGTCATCGGCGCGGTCATGGATGCTGTCAAGGCCATGCGGGTGACGCTTGGCCCTGGCATCTTGCTCAGCTACGTTTTGCAGGGGTTGTTCCATCCGACGCGGAAGGTCTGCGATCCTTATTGGCGTGTCTATAACTAAATCACCCTACCGGTGTGCTCCTTCAGTGTCGCCCGTTACACCCAACCTCTCCCCTTCTGACTCATGCGTCAGCGATGAACAGCCCGCGTACATGATGATGCTCTCTACTGAGCTCGTCAACGAAAGCTCGCCCGCACACGTGAGGAACGCGGCGGGTCTCACTCTTAACAATGCTCTGACCACCCGTGTAAGTGATGAGATCATCCCACCTCCTCTAGCCCTCTGTCCTAACCCCCGACCCAGGAAAGTGCACGACAACTAGACTACTCTAACCGATGGCTCACGCTCAACGAGAGCACGCGCAACAAGGTAAAGCAAGATGGCATGATGGCCCTCGGCTCGACCAACACGAAAATCAGCACCGTCGCCGCCCAGATCGTCTCTGCCATCGCGTCCGTCGAGCTCCCGCAGGGCCAGTGATCCGAGCTGATCGAGATTCTCCTCGGCTTCGTGAACAACCAGTCCAACACGAACATGCGCATCGCAACGCTCCAGGCGATTGGCTTCATCTGCGAGACCATTGTGAGTGTGTTGGTAGCAGCCACGGACGCCACATGTTGACTCTGCGCGCCAGAAACCTGAGATCCTGGCAATGCGCTCGAACGAGATCCTTACGGCTGTCATCCACGGTGCGCGTAAAGAGGAGCCGTCTGCAGATGTTCAATTGGCGGCCATCACCTCTTTGTTGAACTCTGGAGTTCGTACGCGAGAACTTTGAGCGTGAGGTGAGAGCAGACTTATATGCTGTGTCTATCACTGCTGACAATGGCGTAGGGCGAGCGTAATTATATCATGCAAGTTGTCTGCGAGGCGACACAATGCAACTCCGTACCCGTCCAAGTCGGCGCGTTCGAGTGTCTTGTGAAGATCATGACCCTCTACTACGAGAAAATGAGCTTCTACATGGAGCGTGCTCTGTTCGGCGTAAGTCGTGATTCACAATCGCCACACCAATTCGTTCCCCTCATTCTGTTCATTCAGCTTACTGTGATGGGCATGAAACACACGGAGGAAACCATCGCCCTGCAGGCTGTCGAGTTTTGGTCGACTGTCTGCGAGATCGAGACGGATTTGGCATGGGAAGCCCAAGAGGTGTGTCTCCGAGATTACCGGAATAGCCAAATACCGACCACGTACGGGGATAGGCCTCCGAATACGGCGAGCTGCCCGAAAACGAAAGCAAGTTCTTCGCGAAGATCGCGCTGCCCGGAATTGTGCCCGTACTACTCCAGCTCCTCACGCGCCAGGAGGAGGACGGCCAGGAAGATGAGTGGAACATCTCCATGGCGGCAGGGACGTGTCTGGGCCTGCTCGCGCAGGCCGTCACGGACACGATTGTCCCCGCCGTCATCCCATTCATCGAGGCAAACATCAAGGCACAGGACTGGCACCACCGCGAGGTAGCCGTTATGGCGTTCGGCTCAATCCTTGAGGGTCCTGACCCAACCGTGCTCACGCCCCTCGTCAACCAGGCGCTGCCGATCCTGATCGACATGATGAATGACCAGAACCTGCACGTCAAGGACACGGATGCGTGGACGCTTGGCCGGATATGCGATCTGTTGATCAACACAATCAAACCGGACGTACACCTCCATCCGCTCGTGTCTGCGCTCGTCAACAGCCTGCAGGATAACCCACGCATCGTCGCGAACTGCTGCTGGGCGTTGATGAACCTTGCGGACCAGCTAGGCTACAGCGAGGGCGACGACCAATCGGCGGCGAACACTAACCCGTTGTCGCCGTACGTCGACGGCATCGTGCAGGCACTGTTGCATGTGACTGAGACGTGAGTACGCATATATGCTTTGCGACGACGCATCTCATGGTGCGCGAACAGTGCCAGCAACGAAGGCAACTACCGTACCGCTGCGTACGAGGCGATCACATCCTACGTTACGCACTCGTCCGCGGATACCATCCCCGTTGTTCAGAACACGGTGGTTGCTATCCTTGCGCGGATGGAGCAGTTGCTTGCCATGCAAGTGAGTCAACCTAAGGTCAATGAGGCTCTGCGGACTGGAGCTTACCCTTGTCCAGAATCAGATCGTCGGCGTCGATGACCGCAACAACTGGAACGACCTGTAGAGCAACTTCTGCAGCGTCATCATCGTGCGTATACGAAGTTCATCGTATGTTCTGGTGACTAAATGCGCCTGCTTGGAGTAGAGCGTTACGCGCAAATTGGGCGAGGGCATCCAACCACTGGCTGACCGCATCATGACCCTCATCCTGCAGCTCATGTCTGCAGCAGGAAAGACCTCGACCATTCTCGAGGACACCTTCCTCGTCGTCGGCTCGCTCGCAGCCTCCCTGGAGCAGGGCTTCTCGCCATACATCTAGGCGTTCCTCCCCTTCCTCTACCCAGCGCTCAAGGCCTTCGACGACACCCAGCTGTGCACAGTCGCTGTCGGTGTTATCGGCCATATCTGCCGTGCGCTCGGCGAGCACAGCACGCAGTACTCAAACGCATTCATGGGGGTGCTGTTGGAGGACCTGTCGAGCAAGGTTCTGAACCGCGACGTGAAGGTGTCGATCTTGTCGTGCTTTGGGGACATCTCGCTGGCGATTCAACGCGTCATTCAAGGCACTCCGATGATGCACCGTCCGGCGCAAGGTCGAGTCGCTGCGAGGAGAGGAACATAAAAGCCGACAGGGAAGACAGGAGAGTCAGGACGACTCTAGTGAGTTCCTCCGTCCATCTCCTCCCGCCATCCTAGACTACACGCTCTCGCATCGCGCCCTCGTCCTTGTCCGACGCGCCCATGGCCTCGCCACACGTCCCCTCACTCGCGCCTCCATCTACCAGGCTCACGCGCCAAGTGATGGAGTCCTCCGTCGACGCGTGTTCTTCGTCCGACGGGGGACGCGAGTCCACGGTCCCTTCGTCTCTTCACTCGCCCTCGCTCTCCTCGCGCCCCAACCACCCGACGGCACGCGGAATCACGAGCACGGATGCGCTGCAGAGCGAAGACCGGGTCATGTGGAACCTCCGCGCACCCGCTAGTCACCTCGCTGCAGCAAATTTGGCGGCAAGTACGGCCGCGAGCCCATCGCTCGCACCCTCGCGAGCATCGCGAGCCTCAAAGTCTCCTGAGGACGCCCAATCGACTGCCTCGAGCTTCCACCCTTCAGCCGCCCTCGAGAAGTCTCGCGCAGAGGATCGCATGGACAAGCACCGCGCAGCCCGGAATCGCCGCGCGCCCGGTATCAACCCCTCGACTCCGCTCTCACTCGACGCATCAGTACCCCCCGCACGCAGCGTCCATCTCCCTCCGCCATCCTCGACTCCACGCACTAGCGTCACGCCCTCACCCACGGCCTCGACCGACTTGCTCACAAGTACCACAAATTACCCTTGGTCTCCCTCTCCTCCTTCCTCGCGTCTCGCGCTTCCGCTATTGTCCGACACGCCCCCGACATCCTTCTCGCGACTCGGCGACTCGGCGACCTTCCAGGTCCTATGCGTGGACGACCCACTGGATGAACACCAGGCCGTGCGGAATGTCCGGGCGCCTGGTGCCACAGCCAACTCAATGCACGGAGACCGACGGGCTACCACCAGCTCCACGCGCGAGGACGAGCAAGTCCAGGTCTGGGCGCCGAGCAAAGCGGAAACGGTCGTGTCAAGACTTTCTGAGGAAGACCTGTCCATTGCAGGGATGCATTCTTGCGTGAGTGGGACTGGGGGGCTGCCAGAGGCGAGAACACGAGACTGGGAAGTTAACAAGGTAGAGCAACGAACAAGATCGACTACGGAAGGTAATACCGCCCGTCTCCCTTCACTATCCTCGCCTGCTAGCCCGCGCTCCGCACTCCTTGCCTCGCTCGACATGCCCCCTTCCTTGCTCAATGTGCTTGCATCCATGCGTTGCACCGTCTCGCCCCCTTCCGTTCACGCGGCGCCACTGGATACCACCCACACGGCCGGCCTGCAAGAAAGGTACCGGGCTGTGCGGAACGTCCGCGCGCCCGGAAGCCGGCCTGCCTTCACCGTGTCCACGCCCGACGTCGAGCAGCCGCGCGACATCAAGTCCGCCCCGCCTACACCGACTGTATGGCCTCGAGGAGACGTTCCGGCTACTGCGACGAAGCACTGCGAAGGGACGAGTAGGGAGATCAGCAGAAAGGAAAGGAGAGTCAGTTCGACTCTGGTGAGTGCTACACCATCTCGCACCATCTCGCCCTCCCTCACTCTCTCTTCCGCCCTCGTGTTATGTGAGACCACACTCGTCCGACGCCTCTGCTTCCCTTCACCATGCCACTCGCTCCAACCTCGCCCACTCTGGTCAGCCAACCGTCGCTCAACTCGCCCGCGACGCCTTCAAGTTCCGGTGCCCCACTGTTCGACTTACCTACGTACGTCCCTCGAACACCTGCCACAACGTCTCTGCCATTCACGCGCAGATCTCGGACTCCTCGTTCGACATCTGCTTCGAGGAACTCGGCAGTGACTCGAAAAGCGAGTACCTGGTACTCGCCCCACCATCACCACCCCCTATTCCGATACCACTACCGATCGCGTCCACCCCGAAGGTCGTCGCAATCAACAGTGGTCCATCAACACCACGGAGCGACGAGCTTGATGTAGGTGCCGCTGAGCACCCTTACGAGCAGTGCGAGTACCATAGGGTACCCACGTCTCCACCTGCATCGTGGTGCAGAGGGTGCCGCACAAGGACTTGACCTCTCTACTGTCAAGGGCGAGTACCTCACGGTACTTGACAACTCACCTCCTGTTGTTGCAGTGTCCCCGCCGTGTCACACTGCAACAGACCTCGATGAAGATACAGACGAGCTCAATCCCGCGAATCACAGCCAGTATACGTCTACGAACAACAGACTGCACCCGAGTTTGAATGGCGACCGTCGGGACGCTACATGCTACCAGCACGTCGCGTCCAGCAAGACCGACGCGAGCCGGCCGTGTTCTTCGACGACGAGCACCAGCCCGAGTACCACGAAGTACTTGGCGCGTCCAGCGAACGAGACCCGGAGCTACCGCCGAGCACATCCATCTTGGATGTGCTCTTATCTTCTCCGAACTCGACACTGTCGAATGGATTAACGCAGGTCGAGGACAATATACCGGTAGGTCCAGGAACAGCAACACCTGGCGAGACCGAGTCCGCATCCAAATGCCTGGACCACATGGTGTGGCAGGCACCTCACGTACCCCGAGCGAGGTGCCCGCGTCAACACTGGCATGTGCGACGACAAGGCTGTCGTCGCGCGCCCGGGAGCGGATCAAAAACTTACGGCTACCGCCTGGGGAACGGAAAGCCCAGCCCGCGCGAGGACGGGAATCTACAGACGCAGGGCATGGTGAAGCTACCACATCCACGGAGTGGGACTCTCCAAAGAGGGGAAGGGAGCGGGGCCTCGAGAGATACGTATCCTGCTGGTCGTGTCACATACCTTGCAGCTCGTCGACCTCGTCAACCGCGACCTCGTCAACCGCGACCTCGCCGTCCTTCTCTTGCTCAGCGGTCCGCGCTGACTTCGCAGCGGCTCTTGAAGAGGACGGTTTCGCCGAGGACGGTTTCGCCGAGGACGGTTTCGCCGTGGTTGGACGCGATGTTGACGGCCCACTGGCAGGTCTGGACGGTGACGCCGGCTTTGCGGCCTGTTGCAAAGCCGTCCAGTCCATGAAGTTCTCGTCTGGCTCGTCGTCCGACTGATCGCTGGTGATGCCGTCGACACGCTGACTGCAGATCATTCTTGATCAGTGGCTCTTTTCTGAACGCAACTGACTCACCTGATACGGCCCCAAACGTACGTCTTGAGGTCGCGGTAGTAGTCAGTAGTACATGAATATTAGTAGTACAAGTCAAAGTAAGGATAGGAATTTGTACAGGGCTCAGTACATCACAGTTACAGTAATAACAGTAGGCCACTAGTACATAAAACCAAAATGCCTCCAAAGCCTATCAATAATTTTTGCTGCCCCAGAGGCTAAAAAGGAAAGATCATCCACAACAGTGTGTTGTGCAGAAGACATGAAAGTCTTGATGAACTTGAAAGCTGCCAAAGCTGCCAAAGCTGACTTTACTGTCTTGAAAGGAATGGGATTCCTTGGAAGTACGCTCAAGTGAATATGGCTTTTCCTGATGATGTCTCAATGGCATTAACCACAACGCATACTCTCGCCCTCCTCGTCCCTTCATGTGCGAAACCACTCCGCCCGAGCACACCGCAGAACTCTGGGGCCGAGAAGACCACCGAACCCTCGGGCCGAGCGAAGCGCCGAACCCTCGGGCCGAGCGAATTCCCGAAACCTCGGGCCGAGCATACGGCCGAAGTCTCGGGCCGAGCATACGGCCGAACCCTCGGGCCGAGCAAACGGCCGAACCCTCGGGCCGAGCAAACGGCCGAAGTCTCGGGCCGAGCGAACAACCGAAGTCTCGGGCCGAGCGAACAACCGAAGTCTCGGGCCGAGCGAACAACCGAAGTGCGGCCCGAGAGAGAGCATCCTTTCGCCGGGCGGACAGACAAGTGGGTCCCTGTGCCCAATTATGGTCTTGGTGGCTATGAAAACACCTCATTTCGTATAGAGGGACTGTCAGCACTGACTGAGTTAGAGGGATTGTCAGCGCTGATCAACTCAGACATAACCTGAGAGTTGTGCTCAGTCTCTGGGTGTTAGAAAAGTTACCCAATATATAAGTTTCAGTTGTGAGAAGTAGGCAGCACAGCATAATGAATTACAAAAGAGAGCAAATGACAAAACATCAACTCAGGTATCAATCAAATTGTCCCGGATCTCCACCCAATCAATGAGCATCATGAGGAATGCCAGCCGGCCGTCCATCTCCGGCATCTCCACACTTTCTCGGCTGTTCTCGTGGGTCACTGACATGACCACATGCCCGAAGAAATACCGGCTGATAGTGTATGCATTTGGACGGAAGGGCACTACCTCGGCGTGGCTGCAACATTTAGTCAGTAAAAACGGATAGGATGAACCGTGGGATTTGCTCACGCGGTTGAAAATGCAAACACCATCAACTCTCCCCTCAGCCAGGGATATGGTCCAGAGCGGGGATGCTATTGTGTATCAGCCAAGGGAGGTTGTCTCGGCCGGCCGATGACTTACCATATCCAGGGCCATGCTGAGTGAACAGTACTTTTGGTGGTGGATGATGTGCAAGAGGCACTGTCCACCACTAATGCGCCACAGTGACACACAACCCTGGGAAGATCCCCGTGTCGGCAAACACTCGGCACGTGTGCTGTGACACTTAACCTTATGCGGAGCCGCTGGCGGTGCCTCAGCACGTGCGAGCCACACCGGGCATGTGATGGGTGTGTGTGGCTTGTTGAAGATAACGATCATATCATTTGCTCTTAACCTTCATTGCCGAAGCGCACCGAGCACCACAACACCCCGCTACCTTTCAATCACGGCTGCACTATGCGTTCCACCCTCGGCCCTCTTCTCAACAGTACCGCAAAGGACCTTCTCGGCAAGTTCGCCCGTGTAACGGATATTCCCGTTACGGTATTTCTCGTCTTGTATGTTTGTCATTGTTTGCCTGAGGGCTCGTATGGCGCGCCTGTGCACCTACGAGACCTCAGTCCTTTACCATCCTCATCGCCCCATGTATGCAAGTGTAGACAGTTCCTCTGAATAGAGACTGGATACAGCGCATACCGGGCACGAGGACTAAGGGACGCCACACTTTTTTGCGCTCCAGACAAGCTTCTACTCTGGGAATCTATTCTAGGCAACAACCTTGAAACTCGACTTCGATATCTACCTACTCGACGTCAACAACTCTATGCTATTCTGATCATATTCTGGCCAACTCGACAACTCGACAAGATGTCCGAGTCGACCACCAACCCGTCCGCACCTTCGCGAAGCAGCCGCGGGTCCCACAGTGGGACCCGCAGCAAGCTGAAGGCGTTGCGCGAGGAAGTCCGAGCGAAGCTCGCCGCAAGTCAAGAGCGGATCAACAAAGCCCTCGAGGAATCCAAGCAACTCGAGGCCGACCTGCTGGCAACGGTCGACGCCGCACTGTCCGAGGCCAGCAGCCGCAGTCGGTCTTCTCGCACGAAGACCACCCGGACTGAGTCCTCTCACCGCGAGGACTCAGCCGGAGCACTCACAGAGCAGGCGCCGTCCGACCGTGAGGTCGAACAGGCACCGCGCGCTGAGCAGCTCGAGCCCAACGTCGAGCTCGCTCAGAGCCGCCCGGAGACTGATTCTCCGCCTGCTACCAGCCAACCGATGAAGTTCGGCACCACTCGGAGGAGTGGTGAGCGCGCCGAGCTCGACGACGTAGCCGTAGTCGAGCTCGTGCCCGGAGTGAACGAGCAGCGCCAGGAGCTGACTCGCATTAGCACACGGGAGGGCATAGGCACACAGTACTACAGTAGTACTGTGTGCAGTGGGAACGAGCCCACGCGTGTAGATACGCCCGTCGCGTGCTCAGAGATGAGCCGCGACACAAAAAGCATATATTCGTTGTCGAATGACGTGCGAGCCTTGTCGAGCAGCTTGCTCGACGCGACGCGCGACGCGCTCGACCCTACGGGCGTCGAGCGTCACGGGTCCGTGGCGAGCGGCCTGAGTGCTAGCGCCCACCGCACTGCGCTCGACCGCCACCACCGACTCCACGTCCTCGACCACTCCCACTCTCTGGGCAGCCACCTCGAGCGCCCGTCTGGCGAACCAGACGCGCGCGGGGCCCCAACGCGAGTGCGAACTCGCGTTCGCGAATGGCTGTCTGACTTGCCGCCAGTCCAGTCAGTGGCGACCGACGACCTGGTACTTCACGGTACCAGATCACCACCTCCTTCCTCCCCGGATCCTCGACTCTCCCCTCTCGTCTCGCGCCTCGACCCCTACCGCGGCTCTGGCGACACGCAACGCAGCCGCGTGATCCAGGACTTGAACGATGCGCGTTCAAGTCCCGCGCCGAGTAGCAGGACCGAGCGGACCACGAAGGACACGGAGCGAGGAGAGCAGAAAGAGGACAGGGAGACGGGGAGCGATAGCGAGGAGAAGGAAGGAACAAAGGGACAGAGGGAGGAAGGGTGCGGGGCGAGCAGGAAGCACGAGCCCGAAGGCTCGACTACCACAGGTACGTACTCACTGTACGTTCCTGCATCGCAGCCCCCGCTTCCCGTGCCCGCGCTAGCAGGCGTAGCGACAAACGAGAAGCTCGTCGTGCATCCTGCTAGCCACGAAGAGGGCAACCACGTCCCCAGGTACGACTGCGAAGTCGTACCTGATGTTCCGTGTGGCAGCACGTCTGTGCTGCGGGACGACCTCCAGGTCGTACCCTCCATACCCTCTGTACCTGCGCCAGTAGGCGTACCGACGAACTCAAGGCTCGTCGTGCGCACTACTGGCCACGACTATGGCACTACTGCCCTCAGGTACGACTGCGAAGTCGTACCGGATGTCCCACGGGTGCTGCGTTATGACCCTGAGGTCGTACCCGGACCTTTCACCCTGCAAGGCGATACGACGGACGCGCAGTACTGCACGCCCGACGTGCCCCACCAGTCCATGACTGGCTATCGAGTAGCGGATACGCCCCAGGCGGACGTATCCACCTCGATACCTATCCTCTTGGCCGTGCCCGCACCAGCAAGTGCAGCGAAGAACGTGAAGGTCACCGAGCGCGCGGCTGGCCATGAGGACGGCAGATCCGCGCTGCAGGACGACCTGTTGGTCGTGTCTTCCGATCCGCAAGGCCGCACACTTGCGTTAGGGGACGACCGCGAGGTCGTACCCTCCAGTTCGCAAGGCTGCGCGATGGAGACGCAGCACTTCGCGTTCGACGTGCTCTGTTCCGGTAACAACGACCGCTTCATAGCGCACACACCGAATCTACTACTCGATGTGCACGCTATTGACCGGCACGAAGGGTCGAAAAGTGAGGATACGTCCCGGAGGAACGTACTCACTTTGACACATGCCAGGTCCGCGCCTGCCAGGGCGTCCACACCAGTGAGTGTGACGACGAACAGGGAGCCCGCCGAGAGCATCGCCCGCGACTCGTCGGGCCACCGTCTCTTCATCGCTGCTCCCATGATCACGAGTGACCATGAAGATGGCACGTTCGAATTACGAGACGACCCAATGGTTGTACCGTCCGCACTGCAAAGTGGTGCACCTGTACTAGTGGACGACCGCGAGGTCGTACCTTCCATCTCGCAAGGCGGTACAACGGACCAGCAGCGATGCAGGTCCGAGGTGTTCCATTTAACCTCGACTGGCTGTGACGCGGTGTTCACTGACTCCTTGTCGGACAGTAGCATCGCGCTAACATCGGCGTCCCAAGATGGATCGCACTTCCGTGAGGAAGTGCAGGTCTCTGGCTGCTCCGACGCAGCTGAATCCTCTGTTGATGATGATGATGAACTCAGCATTTATTAACCGCAACAAGCAAACAACGTGCTAAGACGCGGCGGACGCCGGCCTGTACAAATGTGGGCGTTAAAACGCGCCACCCAGACCTGCGTCCCGTTCGAGGTGGTATAGTAGTCTATAGACGTGATGTTTGTATAGTAATGGGCAGGCAATCTAATCGGGTTGTGAGACGGGGTCTAATGGTGTGGTCTGAGGTCGGGACGTAACGCGCATGGTAATAAAGATAGAGAATAATGAAGAAGCGAGAAATGAGGGGAAAGCATACGGTCCATATCTCGGCACTCCGGTGTCTTTCTCCTAGGGGCGCAAGCCGGGATTGCCCCCCTAGTGCACGATGTGTCGATGGTGGTGTTGGGTAGGGTGTGGGGACGGTACTTCGCCGTGCAGCTAGTACCGTTTAGTCTTCGTCGCCCTCGTCGTTCTCCGCCTCTCCTCCGTCCTGGTCCTGGTCTTCCTCTCCGCTCGGGTCTTCGTCGTCTTCGTCTTCCGCGTCTTCTTCTCTCGCTTCCTGGTCCTGGTCTTCTTCGCGCCATCCGCCTGGCGGGTCTCCCGTCTTCGTAAACGCGTCGCTGAATCCTCTGTGGTTCAGTTGGCCAAGCCATGGGACGACCCCGGCGACCCATTTGGCGACGCGCTCGACTCCACAAGATCTTTGGAAGGCCGACCGCCGCGTATGGCCTCGCTGCGAGAGGCTCGGACCGTCCCTTGGCGAGCACAAGTGGTTCGCACCTGCACAGATGAACCGCCTGCGGTTCAACTGGCAGGCCCTCCGGACGGACTCGTTATCACCTCCGATGGTCATCAATTCCGCGCGGACGCCTCCCAGGAGAACCTGCACATCCTCCAGGGCGTGCAAGTCTCCGTCTCGGGCTTAAAGACAGCCGAACCCTGTGCGGTTGAGCTGGCAAGCCCCGATCTCGACCTCGACTTCTCCAGCAACCACTCTCTCCGCGACCCCGGCGCCCCGACGAGCGCGCAGCCCGACGATCGCGTACTCCTGAAGAACGCGCGAGCTCGAGCTCGCGACCCGACTGCCGCACTGCCGGTAGTGCAGCGGCCGGCGCTTACGAAACCCGATACGCCAGACCGGTGTCCCGACCGTCAACCCGGCGAGAACTTTACAGTTCTCGCCGAGGGCTCGCTCCTAGGGAACCCCACCCAACGTTCCATCGACTTCTCCATGGTTTCCGACACCCATGGCGACTACGACGGGCACCACGAGTCGGAGATCGCACGCGAACCCTGGGGGACGCGCGTAGGACCGAATGACGGTCAGGGCGGGGACGAGGGCGATATGAGTGAGGGCGAGGAAGCGCGAGAGGTAGATGAGGAGGGTCAGGCAGAAGGAGGAGAGGGGGAAGGGTGCAGGGCAAGCACAGAAGGTGTGCGAGTCGAGTGGGATAGCTCGACGACAGGTACGTCTGCGAGAGACGTACCCCCCCTGCCCCTACCACCATCTCCTATCCCATTATCACCGCCCGTGACGACCACGACAACCGAGGCGGTTGTCGTGACAGTCACCGCATACGACAGTGGTACAGTCAGCCCAGGGGACGACCTACAGGTCGTACCCGGCATGGTCAGGCATGGCGGTATGACCGGCGAGCCGGCGAGCTCGATCGACGCACCCAACGTCCTGGTAGCTCCTATGCGGACGTCGGGCATACCGTGCGATGCATACGCGGAGGAGCTCGGCGGTGAGCTCAACAACGAGTACCTCACGGTACTCACCTCGCCGTCACCATCTTCCATCCCGATACCACCAATGACGTCGAGCCTTACGCTCGACGCCAGCATTTCTGAGCTCGCCAGTGACCCGAAGAGCGAGTACACTTCAGTACTCGCATCGCGACCGCCGTCACCCGCTTCCGTACCACTGCTCGCGCCGATTGCGACCACCCTGAAGGTCGTCGCAATGGACAGTGGTCCATTCACACCACAGAACGACATACTAGTCGTATCTGTGGCCACGCACGGCGGCGCGTCCGGAGTGCATACACGCATTACTGACGCGTCCCACCTATCCACGTCTGGTGCGGCACCGCCATCGAGCACTACCTTCGATGCAGAGGATGCTGCAGGCGGACACGATCGTCTGACTGACCAGGGCGAGTACTGCGAGGTACTCGCCCACCCACCTTCTCCCATTACAGTGCCACCGCTGGGCGACACTGAAACGAGCCTTAACGAAAAAATGGGCAGGCCAGATCCCGTGGATCGCGAGCAGTCGACCGAAACATCTACAAAGGTAGATGTGCGACAGGCTGCACCCGAGCCCGGATGGCGACCGTCGGGACGCTACATGCCACCTGCACGTCGCGCCCACTGGCAGCACCTCGAAGACCAACGTGGACTGGTCGCGGCTTACGGCGACGAACACTACACCAAGTACCGCGAGGTACTTGGCACATCCAACGAACAAGACCGGGACCCACCGCCGAGCACATCCAAGACGAATGTGCCGTCTCCTTCCTCGGACCCGGGTCAGTCGACTGGATTGACGTCGACTGACAAGTCGACGTCAATAACTCCAGTAGTGGAGACACTTGGCGAGGACGAACCCTCGTCCTCGCGGGTGCAAATACTCATGCCGTATGGTGTGGCAGGCACATCCAGTTTACCAGGTGATGCGCCCGCATCGAATGACGCGATGACCAGGGCGTCGTCGCGCGCCCGTAAGAAGGCACAGCCAGCGCGAGGGCTGGAATCATTGGACTCAGGCGAACGGCGACGTTCGACTGCTACTAATGGTACTGAGACCGAGCTGGCGCGAGCACAGGGAGGAGCTACCTCCTCCACGAGGGGGGTACTCTCCTGAGAGGGGAAGGGAGCGGGGCCTTGAGTGGCCGCCGCCTATCTCACACTGCCACCAGTATGTTGCGCGAAGAGGCCTCATGTCAAACATCGAGACAGGTACTACCCGTACTAGTACCGCGAGTGTCGAGTGATCGACTCGACGTGGAGGGTACTAGTAGTGACCATCGTGGCCACAACGCCACTCGGGAAGCCGGTACTTCGTGCCGCGAAGTACCAGTCTTGAACCGAGCATGCACACCGGATTGTCCAGTAATCGTCGACGTGAGTCAATGGCCCACGGATGAGGTGTTGTGCAAGTTGTGTTTCAGCCTCCTCGCGGACCAGCTCGACCACGATTTCGACGAGGCCGAATCCGCGGCGAGTGATGGCGAGTGGGCCATTTGGGCTCACTGCAAGAGATCTGCACTCAGCTGTGGACAGGCCATCGAGGAGATGTCCCCGCGACCGGGGACATATTCTCGTGCTGCTCGTCGAGCATGGGACCACTTCCAGAGGGAATTGGAAGTGGTTCCTCTCGAGTTTGATCCTCTGCTCATTGCACCATTACCTATGGAGATGGTGCGATATTGGGCCTACAACAAGCTGGGATGGCTTGTTGTACCACCTCGCAGTCAACCTCGGGATGACTCTGACTGGTATAACTCCTCTGATGAGGAGCCTCATACCACCACTCGTGAGGAGTACCCTGACCAGATTGAGTCGGAGTACTTCTCCGAGTCCGAGCACCATAGCTCGTGGTACTCACGAAGTTCAGGGTCTGAAGAGACAAACTCGGTAGTAGTCTCTGACTACTACGAGCAGTCTGAGATGGAGGATATCCAGAGTTCTTCTGCACTATCTGCCGAAGATGAGGGTAACTCGGAAGACGCAGACTACTACTCCAAGTCCGAGTAGTAGTCTACGTTCCTGGTTGCATAACTCCATCAAGTTATGTATGACAATGGTGAATGGTTGTGTCTGCTCACTGACACGATCTAGCATGTCGTTGTCTACAGTTCAACATCATCTTTGTTTTGCCACTCGCTACCACCGTTGGGTTGTTGCGTGTGTTTCCTTTCTTTTTCCTTTTTTCTATCTGTTTCTCTGGTTATCGCTGGGACCCGTGGTCGTGTCCAGTGGGGGAGGGTGTAACGGATATTCCCGTTACGGTATTTCTCGTCTTGTATGTTTGTCATTGTTTGCCTGAGGGCTCGTATGGCGCGCCTGTGCACCTACGAGACCTCAGTCCTTTACCATCCTCATCGCCCCATGTATGCAAGTGTAGACAGTTCCTCTGAATAGAGACTGGATACAGCGCATACCGGGCACGAGGACTAAGGGACGCCACAGCCCGGCAGGAGTTGCGCCCGACGGAGAATGGAGAATTACCATACATAGCAATGATCCATTATACGGTGCGGTCAATCCATACTTACGTGTCTGCACCATAGTAACCACTGATGCACTAGTCGCTGGCGGCCATGATGCTCGGCTTCGAGCGGCTGATGAAGCCCGATGTGGCCGAGGAACTGGGTCTCGGGGAAGTGATGGACAAGTACTGCACGATCATGCTGCCGGAGGGTAAGACCCAGGAGGAGGTCCTGGTGGACATGATCCTCGGCTTCCGAGCGGCGGATGTCGCTCAACCGCCGCAGCCGGAGACATCCTCGCTGCACGCCGAGCACTCTGGTGAACCAGGTAACTGACCAATTCTCTCCGGCCTTTCCGGATATTCATGCCACGACAGAGGGGCAGGTCGGTGCCTGGATGGAAGATCTGCCTCAAGTCCGGGATCAAATCGAAGATGCGCTGGATGACATCACGACCGAGCAGGCCAAAATCCAAGAGATGGTCGCCGAGCAATTGAAGGCCGCCCAACAGCAACTCCAGCATCTTGATGGCCGGCTGCATGTGGAGAAGCTCCGGGTAGGTTTTACACAGCACATTCACATTACATGGGACTTATACAATAAAAACTAGGACGAAGTGAGAGCTCACACCGACCGCATCCACCTCCCTGTGCTCCCAAAAATACCCGAGCCAGGTGTGATCTCACCGGAGAACATGCCCCCAAACGTGCCAGTCCAAGCCCTGAATTGGTTGGACGGTCTCGGCGAATCGATGGCCGGCATGGATCTATACATCCAGGCAGAGGTGGATTACTGGCGGGCGGTGGACCGAGTGAAGGCGGCCGAGTTAGCGGTCTTGCAGCCAGGAGAAGCGCCGAGTGCTGCGGCGGGCTCTTGCCACCCCGTCCTGTCTCAGAGTCGCATGATGGATAGTCGGGATGTCCCATTAGTGTACAGTCGTGTTGGCACCGGTATTTACATCTCGTGATATGACAGGGAAGGCTTTGATGTTCTTATGTGCACCGGCCGGCCGAATCAAACACCGGCAGAACGATTGGGCAGCAAGGCAGCTGGCTAGGCCAGACTGTCTGCTATACCTGTACAGTTATGGTGAAGATGAAACCGCCGAGCACATCAACAGTTCCATATATATTGTAAACACAGTGTAAGGTTATACAGCTACTCCGAGTCCATCCGCCAATCCGCCGGGGGAGCGTTTGTCCATGCATGTACCGCCTCACGCATATAGTAAGATAAGCACAAGCGCTCCTGGGTCGATTGCCGTACGGCATGAGGTATGCGACAGCCAGAAAATACCTCCATAGTGCCACTGTAGTATGGCATCTTCATTCCCAAAGTAGGATACTCCATATGCAAGGTCTTGTCTCCGCCGAGCGTGAGAATCATATCGTACCAGTGCTTCGCCGAGAGTACGTCTCGGTGAAGTGGACTGGCCCGGTTGGCAATCACCGATAAGGCGTTGAATGGCGTGTTCCATATCTCGGCGACGCTAGCGCGGTCCGGGTCGTTGCGCAGTGCATTGATCGACGCCACGCCACTTGCATAGAGGTCCGGATGGAGTATCTCGAGCATCGCCGAGAGGATGATATGGGGGTGCTCCATCGCCGAGAGCCACGGTCGGGCGAGCGAGGTCGGTTCCCTCAGCAGCCGCGATACCTGGGGTGGACCTGTAGTACCCTGTTGCGGATTAATACAACATATGATGATCAGTACGCCACGGATGCGCACCGTATGACCCTGCTGAAACCAGCCGGGCGAGGCAGATAAGCATGACGGCGGGAAGATTGGACATTCATCCGCATTGCGGTAGTTGTTGATATCTTGTCTCCACTTCTCGGTGGTGGTGGGGGGGTACCGGAGGAACAGCGGTTCCAGTTGAGCTGCGGTGTCCCATATGAACTGCTGCTTGATTGTTAACAACGGTGTGATGTCTGCCTGGCGATCTCGCATACCTGGTAGTACGGTGTGATTACGCCGGGGAGATGCCACAAAAGAATCCGGCCGGCGCTATCCTCGATGGTCGCAGGCTCCTTGCACGCCTCGTACTGTACGTTCTCGGCTTCTTCATCGCTCGGTGTTGTCATCGGATAAGTCAATGCGTCCCATTCAACGCTCCCTCCAAGTGGAGTGTTAGCCAAGCTTACGATGGCGGTCAATGGAAGCTCACTTCGGTTACAATAAGCCTGAGCTAACATCTTGCCAGCATTCGTCGCCTGGCGTATCATATACACATCCAGGAAGAGACCCGGAAGTGGCTCGGGCTTCATCGCCTGGCCCTCCTGCATGCGAGACAGCCAGTGTAAATATGTCCCCTTCAGGTAGGAACGAAATTGGGTGCTGATCTGTGCGGTAGTCATGTTGGAGAGTGGGGGGGGGGATTGGAGAAGAGTTGTGCGACAAGTTTGCACGATGTGGAGGACCTGATGGGCAACATGTGGTGACCATGTGTTTGCCTCATGTTTGTAGGCATGTGATGTTGTCAGTGCTCAAGTGACCCCGGCTAGGTGCTGGTTCATGCATGCGCCATCTAATGTGATGTCACGTTGTCTGGATGAGTGCCCTTGACAATTCTGGTGCCGATTTGGCCCGCAGGATCATTGATATGAGCCCCGGCCGGACCGTAGGAAGCCTATTTTTTCGACGCCTCCGGCCGGGACGTTGACAAGGGGTCTGGCCGGACCGTAGGAAGCCTAATTTTTTCGAGGCCTCCGGCCGGAACGTTGACCTGGTTGCCGGCCGGAGCGCTGGGTCTGTGTCCGGCCGGACCGTAGAAAGCCTATTTTTTCGAGGCCTCCGGCCGGGTCGTTGACCTGGTTGCCGGCCGGAACGCTGGGTCTGTGTCCGGCCGGACCGTAGAAAGCCTATTTTTTCGAGGCCTCCGGCCGGGTCGTTGACAAGGGGTCCGGCCGGAACGCTGGGTCTGTGTCCGGCCGGACCGTAGGAAGCCTATTTTTTCGAGGCCTCCGGCCGGGTTGTTCGCCTGAGGTCCGGCCGGAACGTTACACCACAGGCCGGCCGGACCATTCCTAACCACCACCCTCCCTCCGGCCGGTTCGTTGCTGCCGGCGGCCGCTCCGAACGGTGGACCCGGAGTGCTCCGGCCGAGCCCGGGTCCACCGTTACAAACGGGCCAAATGCACTCCGGGTGGACCATTCGAAACGTGATTTCCCACTCATTAGGCTCCCGAGAAGGAGGCGAGCGATGACGAGGCGAGCGTGGAGCAGCCCGAGAAGAAGAAGGCGAAGACCCAGCTGGCAAGTAAGCCAGCTGGTCAGGACGCATCGGCAGCCGACGCCGCGTCGACGAGCGCAAGAGGAGGTCAGACGTCTGGTGAGCGTCATGTTCTTCGGAGCATACGGTCCTGTTTTGACGCATACCTCGCAGAGGTGTCGCCTGGACGCAAGCGTGTTGTCATACCGGAGGTGGTCATCCAGTCCTCGCCCCCGGTGTCGCGCTCGAAGGCGCCCAGGCAGGAGGAGGACCTGGCTGCATCCCTTGGTAAGTCGCTCAAAGAGTCGCGTATTTTACTAATTCCTCAGGTACAAAATCAGCCAAGCAGACGCAGGGCGTTGCGAAGCCTCCGGAGAAGAAGACTTTCCTGCGTCTGGAGGACAGTGACGAGGAGAATGAGGACGATGACGAGGACGAGGACGAGGACGAGGACGAGGAAGGTTCTGGACAGGGCGGTGAGCCACTGGTGTGTCTTACAACTCACGCTGATGACTGATATCTGTGACAGCAGGTTCGCCATCCAGAGCAGGAAAGGGTGCAGCAAGGCGTACTCGTCGCGTCAAGATGGAGTCGATGTCCCCCATCCACGTCCCGGACGACTCTGACGACGATGGCAGCGAGTACAAGGTGTCGAGTCACGACCGAGAGGAAGACGTTGACGAGCTTGATGGCGACGTGGACATGGATGACGAGGTGAGACTGTGGCTTGGAAGGCGGCGTTTGACTGACGTTTGGCCTAGATCGTCGTCAAGGTCAAGGACAAGCCTCAGCAGAAGAAGAAAGAGAAAGCCCAGAGCAAGGGCAAGCGCAAGGTCGGCCGGCCTAAGAAGGTCATCGACGTCGACAACAACGTGCTCGAGACGATGACGCAGGAGCCGTTGAAGAGCTTCCTGCACCACGCCCAGCAGGAGTTCCGCGTGTACCTCAGCTTGGAGAACGCGTGGCCTCGAGTCATGAAGGACGGTCGTATGGAGAAGACCGAGAAGCCCGTGGAGATCATGAAGATGCTCATGGAGAAGCACGAGAGGTACAAGACCGAAAAGTTCTTGACCGCGTACAACAGGGCGTGGGCGGATACTACAGTGACTCGCGGGAGGATGATCCACTATGTGAGTCGTCACTTCATGATGTCTCAGCGGTGACATGAGCATCGAGCAAATTGTCAGGTGGCGAAGGTGTCATCTCAACTTCGTCAGGAAGTCAAGCAGAAGGCAAAGCGCGTCGTCGAGAAGAACTTCCTCGCGTTCAAGGTGCCGCAACACGGCTCTGACGGCAAGAAGCTCAGCAGTGCTGAGTACAACGAGAAGACGGCGAGTCACCTCGAGGCTCTCGTGAAGTTCTTGAAGCAGGACTTCACGTTCCATCACGGCAACTTGGAGATGCCAGATCCGATGGTGGATCCCTCGGTGCGTGTGCGTGCCAATGTCTAGGTACGGCTTACTGATATGTATTAGCTGTGGGTGGCCAACCTGGACGCTCCCTTCCACAACGAGGCTGTGGCTGAAGTCGCAGCTCGTCAGTGGTGGTCTGGAGCTCATCGGGAGGCCATGCGGCCTGAGAACCACGCGCGGTTCGACATCAACAAGCAGCCCCTGTCGAGCAACATGATAGCTCTGGTCTGCTCTGCGGTGAGTACGATACCCTAGGTACTGAAGCCTCTATTCAAGTCATTGTGCATTAGATCATCGTTGCGCTGGACGAGGCCGTCAAGGTGAACGTCACCGTCAGCTTCGACGAGAAGACGTACGCCACCGAGTAAGGAACATTATTTGTTTATAGCGCCGGCCTAACTGTGCTTTGTAGGCACGATCGTCTGAAGGTCAGCATCGACAACCTGTGGCGCTGTGCGGACCCGAGTGACCCGTCGAAGTACGACGAGGGCTGTGCTCGGTTCTGCAAGTCAATGGATGAGACGTTGGCGAACACCATACGGTAAGCACATAGCCTGTTGCTGACGCTGTGCTGACACAACATGGTGCCTATCAGGAGGCTTGCAGGGATCTCGAGCACGAGCGTAGACGACGACGACGAGGCAGCTGAGCCTACGGTCACCCGTGGCATTCCTACGGCCGCGATCTCGCGCATCTCCAAGCTGTGGGCGCCGAAGAACACTGGCACGAAGGCTAGTGACGTGCCTGCGGCGGCCTCGGCAAGCGGCTCAGGCCAGCCTGACGAGCGTGAAGAGGATGCAGAGGCCCCGTCGACCGCGTAGAGGAGTGTGCAGGTGCGTGAACTGACGGTCTGACATGGAGCATAATTCCTGAAACTGAATAGGTCTTGCCATGGTGGTGTCTACGTCCTGTCTACGTCCGTCAGGTGGTGGAACTGAAATGCAGTACGTCTCGCTGCGCTCCGTTTCGTGTACGATCATCTTCGTCGAGGTTCTCTACATCATGTACGTCGTATTCGGACTGTCATTCTGTGCCCATGCCTGCGCTGTCCTCTCCGCCTCTCTGTAGCTTTTACTGGGCTCAAACACCAGCTGCATTACTAACATCGCTCTCATATCCACGAGCTGGTGGTATACCCTGTATAGCTACGTGTTGTGATCATGTATTACTGTATGCACCGTCAATACCGCAATGAACTGTTCGCTCGCATTGCCTACTGAAGTGCATCATGATCCATTTATAACCATGCTATGGGCGCAATATGCACATCTTGAGAGCTCTTGATTAGCAGTCCCAACCTCTTAATGAGTAGGAATTGGACGTTGGTTTTATCACTCGCAAACCAGTTTATTATTGCTTTTTGAGTGGGAAACCCAATGCTGGGCTGCCCTGACAAATGGCGGTTGGAAACGCACTTCAAGGAATAAATAAAAATAAAAAGCTGCTTTTGTCAAACAATTCCTCTTGAGACCGAGGCACTTGTGTTGAGATTGGTTGAGGCGGTTTGGCTACTTTGGCGCTCTCAAAGCACTCTCTGTTGCTCTTCAGAGGGCCCAAGCATCTGGGCGGTTTTCCCTGATGGAGGTCTTAGACTCCGTCCCGCCGACGTCCAGGACGCTCTATACCGCTTCCGCAGCTACTCGCAGGAGCTTTTCCCTTTCCGGAAGGATGTGGCCCTCATCCAACGCCACCTCCTCGAACTACGGGCGTACTCGTATAAGAGGTATCTACAGCTCGTATTCGACGAAGGATTCATGAGTGCGCCCGCTACGAATCTCATCGGGATCGGGAGCTGGGTGGACGAGAACGAGGACGAAGTGTTGAAGCGATTAGTATGGTACGGGGTCCCTGTATGGTGCGTAACTCGCAAGCCTCCTCCCACTTCCGTGGTGCAAGGTTCCTTGGCTCGCCTCGATATTCGTCTTCTTCTGGAGTACTGGGACGACGAGGATCACGCGCCTAAGGCCCCCTCGAACAAGAAGAGTAGGAAGAGACAGAGAGAAGAAGAAGATGAGTTGGACAGCGCCGATGAAGACCCGGACTTCAATTACATGAAGTTCCCAGTGCCCGCGTGGACGTCTGCCCCTTCCTCCCTCGTCGCCTCCACTCCGGGAGTAGAACCAACTCCTCCCACAACACTGCCTTCAACGTCTCTCCCAGGGGATGAGAATGTTGGGAACACTCATCCAGTGTCCAACATCATCATGGAGGATCGCCCGGCCACTCCTCCTCGAAGCGGTGTGAACTCTTCCCCCTTCGAGGAGATTCACCGATGGTAGTCTCCACAGATGTTCGCCCAGCCACGCCTCCCCGGAGCGGCGCGAACTCTTCGCCCCTCCGGAGAGACTTGCCTATGGCGTTTTCCTTGCCTCCGTCGCCCGAGCCGGGCTCCCCTCAGGAGCTCGAACGAAGAAGGAGCCCTTCGCCGCCCCGCCCGTCGAACATCGACAAAGGCAAGCAGAAGGAATTCCGCTCTTCGCCGCCGGAACCTCGAGCTGGCCATCCACCGCTACGCCGAGTCCGCTCGCCCTCTCCTCGAAGCCTGCAACGAAGATCGTCTCGATCCCGGTCTCCTCGTCGTCGCCACTCCCCGCCTCGTCCTTCACGAGACTACGTCCACTCGCGCCCATACGAATGTATCCCTCGCCGCTCCCCTCCACGTCGCTCCTACCACGACTACTCACCTCGACGTGACCGGAGAGTCGGCGACTCTTACCGACCCAACGCCGGTTCAAGGCGTCAGCTCTCTTCCTCGCGCGGCATGTCCAGGCAGCGTTCTGACCAGAGGGAACCAGTACGAGAGGATCGAGGACGAAGTCCTGTTAGGACTGAGCGAGGTCGCCGCCGTTCACCCTCCCCCGTTTCAACTATCGCCTCGACTGCTCCCACTCTGTTGGACTGTCTGTCGCGACCAGCGTCAACCAAGCCAGTCCGCTCGCTCGCCGACCGTCTGACAGTTGGCGAAGCGACGGCTCCCCTTTCGGATGCTCTTCCTGCGGAACGTCACCTCAACCGTCCCCTGCTCGATAGGTTCGAAGAACCACCCTCGCTCTTCGCTCGAGTAGGCGTCCCGCTAGGAGAACGGTTGACCGACTCTCAGGTGGCGTCAAACTCGACTGGGGGGCAACATTCCAGCGGACTTCCTCCCCCGGACGACTTCCACATCGTCACCCTATCCTCAGGAGCGCCTGTCCGGACCAAACTGCCTCTCTTCACGGCCAGCGAAGTGGATGACTTCCTCCGACTCCCCTTCGAAAACGACACCGGTGTCCCGGTAGGATGCCTAGCCTGGGAACATGACCAAGGCCCGGAGCCCCAGCTTCCCCCGGAGAATGCGCATCTCATGCCGTTCCCCTCTATCTTACGAATGGAGGGCGACGACGGGTACTCAGCGGTCCTCCGGTGGTTAAAGACTCGTAACACTCACGTCGAGGCTCTGCACAAGCTTCCGGGGACTTGGATCCCTACCAAGCATAAGGGTTGGAAGAACCGCCTCAAGGCTCCTCAGCACTTACAGGCGGCTCTTAAGAAGTCCAACGCCCGTCCCCTCCCGGATGACGAAGTCCATCCCTACGCAACCCGGCTCCAGGGGAGGTCGACCGTGAAGTGTGGGAGCTGGGCACTTACCACTTCCGACTCAATGTCGAACGGCTCGTGGTTGGCCGTCTCCCTGCGCTGAGGAACGCGACGTCGAGTGCAGCTCGCGGAACCATCTGGGCTGAAGTGCGCGACCGTCTACGACGAGCCTGGGGGGCGAATTCGTCGTACTACCCCGCCTTCTCCGACCCGCGAGGCCTTGACAGCGACGACGACGTGGTTCGCCTCAAACATTGGTACGCGATTGGAAGAATCCTGCTGGAGTTGGAGCCCCGGCCGGACATTGCTCAAGACCTGCGAGCCGCGGTGGGGGGCTCTGTTACGGACGCGGCGGATAGGATTAAGACCGCGTACATTAATCTATTCCGCGCTACATACAATAACCGCGACCCGCAGGCATTCGTCGCCCGGGCCTAGATACTACGAGTATACTGTATTCACTTATGTCCATCACTGTACTTACTTACTCGTTTCCGGATTTGTACACGTAGGCGCGCGTCTCGCCGAAGATGCGCGCTTTACCAGAATGGAAAGCAGCCTTTTTACTCCCAACCATATCGTCCGCGCGCGAAGTATTCACGCCGTACGACTGCGGGATCGGCCCTCAACGAGAGTGCTTGTCGCGCTCTCATCTCTAAGGTGTTTGCTCGTCGCTGCGCCTAGGATAGGCTCGTCGCCGACTCCTTTACAGTCCGGCTCGTCGCCGACTGCCAGCGCGAGCTCAACAGCCGCGTGAACGAACTTAACGAGGACTCAACAGTCCTCGTACGACCTCCACGGGCTCTACGCCCCTTTAACGACCTCACGACTCTTATCCCATAAGACCCGGTCGCCGAGCGACCACCATAGTTAGTCTCGCCGGGTAGCCCGCCCCCTGTGTCCAGGACTCGAACCGCCGAGCCCTAACATCCTGCTTGTCCTTGTGCTCATCGACAGTCGGGGACGCAGCGTCGAGAGGTCGCCGGGGTATGGGCAGACGCGGCCGCCCCGCTGGTCGTGGCCTGCGCGGCGATGCGCACGGACCGGCGGCGCCGCCCACGAGCCCGCGCGCAAGCAGTGCCGCACCCGCGCCCCAGGTATTGGCATCGGTGGATCGGGCCTCCGTGTGCGGGCAAGCGGCGGCCCCGAGAGGTCGTTAGGGTGCGTGCGGACGCGGCAGTGCGGCTGGTCGAGGCCTATGCAGCAATGCGCACGGACCATGCGGCGAGCAGTAGAAGTGCAGCGCGCACCTAGGCCTGTCCGCGCCGAAGGAAGGTAGGGGCTGTCCGGGCCCTTGCTGAGTAGCCCGAAGCCTTCGATCTCGCGCCGCAGTCCTTTCCTCGCCTGCGCTGCAAAGCCGCGTCGAACCACCAGCTGGGGTACCTCACGTTCGCGTCTTTGCAAATGAGCGGATCGAGCTGGCTGAGCGGGGGCGACGCGAGGATGGCGCAGCCCTTGGAGACGACGTAAACGCTGTCCTCTGGCGGTGCGCCGAGCGAGGGAGGCGCGGGCGCGGCGCCTCGCACGCACCGAGAGATGCGGTGGCCGGGCGCGTGCATGCGGAGCATTTCCCAAAAGACGGCGGTGGGAATGGGTGCGGCAGGTCGGCGGGCGGCGGGCGGAGCAGGTGCGAGGGCAAAATCGTGGGAGAGGGTGCCTGGAAGGTCTTGGGTAGCAGGGGCTTAGGCTCGCGCATTCGCAGCTGCGCTCGCAGCAAGTCGAAGCTGCTGGCACTTCAAGTGAGTGGGTGGCAGCTGGCTCGATAACCCGGCTAGCTTACCTTCTTGATGCGGCAGCACTGGAGGTGCGCGCGCAGCAGCACGAAGGCCGCGGCGAGGTGGTGGCAGCCTTGCCTTGCTGGCACACCCAGCCAATGGCGAACAGGGCGAGGGCAGAGCAGCCAGGGGTGCAGCATTCGTCCCGAAAGGGTCAGAATGAAGACCACGCTGGCTGGTTACCGCGACACGCTGCTCTGCGGCGGGTGACCTGCGAGGGAGAGGCTGCGAGGGAGAGAAGAGGCCGGCCGCGCGTCGCGCGCAAGGGCCACCTGCGTTCCCACGGTTTGGGCGGGCGGGGCGGCGAGCGCTCGCAAGGCTTTCCGCCGCTCGCTGCACCCAATTTTTGCTGTGATGGTCCGCTCCCGACAATCGCTCACGAAGGCTCCGCGCGGTCCATTTCTCGCACTTTGTGCTCGACTCGAAAAAACACCCACTCTCTTTTCATTGCGGCGCTCCGAAACACGGGCCTACCGCGACCAGTTCGCTGCCCTACTCGCGCGGCACACGAAGGGCAGCCCAATCGATCTTGGGCGGGAACCCTTCGCTGAGTTCGTCAAACAATGCAAGAAATACGATGCAAACCTACCGAAACGACTTCGTGCAGCTTTGTCATATCGCACGAAGAAGGCCAACAGCCAGAGGCGGACTCACGCTCGGCTCGTCTCCAAGCTTGGGCTCGGCCCTGCTTCTGAGGCAGCCAAACTGGCCGCCTTTCAGAACGTTGTCCCCACGATCCACCTGCGCTGCTTGAAGAAGGCCGATCCTGACCTCTTCAAATGGGTCTGCGAGTCTCCCGAGACCAAAGGTGTATGGGAGGCTTGGGTCAACGACAAACCGCTATCTGACAAGAGGCACTCGCGCCGCGAGATGATGGTCGAGGATCCTGGGCAGCTAGCCTACATCGTTGCTGCAGACCAGAATGCTATCATCCGCGACAGCAACACAGGCGAGATCATATGTGTGGTTATCTGCGACTTCTGCGCTGATATTGAGGTTGTCGCGTGGGTCAGTGCTGTGGTTGCTGAGGCTGTTGGCCTCAAGCGCTCAGTTTGCGCAAGTGTTTTTTACTTCTTGTGTAACAGCTGGGTACTGACAAGCTGCAACAGAAGGAGGATACGGGGAAGCTGGTCCTCGTCGGCTACTCAGCTGGTTCCCGCTCGCATCCCTGCTTCGATTGGACGCGGAACATCCTCTCGAAGAAGCATACAGCAGAATTCCTCCGCAGCCACGACATGGCTGTCTCATCCTCCCTTGCGCTATTCTGGAACATGATGCGCGCTCGTCTTCCAAGTGAGCTCCTGGCTGACCTCGACAAGTATCTCGAGTCTAACCAACTCTGCCGCATGGATGCAAACCACACGATGGGTGCAACGAATGATGGGCAAGGTGAGTATTACATTCAGAAGGGAGCTAAGGTGGTTGGATTTGCGCATGAGCAACTCGCACCACCAGCAGCAGTCATGGGTGCCAATTATGCGCGGTAAGGCTGTCTGCATCGCTTTCCTGGTGCAGTGCTGACTTCTTAGAACAGGTCAATTCACTGGGAGCACCAACCTCATTGCTTTGCATATTCCTGGACAACAGGCCGGAATACAAGCGAGGGTGGTAGCTTCTATATCGCTACACATGGGATCAAGATCGAGCAATCTGCGAACACCTTCATTGCTTGGCAACCGCGCCTCGCTCATGGGACAAGCATGCTTGCATGCGAGCCTGGCCAGACTGTGCCACCTTTCGCACAAGAAGGTCTGAGCATCGTCAGCAGCATGCGCCTTGCGGCGACATGGAAGCGGTATCATGAAGGGCTTATTTCGGCTGAGCAGGCTGCTAAGGAATATGCAGATAGTTTAGAAGATGGTATAGAGGATGGTCAAGATGGTACTAGTGCTTGAGTCGTTACAAAGATAGGCAAACACTTGACTTGGATCACAGATAGCAGTATATATTGTAACACGATACCTAAGAGGTGTATGCAATCTACATAAGATCTTCAAGTGCGACAGGAAAGAGCATCTGCACGAACGCGCATCACAGACAACCATCGCAGTCAATGGCAGGGGCAGCATGCAATCACAGATGGGGAAGTGACAGTACTCAACGTCATATCACAGTACTCAACATCGTAATATAGTACTCAACATAGTATGGGTCAATGTCCAGCTGGGCGCACAGAGGCGAGGTGCGCAGGCGAATAGCGAGTCGTGTGGCCGAGCGAAGGTCGGTGTGCGTGTGCGCACCGAGGCGATTAATGCGCCGAGCTTCTGTGCAGCGCAGTGGTGCATATTCTGCACAGGCGCGGCAGTACAGCACGGGAACTCACACACAACCAAGGGATATCGCAGTGGCAGGCCATGGATTGGCCAGAGGCCATGAAAAGGGCCTTGTCACCAAGTCCAAACTACAGAAAACACCTCTGCCAGCATACATCCCCCTCTGCTCGCTTGCCCTCGCGCCCGCCCATTCCTACCATCCACCCGCCCTCGGCCACACCATTCCTCGTGCTCGTACCTTCACCAGTCTCCTCGCCCTCGCCTGCACTCTCACCCGCGGTCTACTCGCAGGCTGAATGCGGGCGCGAGCATCGAGAGGATGCCAAGCTTGAGGAACGGCGGAACGGCGAGCGCAGCTCCATGCACATTGCACGGCATCACGTAGGGACTCGTGGATGGAGAGGGCGAATGTCGAGATCAGAGAGGCTGTGTACACGAAGTGCAGTGGCGAGTTGGCCGCCGCAGTCTTCTCGTTCAGACCGGAGTCTACATCGGCGGTGGCGCGTACTGAAGTTGTGCGTGAGCGAGACCTACTCCTTGGGGCCACCACTGGGCTTGAGCGTGAGCGTGAAGTTCTCGCCAGGCGCGAACGACTCGAGCGCAACACGACGATGTTGACGCGCTCGTGAGGGCTGACCTTCTCGTAGTCCTCGGAGTCGGCGAACGTGAGTTTGAGCATGCCCTGGTTCTTCAGGTTCATCTCGTGATACAGGCGAACGAGCGGGTGATGACAGCCATACCACCAAGGAAGCGGGGCTCGAGAGCGGCGTGCTCACGCGACGAACCCTCACCGTAGTTATGGTCACCAATGACGACCCGCTTGATGCCGTGGTCGCGGTAGTAGGCACCAGTCTGGGGAACTGCACCGTACTCGCCAGTGATCTGGTTCTTCACATTGTTAGCCTCGCCGTTCTCAGTGTTGATGGCACCGATCAGGCAGTTTTCTATGCGGAGCCGTCAGGAATAAGCACAGATCAAAGACAAGACACTACGTACGAGAAATGTTCTCGAGGTGACCACGGTACTTGAGCCAGGGACCACCAGCAGAGATGTGATCCGTCGCTGCAGACAATGATCATCAACAAAGGCGTGACGAGCTGAAGGCGGTCAGACTTGGGGTCAACGGCGACCTGGACGCTGGCACGGTCCTGCGGGGGAGGCTGGAAGGTGTTCTCTCTGGGGTCGTAGCCCTTCGGTGGGCGGTCAGCGCCGGTCGGGTCGACGAACTTGACCGGCTTGCCGTCGACGCCCTTGAGGGTATCGGTGAGGGGGTTGAAGCGGAGGTCACCAGCGAACGCGAAGGCGGTCACGATGTCGGGGGAGGCAACGAAAGTGTGCGTGGCTGGGTTAGCGCCGTTACGGCCGGTGAAGTTACGGTTGTAGGAGGTGATGACCGAGTTGACTTCGCCCTTCTTGACGTCACGCCTGTCCCACTGACCAATGCAAGGACCGCACGCGTTGGCGAGCACGATACCGCCAACCTCGAACGTCGCGATGTAGCCGTCGCGATTGATGGTCGCACGAACCTGCTCGGAACCGGGAGTAACGGTGAACTTGCTCTTGGTCGTCAGACCGTGGTCGGCAGCTTGCTTGACGATAGAAACAGCGCTGGACATGTCCTCGTACGAAGAGTTGGTGCAAGAACTGATCAGAGCGACACGGAGATCAGCAGGCCAGTTGTTCTTCTCGACAGCCTCCTTGAACTTCGAGATCGGAGTCGGTGAGTGGGTGGCTGAGTAGGCGAGAGGGCGAGAGGAGCCGTGGGCGAGAAGCTGTGGGCAAGAGGCTGTGGGCAAGAGGCTGTGGGCAAGAGAGGCCGTGAGGGTGTGAGGGTGTGTGGGCGTAACAGTCACACGTGTTCGTCTTGTGGTTGTTACTGCGGGACATTGCGCGAGACAGCAAGATGGCGAGTCAGTCGGCGAGTGGGATGGTGGGCACACGTGCAAGTGTGAGTGCGGACGAGCGAGATGGCGGGCGCCGGGCGAGCGAGGCGACAAGCAAGCCGACATTGAGCACTGGCGAGCGAGCTGGCCAATGACAGTCTCCGCATGTCCATCCTGGTCGAGCACACTTCTGTGAGGTGTTTACGTGTCAACGTCGACGGACACCTGTGGAAAACCAAGAGTCGGGTACATCGGGAGGCGGAACATAGCTGAGTGTCGGGCGCAGCAGCCCGACGATAGCGCGATGTACGCGCAACGTGTTATGGTACCTGAAGGATAGATGATCGTTAGCCTTATATACCTAGCCTCACAGACGACGCACCTCAGTCGCTTTCGCATTCATCAAGAGACTGAGTCCTTCCTACTCTCGTACCTAGCCCGCTCCGCGCTCGAACTTACTAAGTTCGAGCGTGGACACTGCCTGATCGCACCCCTAGCCCACGTTCTCTCCCTCCAGATCTCGAGCCACCCCGCCCTTCTCGTGGTCCCAGTACTTACATCGCACCCTCTGCCTGACCGCGTGCTAACGCGCCTCGTCCACGGGCTAGTGTCACTGCGACACACGTCCAGCATGCGCCAATGCATTGACTGCGGTAAGTCTTCCGCGCTGTTCATTCCCGTACGTCCTGCATTGCTGACGCGCAATCCATCCTCCCTGAAGTGCGTGTCCAGCGGAGCATCATCAATGGGCGAGCATGTGAGAGCGGGAGGGTGGGCGAGCTAGCGAAGAGGTGAGAGTGGGCATGCAGACGAATGGTGCGTGCGCCTGCGCGAGCAGACGAGCGGGTGAGACGGTTGAGACGGGTGGGTATGCCGAACTTCTCATTGACGACAGGTCGAGCGAGATGGTGGGCGAGCGGATGACAGGGCAAGAGGGACGAGTGGTAAGTGAAACAGTGGATGGGCGAGACGGCGGGTAATCAGAATGGCGGGTGAGCAGCGAGAGGGACGACGGGAGAGAGGGGCGGCGAAACAAGCGATATGGTGGGTGAATGGGACAGCGGGTCAATGGAAAAGCGGGTGAGCGAGCAAGTAAGTGGTCGAGCTAAGGGCGCAAGAGGACGGTGGGCGCGAGAGGATGGGGTGTGTTAGTACTAGTAGGTATGCAATTAATGACTCACCATCGATTTTCATGCCTCTGCTATCCTTTTGTGCGTCCGTCGCTCCTGCCCCTCATCCTTGTATCTCCTTCGTCTGTGCTTGTTGCGCTCGGCTTTTGCTTCTGGCGCGTTGCTGTTGGTCCGAGATGGTGGCAGCAGTCTCGGGAGGCGTTGAGAGTCATTAGCGCCGAGTTTGCGTTCGGCGCGCCTGAGGACCAGAAGCGCCGGTCGCGGTGGCGCATTTGCTCAGCCGTACTATTGAACTGGTGTGAGTATCTGTGTTTCCCGACACTATTCTTCTGCGCGATCCTAAATAATGCACAAAATACTACCTGAGACTCAGAGCTGAAGTCTTAATCTTCCACGCTGCGACGGGGAGGAGCATTAAGGCGGGCGCTTAGCAGCGACCTCAGGCGCCTACTGATGCTTGTGTTCTCTCTATTAACGTGTCGTGTACACTTGTATGTGCACGTCCATTACACGGTGCATCCTTCCTTCGTCCATTCTACTTGTGTGTTCGCATTCTTTTTCGTTTCCATCCTCTCTACCCCAACTTCATTTCATGTTCCGTGTCTTCCGGCACCTCTGTCTCTTCGAGTCTCGCCAGTGCAGTCCCATTCGTTCCGCGGGGCTCTCTTGAGCAGCGGTCACAGCACCGAGTTCACTGCCGGTCGCAGACCGCGTCACAGAGACCGTGCAAGCCCGGGTTGCACAGTCTACACCACACGGTTAGGACATGCCGAAGCTCCGCACGACACGCCGTGACACGTTCTGACCGTGCGTCTATCAGAGCCCGACGTCTGAGTACACGGGAGCCGCCCCCGGGCGGAACAGGTCACGGTAAGTACTCCATCCTGTTGTTCAGGCCATCTCACTGTCTCACACGGACTGACCAGGCCAACCAGCAGGGCCCACTCACCAAAACATGTAGGCTGTACGGCCCGGATTGACGGGTTACACCGCGGCAGCGTTGGTCAACAAGCAGAGCATCACAGGCCTTCAAGACACGTCCCGACCGCTGCTGCGTCCGCAGCCAGACTCGCCAGGCGATAATAGCATGTGGTGAAGACATGGGGGCGTCCCAGGAGGCAATTTGCCAACGGTTGTCGGTCCTAGTCACGTAGGTAGCGCGGGAGAGGCAGCACGTGAGACTGAGACGCACCGACACACGACACGGCGTCATGCAAGACGGAGTATGCGAGGCGGCTGTCGGACGTCCTAGGACACGGCACGAGGCCCTCGTCAGCCGAGCGTAGCGTGGCGAACCGGACCACTGGTCAGCACCTGCAATGTAGCAGAGCGTGATGCCGTCGAGGGTGAACGTACGTCTTGGTGGTGACGACCACTGGGTATGCGACGAAGCCGAGGCAAGCGCGGCAGAGGATGGCGGCCAGCCCGAGGGTGAGGTACTCAGACGAGCCGACTACGAGAGAACTCATGTTCAGGAACATGCAGGAGCCAACGGCGACCATGCTGTGTTGCGAGGACGATCCCAGCCAACACGTCAACCCATCTGAAGCGTGTCTTGTCACGTCCAGAAAGGCGCAAGTGGGGATGCCAGAGACGAGCGCGAGTGATTCGAAACTTGCCCGGGGCGTGGCGAGAGTGCTGGCGAAGACGGCCCTGTTGCTGAGGCACATGCAGACGTCAGCTGGGAAGGGAGATGGGTTGGCGAGGTACGTATACTCACAGATGCTTACTCGCACTCAAATATGCCTCCCCGGACGCCCGCTTGAAAGGCCCCGACGTGACACGGTCCAACATGTCAGACCGGAGACGGTTGGCTGCCCGCGCCGCCGAACGTCTGCGAACCCTAGCCTGCCCTGTCCAGGAGTGTTCCGCCAAGCACGGCCACGCAGTGTGCCGAGGAACATCGCGACGGTGATCGGCCTTCAACGTAGCATTAACAACATGTCCGCGCGAGCAAGGCTCCTCGTGACACTGGTGATTCACTCTACATAAGCCGGTCTCCCACTCCGTCGCTGCTTCCTAACGTTTTCTGCTTGACAGTGTACCACGAACCTGACGACCTGCGGTGGGATCACTACGCCCGACGCCAACGAATCCAATTACCACCCGGTCACCATGGTAGGTCCCCTCTAACACCACTCTTGAATGCTGACGACCTCGTTCCTGACGATCCACCAGCTATGGCATCTGCTGGCGCGACGTGTCATACCCCGCCTTCGATGGTCGCAGCGCGTGCAGCGCCGCTGACCACGACGATGTCCTTTGGTCCACCATAGCACTACGCGACGTCCCTGCCCTGCCCACGCCCGTCGAAGCGATGGTGCACTGTACCAACACTTCGACGTGCCTGGGCATCATCGGTGCGACGGCTTTATAGATGCGCGACGAGGGCAAGTGTCCGTCCTTGAGTGTGTGTACGCAGCTGACCGCATGCTCGTCCGGAGTGCGACGGTAAACCGACCGCGATTCGTGCTGACTGTATTACACGCTGGTGCAGCGAATGCCTATTGACATATCTTGCATTTCACTGACCCTGTACTATGTAGGACGTATGTCCGCGCGCGAAGAGCATCCGAAACAACCTCGGGGAGATTGATACACAGCACACCGCTCGTAGCAACACTCAGGAAGTACTCGATATGTATCTGCTCCATGTCTACGTTGATGTCTGCCTTCCGCCGTGACTACTCATACTAGAGCCCGTTGCCCCCCGAACACGATGCCGCGCTCATGCAAGGCAAGCCGGTTCAATGTGTGAGTGACACTTGCATTCCCGAGTCAAGCTTGTTGCTAACATTGAGGTTAGCTGCAGTTTTTAGACTGTTTGCTCAGCTGCGGGTCACGGTGCATCGACCTGCGCGCAAGATCGCACACTGCGGAGGCCACAAACTGGTCGTTCGGCGGGAAGATAATCATTCATCCCGTACAACCCGGACTACCTCGCATAGATACAGGGTACTCCCGGCGACGCACTGCGCGTTCTCGATTGGGATGTCAAACTCAAACAATCACGCCGAAAGGTCGCGGCATCGATTTTCGGAAGACGCATAATGGGTGGAGTCTGAGATGGATAGGCGACGTATATCGCCGGTCGCCGGGCCCTGCCAGTCAAGTGTTGAGGCGCAGCAACAAGAGAGTCGACGGGCAGATGTGGCAAGTACGACTGTACGTCGCAGTCGGTGAAAGTGTTCTCGTAGAATAGACAAAGATGTTCTATTTGCACGGCACTCCAGATGACCCTGAGGCGATATGCAAGTGAAAGTTGAGTCGGTGTAGCTACATATTACAGAAACAAGTTTGGGTACCTAGCTTGTAATAAAAGAAGCGAGTTAATCCAGCGCAAAGTCAGACTCTCGCTATCAGCGCGACCAGCCCATGGATGAATGACATCTCGGAGCTCTGCCAGAGTATTGGATAGATTGGTAAGGGCTGGATCCTCCAAAGCTTGAACTGGTACTTCGTTCATGTGCTCTGGAGGACCTGACCTACCAATCCATGATGACCAACCATCATCGTGAGCATTATTCGCATGATGCGAGTGTAATAGCCTCTCCTCGCGGAGCGCTTCCCAGTCAACTCCATACACCTCCAACTCCTCTTCGCTCAGAGCCTCTTCTGGCAACTGGTCACCCCGCACACCATGAACGAGCATGTCAAAGCCAAACATGTCTGCTGGAGAGCAATTCGGACCATTGCGGATTTGGATCCGGTGGTGATTCCAGCCTTCAGCAAAGAACTCGAGTTCCGCATTGATGTCATCAAGGAAAAGGTATTGGAGCAACCAGATATGGAGGTCACTCTGCGGGTCGAGGCCGTACCGTAGCTCCAGCTGCATGAAGAACTCTGCCCATTTTGATCCGACCTGTGCAGTGACGTCAACCCACAGGCGCTCAATGCGCACATTGTGTATGCTTCTGCGGGGCAATGTAAATATTGTCCGATGATACTGTGTGCAGTACATACCTGCCCCAAATGTATGACCCACGCTGCCCACCTCGGTTCGCTTCCATCCACTAGGCCACTGCCAGATTCTCGACTCCATGATCTCCCCGCACCCGAGATGGGACACCAAAGACATACACCGCCTGCAGAAACAGCAGCAGCACTGTAGCAGCCCGATTATTGTTATGCGCCCGGAGCGCGGCAATCAGCCGGGAGTAGCCATCAATAAAGCCATGTATGACAATTTTCCACCGAATAAGACCTGTTGGAGGGTATGAGCACTTGCGATTCTCACATGAACGACGACTCGGAGCGCACCATGTTGCCCGTCGTGGTGCCACAAGGCATTTGGCCCTGCGACTTGGTATTTCCGCCTGCGAATCCGGATCCGCTCGAAGACCCGGTGAACAGGATCAATGCGGAGAAGAGATTCGCGAATTCGAGTGCGAGGAATGCGATGGCCCAACCTTCGCAGCATCCCATCGAGCATTGCAAGTCCCGCCCGAATGTAGTGCTGCCGCAGGCGGAAGATCAAATCATCAAGTTCACTGTCAGTGAGAGTAGACAGTGGACCTGTATACGACGCGACCTGCGGCTGAGATTCAGGCGGCCAAGCGCGCACAGGATGGAGGAGGTCATCGTCTGCTCCTTCTTCATGTGGCTCGGATGTCTCACTAGACGATTGTACGAGGGGAAAGGGGCTAGCTTGTGGTTCGGCGATTCCATACTCCAACAGCGCGTTGCGGACGACAGTGCGACTAACTTGCAGAAACTGCGCAATACCGGATGTGGACCGCTGCTGATAGGCCCACGCAAGCCAGTCGCGATCAATGACATATCGGGGGCGGCCGCGGCCACCGGTGTGCTCCTCGGCCAGGATAATGGGCCGGCCATGGTGGGACCGGTCGACTGCGTCACGATACTGCATTCGAATGTCGAACTGCATCGTCGAAAGCCCATTTTGTATAGTTTGCAGATCATCGCGGGGAAATACCGACACATGCTACAGCAATACATCATCATTGTGCACCAAGTTCTGATTTTTAGGATTACTCACCTGGTGGACGAGCTGCGAGAATTGGTCCAGGTCGTCTCCAAGGCGCTCAAGAACAGTTGAATCGGTCGGAGCCGACATAGTGGCCTGGACAGAGGTTACATATTGATTGAATCGGCTATAGAACTCTCCCCGAAGGTCGAAGGAACCTGCTGGACTCGTCTGACTGTCCATCACAGCACTTCGCAGATCTGCTTTTTCTGTTTAGAGATCAGCCCTGCCTCTAACACCAAAGACATCGCATACAAGGAAATACAATGGTCTTGCAACTGGATATGTCCGAGTCGAGGTATGTGAATGGTACTACGGTGGGTGTGCAATGAGCCTCCGATGCGCCCGACACCAGCCTTCAGTTACTTCGTGACTCACTACAAGCACACAGAAATAAGCAATGTTTTGACGAATCACAATCCTGCCCGTAATCAATTGATCACCCAGCGCAGAAAAGGCTCAATGGGTAGTGCAAATGAGCACGAATGAGCACAGGCACCACTCAGAGCTGCTGGGAATGCTGCAGTTATTTCTTTGAGGGCCCGGGCGCGCAGCAGCTGCACCGGGAGTTCGAGGCGCCCAAACCGTGGGAACGCAGGTGGCCCTTGCGCGCGACGCGCGGCCGGCCTCTTCTCTCCCTCGCAGCCTCTCCCTCGCAGGTCACCCGCCGCAGAGCAGCGTGTCGCGGTAACCAGCCAGCGTGGTCTTCATTCTGACCCTTTCGGGACGAATGCTGCACCCCTGGCTGCTCTGCCCTCGCCCTGTTCGCCATTGGCTGGGTGTGCCAGCAAGGCAAGGCTGCCACCACCTCGCCGCGGCCTTCGTGCTGCAGCGCGCGCACCTCCAGTGCTGCCGCATCAAGAAGGTAAGCTCGCCGGGTTATCAAGCCAGCTGCCGCCCACTCATTTGAAGTGCCAGCAGCTTCGACTTGCTGCGGGCGCGGCTGCGAATGCGCAAGCCTGGCAGTCCAGGCGCTTGCCGCCCGCTGCCCTGTCGCGCCCCTCGCTGCCCTTCGGGAAACACCCGGCATGCGCTCGCCCATCCACTGCATCATGCGGTACATGCGAAGCGCCGCACCCGCGCCTCTTTCGCCCGGTGCACCTTCGGAGGACAACGCGTGCGACGTCTCCCAAGGGCGACACTGCCCCTCGCTCAGCAAGCTCGACCCGCCCATTTCCAAGGATGCGAACGCGAGGGACCTCAGCTAACCGTTCAGCGTGCCGGGCTTGGCAGCGCAGGTGTGGAAGGATTCTGGCGCGAGATCGAAGGCCAACTTCGGCTTCGGGCTAGCCAGCAAGGGCCCGGGCAGCCCCCACCTTCCTTCGGCGCGAACAGGCCTCGGTGCGCGCCGCCCCTCCGCTGCTCGCTGCGTGGTCCGTGCGCATCGCAGCATAAGGTAGAGGACGCCAGGTACCACCCCCCTTACGTAATCAATTACATAATCAATTTACACGGCCAAATCCCAGCCTCAGAACCGATGTAACATAAGCGCCCGATAGCAGACGAGAGGAGGAGGAGGAGGAGGGTGTTACGAATGCCTATTTAGTTCTTTACAGTCATCCCTGATCTGTGCGACGAAACTCGATGGTAGTGTGCGATGTCCGTGGTATTTTCGGTTAGCCCAGTAGGCCTCCGTGCCATCGAGACCTTGCTGATATGCAGAGATGAAGCGCGCAGAGCGATTTGCATATCTACGGATGTCCGAAATCAACACAAACAAAGGATGGCAGGGATAGACTAGATCACTTACCTTACAATGCGAGTCCACGGAACAGCATCAAGGCATGCCTTGACATTCTCCCTCATCTGCTGCATGTCAGATGTCACCGGGGATAAACGGTAAAGGTACTTTGATGCACCCCAATACTGCTCGATAAAGTTCAATTCTGGATGAAATTTGGGATAGAAGTCACAGATATGACCGCGACATTCAATCAGCTCTTCCAGCTGAGACTTCTGGCTCACAAAGTCTGGCTGTGTGAATAGAAGACGGCGGCAGCAGCAATCTGTCCTGCCAGATTCGCACTTGAATCCGACGCACTGGGCTTTCAACCCGCTGTCTGGCCATAATCCACGCTCCCGGATGATGACCTCCATGCCCTTGAACCATCCGGGGTGCTGAGGGTCATCATCCGGAAAGTAGAAATCTTGCGGTTCGCCACTGGGAAGCTGACCATGACGCATGCGGGTGCCGCCCTTCGGTACCCACGTCTGCGATGGGTTCTTCGGCATGTAGCGTGCGGACAGGGCGTCCGGCGCTCGCTTCTGGTGACTGGGAGCATTATCGAAGAGGAAGAGTCCCGTAGCAAACCCGTTTGTCTTCTCCTCAAAGACATCGATTGCATTATCGACCTGTGCAAGTAACTCCTCGGTCGCGAAGTAGCCATCACGGTTTTTCCCCGCTTCAAAGAATACTCGTGCCTCTCTACATGCAACATGCCCAATCAGTTGCGCATTCAATCGCATGAAAATTTGTTTGTGGCAGACTTACTCATCTCCATGTGTGAGTCGACCCCATTCTACTGTCAAAAAATCGGACACCATTAACGACGAACCCTCGCCTTTGCGGACCGGCTTTGGACGTTCGGAGCTGTGGGTCCATTTCGTCTTTCGGCGGTCATGGGCATAGAATGTTGATTCATCCTGGGTCGCCGCTATGAGCCGGAATGGGCGACCACCAGGTATTGGGAAGCCTTTCGGGATGTGGCAGATGTTGCCATCATTGTCGTAAGTCACCATCCGCTTTTCATACTCCTTCCAGCGCTCAACAAACTTGCTGCGGTACTCGACAACATCGCTGCGTTCATGGCCGTCAATGTACATGCCATTCGCGAGCCTTTTGTAGCGCCAGTCGAGCTTGTGCAGCCACCGACGTGCCGTCCGCTCGGAGATCGTTAACTTGCCACCGAGCTTGTCGCGCATGTCCGGAGTTGATACAAAGTCAACGATATCTTTTGCGCGGATGTAACCGGTTTTCGCGATGGACATGAGGTGAGCTTGTATTGCTGCGGAGAGGTCCTCGTCGTCAAGGATTGAACGGTGTGGGCGACAGTATCGGTGCAGCGGGAGCTTGTTGGAGTTCAGATACTGATGGAGCCACCGTCGAATTGTTCGTGCGTATTCGGAGCTGCGTCCAGCGGCTTTTGCTGCGAGAACTGATGACTCCCGCCATGTGTAGGTGAGAGCCGGGTCAAGATAGAGGTTGAGAGTGCCAACCATTGCCGTGATGCGGCTGCGGAAGACAACATCAAGTTTCTTGTCTTTCGACTTTAAGGTGAGTCGAGTCTGTGCTGCTTTGAGAGCTGGGAAATCCCGGTATGACAGGACATTCAACGCATCATCAATTGCGGTCTCGGGTTCCTCCGAGCCGCCAGACATGCTGCGAGCTTGGCGTAAGTCGCGAAGCAGTTCATCGACTTTGCGGCGAGCCTCCACCACAGCGATCTCAGGCCCGAGGCGGTCTTGTTCGGAGTCACTCGGCTCGTCGTCACAGATTTGGGTCATGGCTGGTGAGTCTTCGACTACACTCGCAAACTAGCAGGGCAATGTTAGAATCTAGCTCACAGATACAAAAGTGCATGTATGCTCACCGAAGTCTCGTCTTCAGAATCAATGGTGGAGCCTGAGGCCGGCCACACTGGCTGCGAAGTTGATTGCTCGCCTGTGGCGTCTGAGCCCGTGGACTCGGAGTTGTCATGAGGGTGCGTGTTCGTAGACTGTAACGGGTCTATTCGGGTGTCATCAAGACCTACCCGTTATAGTATATCTTATCATGTATGTTTGGCTATGTTTGCTCTCTCGTCTCGTATGGCGCGCCAGCGCACTTACCTTAGCCTTAACTACCTCACTATTACTGCCTAAAGATGCCCTATGCGTATACGATACTCTCCTGAATAGAGATTGGATACACTGCATCTGCGGGCGTGATTTGAGTGTTACACTTTTTTGCAGTCCTCTGCTTCTCTCGAACAGACTTCTATTCTGGGGAACTACTACTGGCAACAAACTCTACAACTCTCGAACTTGAACTCGAACCTATGCTTTTTTGGAACACTCTAGTCGACCTCGCAATATCTCAAGAATATGGCCGAGTCGACAACCAACACTTCCGAGCCCACGCGCAGCAGCCGCGGGTCCCGAAGTGGAACCCGCAGCAGGCTGAAGGCGTTGCGCGCGGAAATCCGAGCTAAGCTCGCCGCGAGTCAAGAGCGGCTGAACGAAGTGCTCGCGGAATCCATCGCAAGTCAACAGCGAATGGAGGCTGCCCTCGTAGAGGCAGCCGCGAGCCAACAGCGGATCAACTCCGCTCTCGAGGAGTCACAGCAACTCCAAACGGACTTGCTGGAATCGGTCGACAACGCGTTGACCGAGGCCAGCAGCCGTAGCAGGTCTTCCCGCTCGAAGACCGCCCGGACTGAGTCCTCCGACCCAGAGAACTCAGCCGGAGCACTCACGGAGCAGGTAGCATCCGACCGCAAGGTCGAATGCGCACCGCGCTCTGAGCAGCTCAAGCCCGAAGTCGAGCTTGCTCAGAGCCGCCCGGAGATCCCGTCTCCGCCTGCTCCAGCCCAGCCGACGAGCTCGGCACCACTGTCAAGAGTGGTGCACGCGCTAGGCTCGACGGCGCCGCCGTCGCCGAGCCTGAGCCCGAGTTCAACGAGCGAGAGGCCGAGCCGACCCGTATCCGCGCCCGAGAAGGGATAGGTACACAACTCAACGGTGTGCCCAGCGAGAACGGGACGGAACTCGCAAGTTCACGCGTCGCGCGCTCAGAAATGAGCCGCGACATAAAAATATTATATTCGAGTCGAGCAACGCGCTCGACGTGAGCAACGACGCGCTCGACACGGCCGGCGACGCGCTCGACACGAGAAGTGTTGAGCGTCACGAGCCCGTGTCGGCGGTGAGCGCTCAGAGAGCTAGCGCCCAACGCTCTGCTCTCGACCGCCACCACCTCGCCGACGACCTCCCTCCGGGCACCCGTCTCGACCGCCAGAACGCGCATCAAGACGCGTGTTCTGTCCCAACGGGCAGGAACGCGCGAATCCGCGACTGGCTAGCTGAACTCCCGTCAGTTCAGTTAGCAGCGCGCGAAGACCCTGCAGGCGACGCAAGACCGCCGTCTCCTTCCTCTCCCGGGCCTCCAACTTCATCCGCGAGACCTCCGTTCGATCCCCTCTCCTCTCCTCTCTACCCTGGCGACTTCTATCCGGATCTTTGCGACCCAGGCGACATGCAACAAAGCCGCGCGGCCCAGGACTCGCACAACGCGCGTGCAAGTCCAGCGCCGAGCCACAAGGTCGCTCAGGCCACCGAGAACGCCGCGAAAGGGACGCAGAAGGAGGAAGGGGAGAAGGGGAGGAAGAGAGAGGAGGGGGAAGGGCGCGGGACGAGCATGGAAAACGAGCACGACGGCTCGAAAACCGCAGGTACGCCTTCGCTGGCCGTCCCTGCCTCGCCGCCTCCGCTCCCAGTGCCCGCGCCAGCAGGCGTATCGACGAACGAGAAGCTCGTCGTGCGTCCTGCTGGTCACCAAGACGGCACCTCTGCTTTCCGGGACGACTCATACGTCGTACCCACCGCCTTGGACGGTACCACGGCAGACGCACAGAGCTGCGCGTCCGACGTGCCCGTTCCATCGCCACTGCCCGCGCCAGCAGGCGTATCGACGCACGAGAAGCCCGTCGTGCGCCCTGCTGGCCACGAAGACGGAACATTCGTCTCCTGGGACGACTCCAGCGTCGTACCCGACATTCTGCAGGGTAGCCCGTCGGACGTACATTGCTGCACGTCTGACGTACCCCGTCCTTCTACGAACCGCTGCACAGCGTGTACATCGAGCCTACTACTCGATGTACAGGTTGTCGAGGAGGACGACGCTGCGCCCGGCGTACTCGCAAATGTACCCGGCGCGCTCGCCGACCTCTCATGCGCGAGCGACGGCCCCGAGGTACACCCTGCAAAGGTGCACCCGGTACGCACGTCACCAGCCGCAGTGCCCGCGTTGGGAGACAACACAACGAACATTGAGTACGTTGCGTGTCCCTCCGACGTTGAAGACCGGGTACTGGGCCTGTGCAGTAGCACTACAAGTGTGCCTGCTGCTCATACCTCGCGAGACGGCGCGTCTGGAGAGTCGTCGAGCTCTGCCAGGCCGTCTCCCTCTGTTTCCTTACCACCGCACGCGGCGGATACGTCGAGCCTGTCGCTCGATGTATCCCCCGATGCTTTCCTTCTGGATGCGAGCGACGCACTTCCGTCCGCGCTCATCGCCATCCAGCACGCCCCTACTTGGCGTAGCGACGCGCCCGGAGAACACGCTAGTTCTACCGGGTCGTCCTTTTCTTCTTCTCTACCATTTCGCGCTATGCGTACGTCGAGCCTTCCGCCCGACGTACACGCAACCGAGTCCTGGGACGCGCGCGACGCACCCTCAAGCTTGCTCGCCGCGACCCCTCAAGCTTCCATGTCGACATTTTCACGTCCAGTGCCCACACCAACGCATGGTACAACGAGCATCGAGCTCGCTGCACCCGGTGTTGATGACCTCACGGAGCCACTGTATCCGTCCGACGGCCTGACTAACGGGCCCAGCGCCGTCACGACGCACGACGTGTTCGGCATGCAATCGAGCATGACAGACGCGTATTTTACTTCTATCTCTCATCCTTTCATTGCAACATCCGCACGTCATACAGGGAGTACAACGAGCTCGAGGTTCGATGTAACCACTGTCTGTGACCGTCGGGCTCCCGTCTCGACGCATACGCGTCTGCTGCCCACACCGATGAATGGTACCACGAGCATCGAGCTCGCGGCAACAAGCATCGGCGACAGTCCTGGGGTAGCAAGTCCTTGTAACGGCCTGGTTACCGAGCCCAGCGGCGTCATGACGCACGACGTGTTCGGCGTGCCACACAGCACGACCGACACGTCTCCTTATTCTATTACAACACCTGCTCCTCGCACAGAGAACACGCCGAGCTCGAGGCTTGACGTGCTCACTGTCGACGAGCCCAGCAACACGCGCGAGATACGCCCAAACGTGCTCGCCGCGGATTCGAAACCCCACGTACTGGGTACGTCGAGCAACAGCTCGCTCGACGTACACTGTATTAGTCCAATTCCTTCTGCAATTTTGGAGGAGGGGGAAGGGACCGTCCACGGTTCTGAGTCCGAGCATCAAGACACAGGACACGCAGGTCATATGCGAAGGATCCTGACCGACGTGCAGAGAAGCATGTCGGTCAGCCTATCGACACCTAGTGTACCTGTGGTGCTCGCTGCGTCCAGCGATGCGACCAGCGTGCGATCGAGCACGCTTGGCACATCCACCTCCACCTCCAAGACTGGGACTTGCAACCACGACCAGGTCGTCGTCGACGTACTCAGAAGCATGTCGGCGACGTTTCCTTCGTCAAGGTGCAAGTCAAGCTCGGTTCAAGCTACACTGAGCGAGACCGTCGGCATGCGATCATGCATGTCCGACGCATCCGTCTCCACCGCCAAGACGAACACTCGCAACTTTGACCAGGTCGCCGTCGACGTACCTCGAAGCACGTCGACGACGTCTCCTCCGTCAAGGTGCAAGACCATCGTCACTGCTACGCCCGGCGACGCAGCCGGAGTGCAATCAAGCACGCTCGGCGCGTCCACCTCCATCGTCAAGACAGGTTTGTCGAGCACACAGAGCTTGTCAGCCAACGTACTCGACGAGACTGACCGGGACAAGTGCTCGACGAAGGGCAGTACATCCAACCTGAAGGATGTACTGACTCCGTCAGCAGCCGCCTCGCTCCACGTATCCGACAAGGCTGACCCTTGCGACCAGGCCGTCGCCGACGTACCCAGAAGCACGTCGGCCACGCCTAGCTCGTCAAGACACAAGGCTAGCTTGGTCAATACCCCGTCCAACGATGCAGACAGCATGCGATCAAGCATGGCCGTCGCGTCCTCCTACGTCATCAAGGTGCCATCGTCGAGTACAACGAGCCTCGCACTCACTGTACACGGCGAGGCCCACACCCACGACGACGACGCGATCGACGCGCTCAGAAGCACGTCCACCAGTTCATCGACATCGCTGCCCACATCGGTTTCGGCAACACGCGAGGCTCACGACGGGTCTGACAAGATAGACCAGCGCGAGCCTGAAGGCGTGAAGACCCGGCCTCTGGGCTTGTCATCTAGCACACGGACCCGCAAGGACTCTACGTCCCTTGCAGGCCGTGTCGATGACGAAGACGTGCGCGAGCACGAAGCTCCGTCGATGGTTCTGCAACCAGACCTGTCATCTGGTACACGGACCCGCAAGGACTTGGTGTCCATGGCAGGCCGTGTCAATGGCAAAGACACACGTCCATGCAGGTCCGACCTCAACGTGTCTGCATCGAGTCGCTATGCGTCGGGTACCCGCCGCACGTACGAGGACCCGACCTTGTGCGTGCGCGGTACGCTAACCTCCATATCGGAGACCACGCCCTGCGATGCAACCGGTGTACAACCAAGCGGCGCGTCTGCGTCCACCCCTAAGGCCGGACCTTGGTCGAGGGTACTCAGTTCACTGCTGGCACCTCCTTCGCCACCGGCTCTCCCTATCCCGCAGCCGAAGTGCTACACGACGAGCCCGTCGCTCGTCGTGGGTACATCACGCAGCAATAGCGCCCTGTCGGATGCACCCAAGAGCATATCCGACATGTACATCGCCAATGCAATGCCCAGCGACGCGATTGGCGTACGATCCAACATGACCGACGCGTCTGACACCATCGTCAAGACATCCTCGTCTCGTATGGCGAGCACCTCACTCACCGTACACGGCGAGCCCAACGCTTGCGATGTTGTCGCCATCGACGTACCTCTGAGCACGTCGATCGACTCATCCGCATTGACGTCTGCCACTGGTTCGACACCGCGAGAGGCAGACTCGCCTACACTGTCTTCAAGACATCACCGCATACGGAGAGCTCGTTGCTCAACGTATCCGGCGAGATCAACACCGGTGACAAGGCTGCAGTCGACGCGTTCAGAAGCATGTTGACTGCCTCCATGTCAACGGAATGTAAGTCTCCCGAGTCGACACTGGCTGTGTCGTCCGGCATCAAGGATCCGACTACGATGGACGAGTGCTCAGCGAAGGACAGTACATCCAACTCGAAGGATGTACTGACTTCGTCGGCAGCCCCATCCTCGAGTACTGTAACTCGTGCGCAAGACAAGCCGTATCACTCGAGCTCGTACGAGCGGTACAGGCCCCCGCACTACGTGATCAAGCTCCGATCCGTGCGCACAAAGAGTCGACCTCGGACGTGCGCGGTACATCCCCCGTCAAGATGCCGTCGCCGAGCACAGCGAGCTCGTCGACACCACGGCACACATTAGCCTCGACAACACGCGAGGTTCGCGACAAGACCGCCCCGCGCGAGCACGACGGCGTGAAGGAAGGCAGTACACCCACTCTGTCGGATGTACTGTCATCCTCACGTCAGTCAGCCTCGTCGAAGACTAGGAAGCCGGGCAGGTCGTCCGACACTCAGACCAGCAAGTCGGTCAGCTTCGCGACGAACGAGAAGCTTGACAAGGCCAATGAAGACGAGAAGGGCAGTACACCTGAGCCAGGTGTACTGACTTCTTCGCGATCCACGGCCCGACCGACATCAAGTACGAGTCAACGCGATGGCCAAGACCTGCGCGGACGCACGTCCACCTCGACGCACCCATGTCGAGCCCCTACTTGTCGGATACCCGCCGCACGCACGAGGAACCGACCTCGCGCGCGCGCACGACCTCGACCGCCAAGACCGCCAAGCGGGTCGCCGAGCAATCGACGAGGCACAGTACGCCCGAGTCGCCGGACGTACTGACCTCATCGTACTCGATGGCCGAGCTGGAATCAAACCGCCTGGCGCTCATCGCCCGATACTCGTCAGCTAGCAAGTGGGCGAGTACAAGTACAAGTACAGCACAGACTGAGTCACCACGTCCGTCAGACATGGTGGCCACGTCTTCCCGTACGCACACGGACCAGACATCGCGTCCGAGGAGGAACAATATGTCCACGACGGGCATACCGACCTCGTCGCACTCGACAGCAAGGCCGGCGACGTCGACAGAACGCTCACGTCCGCTGACGGAACGTGAACAACCTTCCGCGCGACCAGGCTATCGCCGTATCCACGAGGATTCAACCTCGCGTGTACGCGACAAGACTGTCGCCTTCACCGATTACCGGGGAGGTTCAGTCCAAAGGGGGGAAGGGAGCGGCACGGCAAATCGTGACCGCTTGACTCGGACGAATACCAGTACATCGAGTCGCGATGTACTGGGGTCGGAACGAGTAGACGAGACACATGTGGTCTGGACATCGAGCGCGAGGCTTGATGTACAGACCCATGTACCTGCGACGACATTCTCGAAGCCGAGCATGTCGCGTGGTATCTTCGACATGATTGGTACCATTCCAACAGCGGGCGCGCGCTCCGAGTATATTGATGATACTCGGTGGCCGACTGCTGAGCACCTGCGAGCCGAGTGTTTCAGTTTTGTGACCGACCGGTTCGAACTCAAGCTGGCTCAGGCTGCGAAGGCCGAGCAAGCTGGGGACTGGAAGGCATGGGCTGAACTCAAGGTCAGCGGCCTCGACTGGGGAGATGTCCTCAATGACATGTCTCCGCGACCGGAGTCGTACACCCGAGCGGCTCAGAGAGCCCGCGATCACTTCCAACGGGCTGTGGAAGTGCGGCCGATAGACTACGAACTATCGTGGTCCGAGCCTCGGTTGCTACGACCACTCCGTGAATGGGTCTATGCTCAGCTCTGGGATCAATCAGTGCCCTTCGTAGCTACTTACCAACCAGCAGTCGATGTTACTGCTGGTAGGTCAGTATTCTATGGCATGGGTGGTGGATTTGTCCCGACTTCGACTCGGAGTCAATCAGATGGTGATGAGTCTTACGATTCCACCCCTGACATACCATCTGACCACGATGATGTTGAGTCCGAGCACTCTCAGGCTTCGGAACATGATGGTGGTCCAGGTGATGACGAGGTCGACTCAGTAGTAGTCTCTGATGACTATTATGAGTCAGACTCGTATGACCATAGCTCACCTATGGCCTCGTCTGCATCTGGTGCTTCTGCATATTCTGCCGAAGACTATGATGACTATGATGACGAGGATGGTGACTATGATGATGATGATGGTGGTGACTACTACTCAGAGTAGTAGTCCGCTTTTTGAGGCTCTCCTGTATGCCTGAACACATTGTATGTTCAGGTGCAGGCGAGTAGTACGCTGGCGCGATGATATGTTTTCTTTTCTTTTATGTTTCTTTCATACCTGTTGCAGTATGTTGTACCACAGATGGTTGAACATACTCAATGCCCACGAGATCATGCTGTGTACATCCATATGGGATGTTCACTACATTGATTGCTCTATCTCGGGTACTTTCAGGATGTAGTCAGCTCACGGAGACCCTGTGGGCACTACATAGATTGCTGTGTTCCGAGACCCGGCCCACAGTTTATCTTACCTGTACCTGAGGTGAGTAATCTCTTACAAGAAGATATGCATGGTATGTTCTCTTCATTGTCTTTCGCTGGGACTCGTGAGACGAGTCCAGTGGGGGAGAGTGTAACGGGTCTATTCGGGGGTCATCAAGACCTACCCGTTATAGTATATCTTATCATGTATGTTTGGCTATGTTTGCTCTCTCGTCTCGTATGGCGCGCCAGCGCACTTACCTTAGCCTCAACTACCTCACTATTACTGCCTAAAGATGCCCTATGCGTATACGATACTCTCCTGAATAGAGATTGGATACACTGCATCTGCGGGCGTGATTTGAGTACGTTACACTGCCCCAGGAATAAAGTCCGGTGAAAACTTGGGCAGGCAGTCTCGCTGATGGCCGTGGATGTGGAAGAGGCCGATTCCCCAAAATATCAACACCATTAGCGGCCACGTCAAATGCTTCGAAGCCTTCGTAAACCGAGGAACAGCATTTTTGCTATACTGACAGGCGATGTCATACATCAGAATGAAGGTCTGCAGGCCGGCGTAGAACTGAAAGGCCTGGGAGAGTGCATAGTCCATGTTCATTTGCCTGGGTAGCGAAGGCGTGTCAGAAGCGAAAGAGTACGCTGGTGGGCGGCACACACCGCTCGCCTTTTTGAAAATCGACCACTGCATGGGGAACAAAACAGCCATGCCTCGCGCATGCTACTGCTCCGATACCGGTGGCCTCCATGTCGTGGCGATCGGCATTAGCCTGGTTGACGGCCCGGTGCGCATGACAGCTCGATTTCTCCGCAAAGTCAGTGCGCGCGTGTTCCAAACGATGGAATGCGCACCTCTCGAACCTCTACGGCCTCTTTGAGGTGGCATTTGTAGGGCTCTTCCGTTACCATAAATCCATGACCGTCGGCAAGGGACACATCCTCTTTTGGGCTTCGCATTTTTAAATGCTCAGCGCTGAAATTACCGTCCATAACGAATGACTGTGTGTATTTCCACCTTCCAATGGTGAGTACGGTGATTTTTAATACGCGACGTACTCACTGGTTGGCTTCCCGGTCCCAGCCGTCCTTCAGATTGACACCGGGTCGCGGACACGCAACACATCCCAATGCAAGATCCCCGGGACCTACGGGGCCCCGTCCGTGGCCATATCCATGCCATTTGCGATATTTGAGATTCCGCCACTGCCGACTGGTCCGCAAGAGCTCTCTGTATCGATCCTGGTGCAAGTGAGACAAATGACATGGGAGGTTCAGCGGAACGTACAGGAACACGGGCCGGAAAGGCGTTGCTGGTAAGCCGTCGCAGTCGCTCGAAGTAGCTTTGAGCCGCAATGCCAGAAATCTTGTTGGCCAACAAGAAGTCGTCAAGTACTCGGAAGGTGAAGGCGGTGCGGGGGGCAAGCACGGAGGCCGGATAGAGTCCGAGCGCGAGAAGCTGCCGCGGTTTGCTGTCGGGCTTCGAGCACTGGCAGAACGTGACTCGAACATGGTGGACCCCTGTAACATCGACTACGGTAATTTTGTGACACAACCCTTCCCCGCTAATCAGGGAGAAAAGCGGGCACGGTGCGCCTCCATGTCCGAGAAAGAGGCGGGCGCCAACATTGTACAATGAGCTTGTCTGAAAAAATCCTTGATTGGAGTCAGAATCATTTCCGACCCCGTTATAAGTACATACCGCACTCTCCAAGCACAGGCCCTTGCTGCCTCGAGGGCTCTGCGGGAAAGAGATCGCTTTCCACATCCTCCCACTCGGACGCCTCGTCAGGCTCCTGGACTTCGGGGTCAGCTGGCAACGGACCGTCTTCGGAAATCCAACGCTCCACCCGATGCAGGAAGTCTCGCTTATGCTCAGTGACGCAGCACCCTGTACAAAAGCTCGGCTGGCCCATGCAGTCAATGCATCTCCAAGGACTCCATTCTGCGTTGCACTCGGCGCACCGCCGCCTCTCGCGTGGAGCTTCCAGATCAATAAGCCGTTCAAGGAAGTCCTCGCGATGCGGGAGCCATTCCCTCATAAAGTCCGCCTGCGTCTGCGAGAAATTAGCACGGCGAAAGGACGACCAGCTATAACACGCACCGAGCCGGCCAACCTGGTCTTCGCTCGTTTTCGGGCATGCCCAGGAAGTAGGTGCGCGTTTGCAGGGTCCCCAAAGTCGAAGTTCGGAATGTCGTCGACTGCTGGTTCCGATGGAAGTGGCTGCGAGGACAGACCGGTCGTGGACGGCCCAGAGGCAGATGGCCCGGCGATGGGTGCATCGATTTGCGTTCTGCCTGTAAACCTTGCGGGCACCAGTGAATATGTTTCCTCGTCGACGTTTCGGTAACGCGCGTGCGCATCACCTTTGCCCGCGGCTTCACTCCGGCCTGTATGATACGTCGCGACATCGTGGGATGAGCAGAGCAGCGATGGCAAAGCCAACCGTGTGATTCAAACAAAATTGTGACGTGGCGCTGCTCCCTCGCCGAACCCAGTGAGGCGAGACCATTGGACGGCCGACCGTCGGGTGAAGGACGCAAGGGCGCGACGGGTCGTTATGAATACGGCCTTATGCGCTTTCAGTTAGACCGTACAAAGACCACAATCGATTTCCAGACGGACTCCCAAGCGCAAAAGTTCAAATACATTAATGCCCGCGCGCTGAAACACTACACTACGTCTACGCCGCGGCAACCTGGTAGCGACGCCTGTGCTGCTCACAAAGGTCCGTCACGTACCTTCGGACGACCTCTGCCTGCGCAGGCGTCGCGGACACGCCTGCATGAGCCAGGAGAATACCTGGCCCGTCGATCGCGACCACAGGAGCTTCGTCACCGTCAAAACCACTCCATCCGACCTGATAAGCGTCTCCGGGCTCGCCCTTCCACAAGTGAGTAGAAGAACAGGCCGCAAAAGTACAAACTCACCATTCGCTCGCGGGCAGCTCCCTGCGCTGGGCGTGTCCGGGGAACCACGGCTGCATGTCCTCAATGATCCAGTCAATCCGCTCAAACAGACCCTCCAGCCCGATGGAGCGCGACGGCGTTGCGATGGCGCCACTTGGTCTATTGTAGACGGGCTGTGGCAGGTCGACAACGGGGATGGAGGCGGCGGAGTACGGCGGTGGTGGAGGGTCGTCAACGCAGGCGTCATCCACGCCGGTCTGCGTCGCCTCGGCACCGACGGAGGGGGTGGTGGAGGGAGGGCGCGGGCGACGGCCGGAGGTGCGAGAGAGGCCGGACTGACCGTGAAGGCCGGACAGAAGACCGTGCTGGCCGCGGAGGCCTCGGCCGGAGGGGTCATCGCGCCGCTGGACTGCCAGGGCTTGGGGCGAGGGCCACGCACACCCGCCCCCGCCGGGTTTGAGTCGACCGTGCACGCAGCTGCGGGAGGGACGGGCGCGGGGGGTGTCGCATGGAAGGCCGTGGCGCGTGGGCCAGGACGGATTGCGCGGGGCGCGTCAGAGGGCGAGGGCGTCGCGGAGGTGGCGGGAACGGCCGAGGCGGACGGCCTGAAGGAGGCGGGGGCGCGAGGGCCGACAGGAACGGCGGGAAGACGGCGAGGGGATGGGCGCGACGAAGCGGGCATGAGTGCGGGGTGGGGGAGAGACGTTGAAGTCCGGTTGATGGACTGGAGGCTTAAGTGATGGGCAAACCGCGCAGCCACCATCAGAACAGTCACATGCCGTTCAGACGGCCTGTGATCTGATCATCTCGGCGAGCGCTCGAGGATCACGGTCTTCGATTGCTAGCGCCCGCGGCCTCCCGGCGCCTGCACGGCCTTCCGCGCTGATTTTCGAAGACCGGGCTGGCGCGGAAGCCGCACGAGGCCTCTGCCTGCACCTCGGCGGAGACTGCATTCGGCACGCCGCCGAGATAGAACGGCATAAGGCGGAATCTTATGCCTTTTAGTTGACAGCCGGTAAGTTGGGCAGCATTTCGTTTGCGTGCATTTCCAACGTCGTACGCACTATGCCGGCCTCTGAGTCGGTGGCCTTGAAGTCCGGAACAGGCGCGTTTTTGACGCATTTGCCACACTATGTACATTCGATATTGAATACAATACGTACAGAACGTCGCATATTCACGCTGGTGGCGCGTACGCTCCCGGTGCGTGCGTCATGCCGCTTGTTGACCATAGGTGGTGCACGATTCGATAAAGCACCACCTCCTGCTCCGGGTGCGCCGCCACGACGACCATCGACCACATGAGCGGAGGGCCCCTCTCCCGCCAGAGAATTTTGTACACGTGGACCATGGGGCCCACGCGGATTGCATCTGTTGCATGCCTTCGTCTGCGCAAAATGAGTACGCGGGTGTAGCCATGAGACCGGGCACTCACATTGAGTTCGTCGGGTCGGGCACCCCGCGCGAGTCGCCGTGGTAGTGCGGCTGCATGTCGCGGACCAGCTCTATCATGGTGCGGAGGAGGTCACGTAACGACACCGTGGCACGGGTCCAGGGTCGGTTGTAGTCCGGACGCAGGTATGCCGGCCAGGTCCACTGCTGGTGGAAGTCTTGTGCCCCGTACAGGGGCGGGGGAACCGGAGGAGGCGACGCATCCCAGATCTCGCGAGGAGCGCCGCCTGCGAGGCCCATCGGGCTCGCTGCAACAGGCCCAGTCGCAGGACCTTGGACATGGGTGAGATGGGAGTTGGGAAGCAGGGCCCGGACGCTCACCTTGCTCAGGCGCGTCGCGCGCCGGCAAACCAGGCTCCGCAGCAATTGCTGAACCAGCGTTGCTGCCTGATACGCGTCACGCAAGGTAGGTCAGTAGTTAGTGGCAGGGCGTGGAACGGAAGGGCGCACCAAAGGCGGTGGCCGCAAAACCATCCCCCGCGACGGGATCTGAAGGCAGGGGAAGCGCAGCAAAGGCCGTCGGGGCCGCGAGGAAAGCCGCTGGACCGCGCGCAGTGCCGCGACCGGGCTCACTCAAGCCAGCTGGGGAGTCGGAGCAATTGAAACGTGAGGGCGGGGAAGACATGATGGCTTCAAGGGTGGGGGAAGAGATGGAGGTGCGGAGGACGGGCGAGTATATGTAAGGCGCGTTAAGCGACCACTCTGCCAGTGCGGCAATCTAATCTGATGGGAAGTGACTCACCAACGACTAACGGACGGCGTGTTGCGCAAGGAGCTGGCCAATGAGAACGCTAAATCGAAAGGCAGACGGGAGGGAGTACGCGTCGGGCGGGCGCTTCGGAGTCAGCAGGTACGGACGGAGGCTCGCGGGAGCAGCGGAGCGCCCCTGCGTGAGCCCAGGGCTGTTATCAATGACATATTCGTTCGTTTTATGCCTCACTCATCGCAGTCTATGTGAGCTTCGGAGGCGGTTGCGATTTCTCCAGGCAAATCCGGATCCGCGCGGCCATTTCCGAAAAGGCCGATCAGATCGCGCGTCCTCAATGGGAGGCCGCACCGTGCCCAGCAGCCAGGCCGCAGGCTTACGCCTGCGGTCTCGGCTGGCCTATGGTCATGCAGACCGCCGACATTACCCAACCGAGGGACCCCCTGCCAGCCGACCCATCCGACGCAGGAGGGGACAGCCGACATTGGAAAGGCGGATGGTGTGGCTGCCCGACGTCGGCGCGTCCGATGCATATCGTGCAGCCCGACCGCGGCCTCCCGATGCTCATGGAGATATCCAATATTGGGTACCCAATGAATTCGCCCTGAGGTTCAAGAGGCGGAGCGGGAGGCCGGCCAACCTCGACTGCCCGATGAGTATGGGGCCCACCGACATCGGCCATTCCTATGGTGTTAGGGGCACCCGACGTCGGGTCGCCGGCCTTCGAACGTCTTAACAGGAAAGGCCGCAAGGTGCACCCATCCGACGCCGGCCAACCGATGGCCATAGATGCATCCGAGGTCGGTTGCACTATGCTTATAGGGCAGGTGTAAAAGCCGTTGCGGTCTTATACCAGCCGATGTCGGGTACCCAATGGGGATCGGATGGCTCAGTAATAACAGCTCGCACTGTATACATTACTATGCTACACTGACCCGTCGGCCGTCCCAATGACTATGGACGCAGAAGAGTGACATCAGCAAAACTGCGGGTTCGTCTGAAGCCGTCTGAGAGTACTGACGTCAGACATTTCAGACTCCTCAGACCTTTCAGACTTGGGGTCTGAAAACGGGAGATTGACTCTGACTCAGACGGCCTTCAGACCATCTCTCAGACCATTTCAGATGGTTGTCAGACTGCTGCTCAGAGCAATAATAGAACGTAGTGCTAGTAGTGCATACAATACATTGTAAACTACCAGCTGGTACTCAGCGTGCTCTTACCTGTTTGTCCACCCACATACCCACCCTCCCTTCGCCACTGTGCTTGCCGTTTCCGACGACACCCCACTTGCTGGGCGTCGGGCTATCATGTCAAGGTTCGGCGAACTGATGCCCACTGGCCGCGGATCCGTGGGTAATCGTGTAGGTGATCGCGGACCCGCGGTTGGCGTGCGTTGCGCGCGCCCAGCCCTGCTCACCGTCGCGGTCACCCATGATTGTTCCATATGTTCCGTGCCCACCTTCCATTCGTGAGCCATCCTTGTCCGCTCATTCGCTCGCCTGCCCGCTCACCCACCCGCTCGCCCGCCCACTCGCCTGCCCGCTTTCCCGCCGTCTGCTTGCTCATCCACACGTTCAACGCCATATGAGTAGAGGGCGGCGCGGCGATGTAGGAGGGCTGTGGCAGGGCGAGAAGGCGGTGGCGTGGCGCGGAGGGCCCAAGCTCGCGACTAGATGACCTGTTGTGGTGCGGGGTCGCCTGGCATGCGCGGTAGGTCCTCGGCACGCATCGCACGCGTCCGAAATGGTAGGACGGCAGGGGAGGACTGGGAAGGCGGCGGCCATGAATAAACAACCCCGCTCTTCCGCGGGGTCGTCATGGGTACGTGCTGCGTGCTCGGCATGAGTTTGGCGCGTCCGAGAGCTGCAGAGCGCGGGGCGGCGAGGTAGGAGGGCTGAGGCATGGCGGGGAGGGCCCGAGTCTGCGACCAGATGTCCCGTTGTCGCGCCGGGATGCCTGGGACGCTGGGACAGCGGGGGCGGACTGGGAAGGCGGTGGCAAACGGACAGACGGTCCCACTCTTCTGCGGGTCACCCGTCGTTTATGCCAAGACCGCGACATACTTGTGATGCGTGCGAGACGCGTGACGGGCTAGGGACGTACGATGCGAATGGACGCCCGCTGTGATGCGGGGTCGTCTTGTGTGTGAGGTTCTGCTCGGCCTGTGTTCGGTGCGTCCGCAAGGCATAGAGGGCGGGGTGGCGCGATGGTGGAGGTATGGTTGACAATGAAGGCGGTGACGTGGCGGCGGGCATAGAGCACGAGGTGACGAACCCGCTCTTGTGCGGGGTCGTCACGACCTCGGAACACTTCTGATGCGTCCGAGACGAGGTAGGCAGCCCACCTACAGCGCCGCTGTGGGCGTGCAAAACCGGCGTATAGGGGTCATGTCGGCGAGGCATGGCGGGTTTTGTCGGATTGTGACTCAGCCAGCATCTGCCAGTGTGAGCCCGCAGCGGGCAGCAGGCGACATGTGACAGTACATAAATGACTAGGCAACGCGGGAGAGTGAAGGGAAAAGGAACTTACTTATTCGGTCTCATCTCTGCTTCATCCGACCGCTATCCACCCTACGCGTGACCCTGTTCGACATAGAATCCTCATCTGCATGCATTTGGCCGATGCACTGCAAGTTTGTGGGCTGCCCAAGGGTCGGTGTATGTAGAAGTAAAAGAGTGAAGAGGCAGTGAGAAGGGAGGCGAGGGAGGCGAGGGAGACATGGCGGAGGTGGGAGGCGCGGCGCACACGTCGATGCAGTGGTGCCTGCTTGCTGTGCATCGTAGCCGCACATCGTGGCTGCGGGCAAGCCGGCGCTTGTGCACCCTTCCGGACGCGTCGCACGTCGCGACAGGCTTCTGCAGCCGCTGCGTGTCAGCGACGAACAACACAGTGCAACAAGTCAAGAGATGGGGAAGTTGAAAGGCGAGTAACACAACAGAGAGGCGAGGGAACGATGACGTGGCGAGGTGCCAACGTGGCACAGTTTAGGGCAGGCGCCTAGTGGACTTTGGGGAGATTCGATGCGGGTGGCTTGAGGTCGCGCCTGGAGGGTCTGACGGGTCTGACGGGTCTGAGTGGACTGCGTCGCTCTGAGAGAACGAGCACGGAACGAGCAGACGCAGAGGGACGAACAGCGCGGCCATAGACGCCCGATTGCGTCAGATGCGATAGAGCTCTCAGGCACCGGATCAGACGCCTCAGATCCCTCAGGCGCCCTCAGAACCCGCGCAGATTTGCTGATGGACCGCCGGCTGCCCAAACCCCATAGGCGGAAGAGGACACATCGGCCGGCGTCGGCTGCTCGATGGCATGGGCTTAATGGATGCCTCGGCTCACTAATGCTCATGGGCAAATGCGCTGAATGGGCTCCGTCAGTGTTCTAATGTTTGTGTTAGCTCTACTAGTATCGGTGCTTCATCCTCTGGGGCTCATCATACGTGATCGTTGTGGTACCCCTGCTTATCTTCATTGCATCTATAGGCGAGTATATCTATCACTGGTATCTTCTCCAAGAACACTGACATGAACTCGACTCTGTTTCAGTCGTGGCCGTCTTTACACTCATTGCGGCTGGCTCACCGAACGGCGACTTCTTTGAGGGAATCGCCGTGGATTTCGGCACATCTTACTACGCACTGACCGTCAGCTTGAACATAATCGTCACCATTCTCATCTGTGCACGCATGCTCTACATGTCCAAAGGAGTCAGTGCCGTACTCGGGCCGGAAAACTCCAAGTTGTACACCGGCCTGACGGCCATCTTCGTCGAATCTGCGGCCCTATACAGCCTAGCAGGGATTATGTTCATAATACCTTACGCTCGGAATAGCCAGACGGCGATCATTTTCGGAGACATCTATGGGGACGTGTCAGTGAGTTGATGCAGGTGTCTCTCATCGGACTGATATGAATATTCTACGCGCAGTGCCTAGCGCCAATGTTGATCGTATATCGCATCATTACCAGGAGAGCCTGGGGAAAGGACACCGTCGACATGGCCGTTTCTTCGGTGTTATTTGCACAGGGCACCACTTCAACGAGGCAGGAGACGGAGAGTCGGGAATGACGGACGCGCGTCGTGTGGTGGAAATGGAGGTGCATCTCAAGCATGAGTCTTCTGACGAGGAGATGCACACCGTGGACTCTTCTGTGGGCGCGGAAAGCCAGATGGTGTTCAGGCCGCCGTCCCAAGTTCACGAGAAGGCTCTCGAAGGAGTATGACAAATTTGTGTGTCTCGGGAGTACATCAGGAACGTCGCCATCGGATGTTACATAGGGCGGGGCGGATCGGTACCTTAGGTCAATTAGTTAAAACCAAAACGAATCACCGAATGGCGACTTTGTAAAGGCTTTCTACTTCACGGCAAATCCTGGTCAAGACAACTTGTACAGTCATCCGCAGGATGAATCGTCTGTCCCATGCCGTCCTACATAATCGAAGCTTGGGTTGCAGTGGAAGCTCACTCATGATCTCACCGGCCTCGTGCAAAATACGTGCTTGAATCCGTGGTAGCAGCTTCCTTCGGTTGGTTTAGAGACATGAGGTTTTGAGGCCTTTTAAGTGGCGCATAGCTAACAAGATAGGATGCCCCGTGTAGCACCAGTCGTGTCGGAGCACTATCAATTGACTCGACAGCGAGCTCGAGTTTAAATACATACTACCCGCTTGAACACAATGGTCGCAGCGATCCGGCTAGCCAATATTTGCATATGGCACCCACTTAGAGGCTGAATCTCTACATCTTCGCGTGGACGTGTGGACGTGTGGCACACATGCTATCGATAGAAGTCACAATGAATGCTACACGTAGATAAAAGCAGCATACGGTACGGCGTAAGACATACTCCAGGCATACAGCTCCGCCCTAAAGGCGAGACCGCACACACGACACGAGACGCCTTACACCCCGCGTTGCGCGACTCAGGACCGTCTTAGCCCCACGCATCGCATACCTGGTGTGGAGAGCGAAAATGGGCTCGAGCCAAGCAGCCGTCCAACCCAGCAGACCTCCTACCGCTCCGCCAACTACTGTGGCACCGGATGACCAGAGTGCGGGGATCGCGCCGCCCATCGCTACAGACTGAGCGAGCGCGAAGGGAGAGCCTGCAGAGACGGGACCGATCGACGATTGTATGCCCGCTGCGATCGAACCTGTAGGCCCATCGACGGTTAGTGACTATCCGACGTGGTCTTACTTGAGTGCTGCGCACCTCGCAGAACACCCCTAGCGAGGAAGCCGATCGCACCAAGCGCGACCGGAAGGGCAAGTGGCAGCACGACGACCGATACTATGATTGCACATACAACGCAGCCGATGAAGATGTACCAAATTATGCGTCTGAACGTCGGCGTTGAGTGAAACACCAGGAGCACTTTCTTTATAACCGTGACATACCTAACTGCCATGCCTACGCCAATCCTTGATGGTGGGGGGTAGAAGGCGACGTGCTGCCGTGCAGACGGCGTTTTGTATGCGCTGCAGCGTCTCGCATTGCCTTAGAACCTGTCTTCTCGGATTCTACTCTACGTCAAGAGGAGGACGGACACGTACGCTTTTAGCGCACACTCCCTCACACGCCTGTCACCGAAATTACCGTCGGGCCTGCCTTAAGGAGAGAGAAGCAAGCTTCAATCGTAGCAGCGGACCTTGCATCGACCTTCATGACGCCGTACCTCGCTCTACACTGCGAGCCTCCGACGGGTCCGCTGCACCAGGAAAGGACAAGCTGAGAGACGAGCGACATCTGTGCGTATCAGATGGTAACACAGCCACTGGCTCGAGGACTAGCTCACTTTTAGAGAGGATCGGGGTACGGAGGATACAGAGGGTACGCACGTTGACCAGAACCATCGAGAATCCCCGTTCGTTGGAAGATGATGGTATCGTGAGGCCAGACCATCAGAAGGTTCGAGGAGGCACGGTGAACATGATGGGTTGATGCCGTACTTATCATGATGGTAGAGCTCTGACTCCAGCATGCTCCTTTCGCTCCAGGAAGCATAGAATGCCTGTCGTCGCACGAGGAAGATGAACACGGCATCGTAATATAAGCGATATGACTCACACAATGGATGCGAAGGCGTTCATGAGTAGACGGGACGAAGAAAGGATCAGCGCATGATCACCACAGTGCCTGCGCCCCTTGTCAGCTGGTCGGGACAATGAATAGAGAAAATGGCGGTCGCACTGAGATCGTCGTGTACAGTTGTTGAACTGTTGAGACAAGTCATTCCTGGACGCGCACCGCGACAGTCTCTGCGACCAAGCTCAGTATTTATGGATATTTCTTCGACAACGGAGCAGAAAGGGGACGGGACTGCAGCCAGTTATGAACTTGGGGGTTGGACATCGTTGAACACGGTCGTCGGTCGCGGACGGTGGCACGGCGGAAGGGATGTGGCAGGGATGTGGCGACCTGCCGGACGGCGGGAGCGCGGAGATCGAGCGGAACCGGAACCATCTGTGATCGAGATCTCAGAAGCCGCCAAAACCACGCTTACCAAAAACGGGTTAGTCCCCATCGTCCATCTCGAGACTCAAGTAGACTCTAGCAGCGTACGTCAAGCATGCTCTCGCCCCTCGCGCGTTTTCATCGACAACCATCCGCATCCTAACCGGCCTCGCATCCTCAACGTTTTCTCAGTCGTTGATCGCCGAGCGGCGTGCCGAGCACCTTGCTGCATACGCCGGGTGTATTTATCCAAACATCCGCCATTCCTTACCCGCTCTTCCTCGCCGATCACGTCTGTTTCCCTTTCTTCACCTGCGCAAGCCTCTCGATTGACACGTAGCCCTCGTGTACCGACGCCCACCACCTTATAACGCACAGGCCGATCCCGCTCATTAACGCCCATACGGTACCTCCACTCGACGCAACCAAACCGACGCGATGCAGGCGCCTCAACAGGGATCGTCTACCGGGCACCTCTCAAGGTTGAATACCACCGCTGCTGGTCCGTCCAACTCAGTGCTTCCCACACCACCTGCTTCCGCGAGCTCCCCCCATCATCGACCGGTAGCAGCTTTGCCTCAGTATTCGCCGCTATCTCCTGGTAAGCCCTCTGTCCTCATGATGTCGTCTTGCTGCTTTTGTGCTGCTTGTGTGCAATCACAAGATGAGTCCTAGCGAGGACTTCTATCGCGTATCGCCACTCAACCTCATACCGAGCGACGTCCAGTGAATCAAAGCATTGGCATGCAAACTTATACTTGACACAGGGGAGCGTCTCACAACAGTGATAGTCGCGAGACAAAGGTTCTCCTAGTATCATTTCGTTGGCCAAGTTCCATTGCGCATCTTACAAGCAACAAAACGACATCACTTACTATATCGACACGCGCTCATCCCCTTTGCATCGCAGGTCCGTCGACGCAGCCGACTCACTTTAATGCAGCGCAGCATCCACATATCCAATCGCCGTCTTCGAGCTCTTTTCCGCGTTATAGAGTTCCTTTGGCGCAATTCGGCGGTGGACCTCCTCCTCAAGCGTATCCTCACCAAGGATCCCCACAGCTGCAACCGCAACACTCGACTTCGCACCCACGAAGCCAATCATTGTCTGTGGCACAGCAGCCCGGAGTAGCGTTCCAACGCGGATCAATGTATGCGCCTCAACACTCTGGTTCGCATGGCGGTAGCCATGGTCCAGGAGCCATTCAAGGGCAGCCGCCCGACCTCTCGCGTCACCACAGTCACGTCCTAGTCTCGCAAAGGCAGCCCGCCCCGCCAGCTAGACAGCATCCGGAGAGGCGTGACAGCACACAGTTCCAGACACCCACACATTCCGTGCAGTCACACAGCGGGAACACGGGTTCCTCGGCAGCACAGCCGAGGCCTCCGTTCTCGCCCAACATACCTCGAGCATCGGAACACAGCCGACACATGACGATATCCCTCTCTGAGTCTGTCGCGGGTCCCGCGTCGCCGTCAGCGTCCGCGCAACAGTTCCAGCCCGCAACTCCCGGTCCGGCTTCAGCAGAGCAGCAGAGACACGCGCCTCCGCAGAATGAGCCAGAAACCCGAGTGGCTTACTCCATCTCCCAATGGGACCCACCGGAGCACGCGCGGCTGACGTTTAACTCACTTGGGAAGCACTTCGCGGAGCTCGTGCACGCCGCGGAGGTGCATCTCGCGCGGGAGCTCGCCCCCGTGAAGGCGTACGCGCTGCAGCTCGAGCAAAGGTATGTGGCGGTCGCCGCCGAGCGGGACACCTTACTGGCCGGGAAGGCTATTGCGCTCACGGCGGCGGAGGCGGAGAGGCAGGCGGCGGGCGCTGCGCGCGCGGCGGTGGCGAAGGAGCAGGCGGCGGTGGCCGTGGCGTTCAATGCGGCGAAGGACCTCGCGACCGCGTGCGCAATGCTGCGCCACCAGCTGAATGCGACGCAGACGGAGCTCCAGCAGGTGAAGGGAGAGCGGGAGAGTCTGAGGGTGGAGAATTGGCAGCTGAAGGAGGTGGTGGCGAAGCTCTCGCGGGACGTGCATTTGAGTGAACGGGAGCGGAAGGAGAGCAACCCGACGATGACAGGGGATTCGCTACTGTCTAGTGGTGCGTGCTCTCTCGAATTGGTAGAAGGGTGTCATGCTCATGGTTCGGTGAATAGCACTGGCAGAGGTCAGGGGTGAACACGACAGGCGAATGCAGGTTGAGCAGGAGCTCACAGAGCTGAAGGCAAAGATAAGCAAGCAGGTGTGTAAATCCTGTTCTTGATCAAGCGCATTCAGCTTATCCCGCATATAGGCACTCCTTCAAACTTCGGGGACGAGTACAACGTGGCCCGAGATGGTCTCTGCGCTGCCGAAACTGGCAGGCCTTCCCGATCCGTTTTCTGGCACACAGCTGGGAAGCGAGACCAGGCACGAGCACTCCGCGACAGAACGACAATCGTCCCTGCCAACAGCCAGTGAGACCTTCATGGGGCTGGCGACGCCACAGTCGCAAGTGGGGACCGTCGATATGGAGCCAGTAGCGCCAGAGAGGGACATGTCGGAAGTCATCGACCTCACGATGTCAGATGGAGCACCGAGCCCACTAGCTACAACAGACAGGAAAAGGCCGGCGAGTCCGCCGATGTTGGACGAGATGAGTGCTCTGAAGAGGAGGAGAACGGAGGAGCTCTGCGCTAGCGAACGAGGCCCTCAAGCTAGAGATCCCTCGCCCGAACGCCCGTCCTCTTCGTCGATGGCCATTCATGAGTTCGGCGCTGCGCCCCTGCTCATGGGTCTCACCTCCACACCTGAAACCGCTCCTCCCGCGGAGCGAGATGCCGATCCCGACCAAACGCTTGTAGACGAGAGGAATGCGCACATGACAACATCCGATGCCACTCCCTCAGAGTCGAAGCCGGATCTGAAGGAGCTCCAAGGCGAGATGAAGCCAGACGTAACGTCTGGGCCGGGTGATCATACCGGTCAGCAAGGTGCCGGGCTGCAAGAACCGATGCATATAGCAATGCGGGAAGAGGAGGAAGAGGAGGAAGAGGAGATCAAAGAAGAAGCACATGCGTCGCCACAGCTGGCTCCCTCCCCAAAACCTACACTATCCGCTCAAAATGAACCTCTACGGACGCCAACGCCAAAAGTAGAGTCACCGCGTTTGCCTTGTCCGCTTCCCCGTGGTACGGCGGGATCGACTGCAGGCCGGGGCCGACCTATGCCTCCATTCAGGGTACATTCGCTTCCCAACAAACCGATGGTGCCTACAAAGTCGAATACACCTGTGCCTCCGAAGCCTTCCGTATTCAAACCTTTGAAGCCGGAAGCATCTGCACCTGTGCAGCGCCCACCCCTCCGAAGGTCGCTCACCATCTCGCACATCCACCTTGCGTACGACGAAGCCGGATCGCGGTACACCTGCGTTATGTGCAAGTACGTCCCCACGCTGCGTAGTATATATCACTCTGTTTGCTGATGTGTTACTGGCTCTACAGGCGTCGGCACGAAAAAGACCGGACCTTCCGCGTCGCGTCATTCTCGACCGACTCGTCTTGGGACACACTTGCTGGTCATGTCGAGCGCGAGCACCCAATGGGATTCGAACGGCTTGTGAACATGAGTCTGGAGCAGATTGCAGAAGCGAACCTCCGGAAGAAGTAATTTTCCTCCCTCACTTTCCCTCAGCGCATGCACCTGTGCACTTAGTACGCGTGCAGCATATGCACGTTTGTCGTTTTCACCTTTATGAGATATGTAGTTCGCACAGAAGCTCAATAGATCGATCACGTATGTACATCTTGTTGTATTCTTAGATCGGGCTGTAATTGTCATGTAACTGCGCCTCATGTGCACGATAGGTCAATAGACTGTTGTTTCCAAAGCGGAAACTACGTCACAGCGTTTGCGCGAGATCGAATCTAGCCATGATAGTCGCAGATCGCTCGAGATCACGAAGTTAAATTTCTTCCAGCATAATTAAATGCTTGCACCGAGGCTCTCAGGTCCAACACACTCGGTCGTCTTCGCCAGAAGCAGTAGCTGTCGTTCGTTGCCTTCATACTCCCATCTCAAGCAGCCCGTTCTGCGTGCCAGGCAACCGACAAAGTATCGACCCCGAGGGACTTCAGTTGAGATGAGTTCCGAAAATGGTGAACTTCCTGGGAATCTATGGGGTGCATGTTCACTGATGGACTCGCATGTTTTCATGTCGCAGTGCTTGTTGGAGTGATTGGAGGCAGCGGGCTGTACCATCTGGACAACCTCACATTTGTGTGAGTCAAGGGACTCGCACACCACAGAGACGACGGATTGATTGTTTGCTGTCCAATAGCAAGCACGTCAACCCTGAGACGGTATGAGTCTTGCCTTCATGCATCGATGTAATAAGCTAATGTGCAGTAAGTAGCCCTGGGGGTTCCCTAGCTCACCCATAACCATCTGTACCCTCCCGTCGGGCACCCTTGTCGCGTTCCTCGCTCGTCATGGCACCGGACATACCATCAACCCATCTGCCGTCCCTTCGCGTGCTAACATAGCTGCCCTCAAGTCACTGGGTGTGCGCGCCGTACTCGCTTTCTCAGCAGTAGGCTCCCTGCGCGAAGAGATCGCACCGGGGGACTTCATCCTACCTACGCAGATCATCGACCGCACGAAGGGCATACGTCCCGCAAGCTTCTTCGAAGGAACCAGCGTCGTAGCACACGCAGCCTTCGGCGACCCGTTCGCCCGGGGCTTGGTTGGCTGGCTAGAGAGCCGCGTGAGGGCCGTGCTAGAAGAGGATGGGAAGGCCGCAGTTCAGGAGGGCAAGCGCGTGCCGCAGCTGCACACGGAGAAGTGCGTCGTGTGCATGGAGGGCCCGCAATTCTCGACGCGGGCGGAGAGCAGGATGTACCGCGCGTGGGGCGCGGACGTGATTAACATGAGCGTGCTTCCCGAGGCGAAGCTTGCGAGAGAGGCCGAGCTGAGGTGCGTCTTCGTTGTGTCGTGCTATACATGCAATTCATGTTCTTCCGTAGCTACGCACTGATTGCGACCTCTACGGACTACGACTCGTGGCGCGAAGGTGAGGAGTCGGTGACTGCGGCAGAGGTATTTATGACCCTGCAGGAGAACGCACGTCTGTCGCGCCATGTAGCCGCGCGAATACTCGAGGAACTTCACGGTGCCGCAGTGGAAGGAAGCCTACTTAAGGAGGAGCAAGGGTCGATGCAATACTCCATCATGCCGCGGTCGCAGCAGCAAAAGGAGGAGGACCGCCAGAAGCTGGCGTACGTCTTGCCTACCTACTTCAGCTAACGCAAACACTGGTAGCGAAGGGCGTGCTCGTTCATCAGCCATGCCATCACGCGATGGATGGGAGATGTCTTCCTGGAACCCGGGTATGACAGAAGCATAGACTGTGTCTATACCGACCAGTTGTTGTAATACGGTATACACAAGTTCCCTGGGATGTACTGGGGATATAAGACAGGCTTTGTTAATACTGAGACAACAATGTAACACTTCGACTGCTCAGCACGACTCCGAGAGCATCTCGACAGGCTGGAGATCCATCTACACTGCCCGCCCACGCCCGCGCGAGCCAAGCATCAATACACCGCATCAGTCCTCAGCCTCGCCCTCCTCAGCCTGTACAAGCTCCAAATAGCTCTCCGGCACGAGCGCATGCCCGCCGTCCTCATTCTCCACGATCGCCCACCCGACACCACCACCCCTGCCAATGATCCTGACGATCTGCTCTTCCTCGAGCGCCATCTCCGCCGTGCCCTCCGGTTCGAACGCAAACATGGCGCGATAGATGCCTGGAACGAGCGGACCCTCCTCGCCGGGCTGAACGTACTCCTCCTCGTCTTCCCCCTGCTGGTATGGGTCGGGGACCTCCTCCGAGGGCGAAGACACGTCGAAATTGCGCTCAAAGTCTGTGCGCGAGGGCCCACCCGCGTCTGCGCTGGCGACGGAATCGCGGACGGTGTCGTGCGGCCAGAGGTGAGCGCTGAGGGTGTTCCACCGGAAGGAGCCCCAGCCGGAATCAGGTTCGTCCTCGGGGATGCCGGACGCATTGGAGCTGGTGGAGGAGGTGCTAGCAGTGCTGCGGCGGACGCGGTTGGGGCGCGGGACGTCGACGCCCTTGCCGACGTGGCGGTCGTCGTTGCGCGAGAAGGCAAAGTCGCGGATCTTGACGAGGAAGGACTTGCGCTTCTTCTCCTTCTCGGGTGCGGGCGTGGGCGTGGGCGGGGCGGACGCGGAGGCCTCTGCGGGGAGCCTGGATGCGCGCCGGGAGCGTGTGGAGGAGCGGCGTGAGAGCGCAGCAGAGGTGCGCCGGGAGAGTGCGGGGCTTGGGGGTGCTGGGCGGGACGAGGTGAGGGAGTCGCGCTGGGAGGAGACGCGGGAGAGATTGAGCGCAGTGGGGCGCGCGACGTCTGGGAGCGATCCCAGAGCTGGGCTGGGCATGGGCTCTGGAATGGTGATCTTGGGTGTGGCCGGTGGTGTGAGCGGATTGGGACCGGCCTCGCTCGGTGTGGGGGTCGTAGGTGGAGAGGGACCCGTGCGGTCGAACGCGGTCTTCATGGACGCCGTCGTCGGCGTCACGTCGTCGTCAACATGTCTCGATCCCCCCGCTGCCGTTGCCATCGTCGGCGACAGTGCTGCCGAAGCAGGCGTGGATGGCAGCTCGGTTGACGGACGCTTTTTGTGGACGTTGTTGCGCATCTGCAGTGGTGTTCGTAGGGCGAATTCGTGCGCACTCAAGCGTGGTGGAGGTATAAATGGTGAGCCTGGCGATGGAAACGGCGACGACGATGCGATATGGTCAACGGAGAGAGAAAGGCGAGGGATGTCTACGGCGTCCGGATTAGCTCTCGCTTCTTTCACGCGGCGCACAATGGTAGCCGAAGGGGTAATCCGCACCTGTACTTTCCTGCGTGGCTGCAGATGCCATCGACATGCAACAGGGCGAAAGCGTCGTGCAGCTCGAGGACGAGGACGAGGACGACGATGAGGAGCAAGTCTTAACCAAGTCTTAACTTGCTCGCAACCGCAGGACTGCAAGGGTCCTTACGTAATCATTCAGGAGCGTTGCCAGGCAGAATCCTTCGCGACAACTTCCGATAACCCATTTATTAGCCTGTTAACCCAGCGTTATCCTGCCTCAATGCCTATAAACTCAACTGAGCTACATACTTACTTCGTACTCGACGTCCACCATCGTCTCGCTCGTTTCCCTCCCATCCGTCGCGCTGATGTGGTCGTCTTCGCCTCCTGATGTGCACCACAAATGCCATGACTTGCCTTGCGATACTTTCTCGGCCGTCTTTTGATCGTCTCCTCCCGGGCCCTACACTCTGTTCTGACGCACCTCTGTTACCCGTCGCGTGAGCGACGACAGTGCCCAACCATGACACTGCCTTGTTATCGGCCCTTGTCGAAATCTCTCATCTGTTGGCGAAGCCCGTTGGCCTGCACAGACTACGCTGATACCAGGACTACCGCAACAGAAGAGCTATACGAGGAGCACCCTTGACAATGTACCTAAAGCGGGTGGTCGTCGGGTCGTACACCGGTACGACGATTCAGTGACGTGTCAGGCTTTACATCCCTCCTTGTAACCGCCGCTCGCATTTTGCTACTGTCCCTCTCCCCGTTGGGAAGCTCCCTGCCGCCACAGCGTTCCCTAGACGGGTATATGCGTGTTTGATCAACGGTGAGTGGAATATACTTGTCTCTCTGCCATCCTGCCATCCGAAGATCATTGCATGCGAAGATCGCATGCGGAAGTTGTTCTTTGCCTTTCTTCTACGCGGTCTTTGTAAAACTAGTCCCTTCCCACTATTGTAGTGAAATTGTCCCATCGGAGAACATTTCTCCTTCGCCAGCACCCGTAATTATTGCTCTGCTGCGATGTAAATTAACATCCTAGGCACGCGCTGTTCTTATAGTGACCGTTACACACCGTCGTGAGTTGGACTGCATGTACCGACGTACCAACTTGTCGACATCAGGTGAGCGACCATGATGCGCATGGCCTCGGTGATGCACTTCACAATCTGCAGGGGAGATACTGTAGAAACCCCTCCGATTGGAATAGTGGCCAACGCCTTACATTGAAGGCAACTCGTGTTCCCTCAACAATTTGCCATAGTCTCCGTTGCAGATCGTAAACGCGGACAAACATCTGGTTTGCCAGGGCAATGCGAGACGTGCCCAGCATCTGTGTTCCTTGGAGGGTTTCAGCCAGCAACATCGCAAGGTATTGCCGAGTTATGTATTATCCGATTGACGGGTTCTCAACTACTTAGGAATATCGTACTAGGGCGCCGGCAGCGATCCCATGTCATATGACTGACATAGTTGGTGCTGGGTGAGTTTTGTGTGCTTCTCCTTCCGCTGTAAAGTGACTGATCCATAGGTCGGTGCCTTGAAAGCCCATGCAGTTCCGCGCTTGGCATATGTTGTCTCGCCAGCGCTCCTGGTGATTGATATAGCCGCGGTGCTCACTGGTTCGTTCTCTCGATGGGCTTCTACTGTTCAAATTCGAAATGCCTCTGCTAGAGACTCATATATTTCCTCTCGGGCGCACCATGTTGTGGTTGGATCCGCGCCATCGAGACAGGTGAGGATCCATTGGATCGGTTTCAAGTCATGCAGTGGCGACAGAACAGTTTGACATGCGGTTTGCCAGTGCTCTACCCGTTTGCTCCGTGACCCGTTTCGGCGTGGTCCATCTGTGGCGTTGGACCGCACGGAACGCTCACATGAATACGGACCAATTGCTCGCAACATTGCCACGTCTCCAAGGCAAATCTGAGCATTCCGAACCGTTTCTGGGTAAGTCGACTTCTTACGCCATACTGGAAGGCGCGCGCTCATGATCCAATGCATAACCCAGCTCAACGTCAGCGACTGAGCGGAATTGTACACCGCCCTTTCCACAGATGTAATCAAGCGTACGTCAGCTTCTGCTGACAGAACGGCGTTCAGTTTCCGAACACAAAGGCATAGAAGAAGACGCATACGCAACAGATGGCGATTGAACCTAGTGGCCCTTCAGAAAAAAGAACCTAATTCTGTCTTTTTGAACATTGTGCACTACCGCTCATATACCTCAGCCCAGGTTCTCAGAAGCTGACCAGCGATGGAGTGCGCTGGTACTCATGTCTCCGGTTCGAACGATCCCATGAGCGGTATGACAATCTGGGCTTTTTTCTCCGTTGCCACCATCTGACGCCTTGGTCGTTTGTATCATTCCACTTTGGTCCTCGTAATCTATGTGGAGGTAACTCTCGCACACAGTCTTATGCATTAACCAGATTTGTGCGGTATCATGTCTTTATGCTGGTCTTTGTGGGAATGGCGGCGATGCGTGGATGTGTCGTCCCTTCATCGTACTCCGGACGCCCGCCATAGGTGACACTCTACCCGCTGCATCAGCGTGTGTCTCAACTTTGTCCAGACGTATCCGATGCGGTGCTGATATATCAGGGCTATCCAGACAACCGACCAATCCCTCCTTGTGAGAAGCTCGACGTCTCGCAGTGTAAGTGGCCCTCTCTCCTGCTTGGCTTGAGACGAAACGCACGACTGCAATTCCAGTCTCCGAGTACCAAGACCCCGAATGTCGCTCTCCTCTGGTGCGAATGGTTCGACTGGCCAGATCTCCGTGCAGGAAGATAATCCGGTACAGGTCAGTACTCATAACTGTGTGGCTTCGATGAGTCTCGCGATCCTGATACAGAGAGCGAGCAGACAGAACAGGGCGGCTCGGACCATCAGTCTCAGCATGAACATGCTGGTGCCAGGAATGCGTCACCCGGACAAAACCCGGTCCCTGCCTCTCAATTTTACAGTTGGGTGGGTGTCACAGTACCATGACGTCCTATGTAGGCTAATTATTCGCTGTAGAGGGAGATCATTGAGAATATGGGGGATACGAGTGTTCATGGTTATCGGGCACCATCGAGCGAAGACCCGAAGGTAGGACTTTATGCCTCGCGTCCGAAGTGGTGTGTATTCATCGTTCCGGCGTCGATGGCAGATGTCGGATCTATCACAGTTGACCAAGGAGATATGGGACCATGAGAATGCACGCGTGAAGAGGTGGCGAAACGAAATCAACTCCTTGCTGACATTTGCAAGTATATGTTTTTCCGTCTTCGACGACATTGCTCTGACACGGGGGCACCCTAGGCTGGTCTGTTTGCCGCAGTGGTCACTGGCTTCGGCGTCCAGTATTACACCATGATGCAGCAACCTGCCGCGCCCGACTACAATACGCAGATTCTCGAGCGTATCTCGCTTCAACTGGCAGGTTTCGTCAACCAAACCGATAGCAACCCTTCGCAACCCTTGCCTTCATCCTTGCCGCCGTTCGACATACCCGAGATAGCCCCTGCGCACGCATATGTTGCAGCGTTGTGGTTTGCGGCGCTGGTGTGCGGTCTTGCTGCTGCATCAATCGCGATCCTGGTTAACCAGTGGGTGAACAACTTATTGACCCCAGTCGCATTATCTGGCACCGGGTCACACGAGCAACTGCGGGTGTGGAACCTGCGTCACCAAACCTTCCGGAGCTGGGGACTAGCAGTTTTCATCGACATTCCGTCGGTCTTGCTGCAGGTCGCGCTCATATTATTCCTCGTGGGCCTTGTAGGATACCTTTGGCAGCTCAGCGTCAGAGTTGCCATGCCATCACTCATCCTCGTCGCCGTCCTCCTGTCATTCCTCTCTGTCACCACCATCTTACCCGTCTTCCTTGCATACAGCCCCTTCATTTCCCCACAGTCTCTGTTTCTGCGCTGGGTGTGTGCACCTATCAAGTTGTCCTTCTATTGGGCGACGACGCAGTTCTGCACTTGGCTGTGGGTCATGAACCAAGTGGCGTGCATCGATGAGTTTCTCGAGACTCTGATGCAACAACTCAAAAAACAATTGGAAGACTTTCAAGCTCTCCAAACGTACGGCTACTATGGGTGGGCAACGGAAGAGACAGCGTACCTACGGAGCGAAGCCGGACAGGCAACTGACAAGACCATGATTGCGAACGCGTTTTCACTCGTCAAGGATTACGACCTTCTTCTACCTCTCGTACGCACCTCACTGAAGGACATGCAGTCGGACGTAGCGATGAGTAATGTGGTCACCATCTGCGAACGAAGACCGCCCGCCCTAGTAGACGATGACATTGCGCGGTGACGACATGATATCCGGGACAACAACATATTCCTCGAGATGGGCAAGCTCGTCGCGGATCGCATATCGACGGATATGAAGGAGCTGGTCGGAGACGAAAGGAAGAACAGTGTAGTCCAGGCCCTCGATGCCTTTGACTACTCGCTCGGTGCCGTTCGGGATGACGAAAAAGGGATGGAAATGTATGTGCAATTGTTCGATTTTTTGCGACTCCAAGGCGTCACGCGCGACACCGAGTTGAACATGAAGATCCTCAAGTTGATATGGCGATATGATGAGTATTTCTCTATCAGTACTGACACTGGTCAGCAGGTTGCCCAGTCTCACCGTCGAGTGTTCGGACTGACCTCTAACATAGATATCAATCGTGTCAAAGCCGTGAATTGGTGGAGCTACACCACTCAACCTAGTCTACGCATGACCATGATCTACACAGCTCTGGCTCTGGAGATATTCACGGAACTCGATGCGGAACGCATGTGGGAACACGTTCAGGACGCACTGAGCAAACTCAAGACTTATCTCGAGGAAGCGAAATTAACTTCTACTACAAATAATTCGTTGAATCTTCCGCTTTGGAGCGATCAATACCTCAAGACCAATCTCAATTACTTAGTATGTTGACAGTGCAACTGATCCCTGAAACCCATAATGACTGACGGACATTTTCGTGAAGAGTTTTATTGGCTTCATGTATGACAGAAAACCGGTTCTCCACATGTTGGAGGGAGTCTTGGAAGATCTTCAATTACTGGTTAGCGAGGAGGAATTCAAGAAGGTTATGGTTCGGTGGTCCTTCCAGGAAATCTCCGAGAATGTCCGTACACGCCTCGAAGACTTGGATAAGCCGTAGGTCAATAAATTGTTCAATGACCTCTACTGATCATGTAAGCAACAGTGCCTCATCGCCGCCTGAGAAAGAAGAGCGGAGCTTTGTGGATGGAGAAACCAATTTCCAAGAGACTGGCACTGGCATGGCGGGAGCAGCGCGAAGCACGAGCTGCCAGCTACGGATCGTGGGCAAACTGAGGTGCTGTCCCTCATCAATATCTTCAAATTCCTCACAGGACTGATGCCTTCGCAGGCATTTGTTCAGATGTACCCACCGTCAAGCGCAAGGTGACGTCGAAAACAATCCTCAAGAATTGCAGGACGCGAAGTTATCCGAGCCTATCTCCAAGACGGATGTCACCATTATTGGGGCACAACCATCATTATCTGAAGGATCGACCTCAGTGCGTGGCTCCGCCGGGGTTTGACATCATTGTTCAGTGAGCCATGTGTGTGTCACTTGCCAGCGGGTAGTTTCCTTGTAATGACCGATATCACCTCCTTAGCCCAGAAGACTGGTTGACTTCCGGAACCCCCGACTGCCCTCTCGCCGAGAATTCGCTGTCGCTCAATGATTCATGCCTTTACGTCCGCAAATTCAGGGCAGACTACATGCAGACAGGCGACGCTTGCATACAGTGTAATTGGTCGTGTCGTTAACTCGCACAGATGTCTCTCAGCTCGTCCTTTCCTGGTGCAGCAGGTCCGTTGGATGCTCGCCCTGTGCAGGAACTGTGCAGTGCACGCCGTCTTAGAGTTCGGGTGAAATTAGTCCGATAGCTATCATACGATATAGTTGCTTCTCTCTCAGCCTGTCAAGGCAGGTCCGAGTGCGTTTCTGGTGACAGGCGTGCGAGGATGCGCGCGCTTCAAGCAGACGTCCTCCTCTTTACGTAGCAGAGAAGTTCCTCCGATGTGACAGGAAGCAAGGCCCGCGAGATGGGCCGCAGCGAGTACAAAAGGCCGTGTCTGCGTAGCGGGACCGCGTACGCCCTTCTACCTCCCACCTCCACCACAGCAGACAATAATCAGTCATGGCAATCATCGAGAGGTATGCTCTATCCAGTGCTGTTCGAGCCTCTCGACTCAATGTAGACGTACGTTCAGACGCACCATTCGCTACATAATCATCGGCGTCGTCGTAGGCGCGATAGTCGTATCGATCATTGTCCTGCCGGCCGTTCTCCCTGGCGCGCTCGGTGCCATGGGCTTCACGCCTATAGGCGTGCAGCTTGGTGCGCAATGCTCCGAACTTTTACCAATCAAACACTGACATCGAGTGTCGACGTCTGCAGGTTCCACCGCAGCCGCCATCCACTCGTCGATCGGCCTCGTCGCCGCGGGCTCCACCTTTGCTCTCGCCCAATCGGTCGCAATGGGCGGCGCCATCCCTATCCTGTGGACACTGGGCGCCGCGGTCGTCGGGATGCTCCTTGGAGGCGCGCTGGGCGGATTGGCTGCTCGACTCCAGACCATTCTGGCCCCTCACGTCGCGCGTATGATGCGTGGGGCACGAACGGTCGTGAGTCGCGCTGCGCGTGGTCTGAACCGCCTGGCGTCGTGCGTGAGGTCTTGGTTTTGACGTACTTCATGTGATGCTGGAGGATTCTCCGTTGTGTATGTCTAGTGTCCATGATACCCGAGTGTTGTATTTGTGACTGTAAATTGCTGCGAGAATCGTTATGCATCGATTGATCAGTATGGTCTTTCTGTCTATCGCGCCTGCGGTCGTTTGAGCAAGATGTATACGTGGTTGATTCAAAGTTGATCGTCCCAAGCAGTATTCGAACTGAAAAGGCCTTGTAGATAAATAGCTATGGATACTGTTGTCCTTGACAGTACACGGCGAGGCACGAAGATGCCCCGGGTCAATGTGGCCCTGACAGCACCTTGAAGTTGCATCTACTGACCCCGTTCACACATGAGTAGTCTGTCTTGCTACCCTTGAAGCTTGAAGCTGGAAGACGGGCTACAAGTTACTGTACACTAATCATACTCTCCCGAATTCTGAAGGAAGAAGGACTGCGCTTCCGTAGCCGATAGTCCGACACACTGCATGCCCGTTCACGTCTGCAAGGCATCGGCAAGAACCTGCTCGAAAAACATGCTGAAATGCGTGCCCGGCACCTCCACCCGACGCATATCCGGGAACGCCCTCTCCAAGCCGTACGCATCCCAGCTCCCGTCCGGCACGATCCTCCTCATATCCCCGAGCACGCCCTCCCTCGCCACGACCAACGTCACGGGCGCCTTGATGGACCGCAGCCACGCGACGACGGCGTCCTGCATCGCGTCCAGCGAGTAGGGCGTCTCCGGAGGCAGGAGCTCGAACAGGAACTCGTACGTCCCCTTCACGATGTACTGGAACAGCTCCCAGACCCGGTCGTAGGACGTCCCGGGGACCCCGTGCGAGATGTCCTCGTAGTTCTGGGCCATCATGTGCCGGGACGGAGCGGGGTCCGCGCGGAGCAGCGCCAGCATCGTCTGCAGCGCTTGCAGCACCAACTCGTGCGACGGTCTCCGCTCTCTTGCAGACTCCGCGTCAGGCTCCAGGTACGGCGAGATGAAGAGCAGCGGGGAATGGTCGAGGAGGTATATCCGCTCGACCTCCTCGCCCGCATCGAGCAGCTCCTCGGCCAGCATGAACGCGATGACGGTCGTCGCCGAGTACGCGCCGACGCGGTAGGGGCCTCGCGGTTGCACCGCCCGGATCCGCTGGCAATAGAACTGGGTCATGGCGCGGAGAGAGTGCAGGGGCGTGTCCGGGGTGGTCTGTACCGCCCAAAAGGGCTTCGCCCACTTGTGCTGGCCCACGGGCGCGATCGTCGTCACGTTTCCCGGCGCTCCGTGGACCATGAACAGAGGCGGACCACCCTCCTCCACGTCGACGAACTTCACTATCGTCTGCAGCTCGGTGTCTTCCGCCGTCGTGCTCCGGTGCGACGCTTGGGCCGAGCTCGTCGGGGCCGGCGCTGTTTCACGGAGCCTGTCGTAGAGGGCGGACATACTGAGCCCACCCAGGAGCTGCATCGAGGACACGAAGAGATACGGCCTAATGGCGAGGGCGATGCGTCCCGCAGACAGCGAGTCGATCCCGTATGATGTCAAAGGAACTTCGGGGGAGAACTCATTCATCTGGATGTCCAGGTGTCGTAGAATAATATCCTGCAGTGCGGCTTCTCGGTTCAGCGCCTCGTGCTCCGGACTGGGATTCGACAGGTGTGAAACCGGCGTAGCAAGATGATCGTAGAGAGGCGAGGGCCCATGTGTTGGTGAACAAGGTCCCAGTTGAAGTCGGGGACGTAGAGACCTACGGGTCCGTCTGCGAGCTTGTGTATTCCGTCCTCGAGGTAATTGCAGAACTCTTCAGTGAAGTGTCAGTCCTGAAGACGATGGTCGGAGCCATGAAAAGTACACACCTTCGGACGAGAATGCCCATTCCATTAAGTGATTCAGTTCCGTCCTCGGACCATGGACATCGCCAGCCTGGCTCGCAACAGAGGCCGTGTCGACAATAGCAGGTGCAACGATAGCGAAGGCATTCCTATACTGCATCATCATTCCCTCAAGAGCCGTATTTGCGCTGCCAGATAGAATGAGACAATCCTACTTCAGGACAGCAATCAGCGTAAACCTCACCTAGCATAGTTGGTCTGTCCAATGTTTCCAAACGTCGCGATTGACGAAACGGCTACGAAGAAGTCCAGTGATTCAATGTCCATCGTAGCCTCGAGGGCCTCGAATGCCTGCACTTTGGGACGAAAGACGGCCTCGAAACTCTCGGCGTCTTGGAAAAGGAACATGCGGTCCATGAGAACGCCCGAGAGAAGTATACAGCCTGCGATCCGCTGCTCAGGGTTGGAGAGCAGAGCTTGCAACGCGCTCTGCGATACGGCGTCGCACGCCTCCAGCTTGAGAGACAGATCGGGTCGGGTCTCGAGATATCGGAGAATACGCAAAGCGAGGATGTTGTTCGCGCGCTCGAGGGATGCCCGTCCAGAGCGCGATGTCAGAATAATGGAGCGAGCGCCCCCCTGACCTTCAATTAGCACGAGACACTCTTGCAGAAACGTGCTGGGACTCACGTCGTACATCCAACGCGCAACGTGAAGCCCTAAACTTCCAATACCACCGATCAGTATGTAGGTCTCGTCGGCCTTGAAGAGAGCGTCATGTTCTTCTTGTTCGATCGGTTTCTCCGCGTGAGCGTCAAGAGCAGTTTGAGTGGGAGGAGTAGCTCGATCAGTTGGAAACTCGGAGCTAACAAGCTTCTCCAGTCCGAGCCGCAACGTCTCCCCGATGAGGTAGGGATTGCTTGCGATCGTATGTCGAATCAGATTATTGCCGTCGGAGCAATCGAAGACGCGAGCACCGCTGCCGGCGAACGTTCTGGCGATGTCAGCATCGCGGGTGCACTCACAGACTATGATATCCGGGGTTTGGAGGGAGAGACGCGCAAGGGTGACGGGCAGACTGCGAGCGTCCAAGGCAACAGGATGCACATTCAGTTGTCGAAAGAACCATATGAGGTGTTGTCCCAACTCGGAGCCATCGGACACGACAAAGATTCGGCCTGGCAATCCACGTCCGGCGCCGGCGAAAGCATCTGCGCCCAGCAGCATCCCCACAGCGAGTATGCTGGGCGAGACCGCTGCAATGTCATGTGCGGCAGATTCGTCGTGTATACGAGTAAGGCAGTCGCGATGCAGCGTCATGATAGTGCGACGAGGTGCGTCCGATACGACGGTAACGACTAGTGCGCCGAGAAGAGATGGCGAGGTGTCATCGGAATCAGATATAGCAACCACTCGACATATTACGCCGTGGAGCGTCGATACCTGGGAGTGCGTAGCGATAACCTCCAAGCGGACGTGTTGTGCAGGGGGCTTACCCACAGGGAGAGCTGAGCGGATCAAAGATGATGCTTGGGTTCCAGGCGAGGAGGATGCACGGAAGCGGGGTACCAGGATTTCGCCGTGCTTGGTGAGGACGAATTCCCGGTCTGATCCCGCCCTGCGAGTTAAGAGGCGGATGTGCTTGATGATATCGACTTCTGGCATTTCGTCTGTGCAAGTGAGCAACCCGATGTCCCACTGCGGGAATTCGCGCCGTAGACACCTGGTAAACCCTCTCGCGGCATCTCCATCTCGTTGGGTTTTTGCGATGAACCAAAGGGAGAGCGGTGCATTGACGTCGAGATGCCGTATGTTGGCTTGAATCGCAGTTTCGTGGCCGAGTTGGTAATACAGAGTCTGTGGAATCTTGGTCATGTCCGTTGAGCGTTCTCCGACCAGAGCAGCCGAGGGCTGTGAAGCGTACAGTAAGTATTTCCACGACTTCAGTATGCGCACATTCAATCTGCGTCATTGAAGTTCTCACCATGTGCTCAATCCCGTTCTGTAGATCTGGTGAAGCCTGTGTGGACATAGCCAACAGCTCGTGGACCAGCGTGAAACGCTTTGACACGGCCGAAATCGGTTCGTTCAAGTGACGGCTCACGACGAGGTTTTCTAGAGTACAGATCTTGCGGCCAGATTTGCTGAAAACGAACACATCGCTTATGACCTGATCTGATGAGATGCGACATAGGTCAGCTGCGCAACAGAACGTCCAACAAACTGTCCAAACCTGGGAGCCACTGCCTAAGTACTGCATAGGCGTAGACCTTCTCGCGGAATGTGGAGTTCGTCGGGACATCGTCAAGGCGGAAGGACGATAACAACGAAGGTAGGTAGTAGGCATTGGGATCATAATTAGCTGTGAAGCGTGGGTGGGCGACCACGTGTATGCAGGCATCGAGGATGTTCGGAGGCACGACATACATCCTGAGAGCCAGATATCAGTTTCGGGCGTGGTTTTAACGTTGGGCTACGCACGATGTCGAGTCGTCTTCGAGGGCTCTAACCTCCACCAGAACGTCGTTATTGCCGAAATGACAGCGTGATATGAGGCGGAAATGAGAACCATACTGAAAGTGCTTGAGGTCGGCATAGAAGTCTACCAATAGAGTGATTGTAATCGGCGCCGCACTGATGCAATGGGCGAAGCAACAATATGCTGACCTTGTGCGTCATGGAGCTCACGACTACGAAGGAGGTCGCCAAGATCAATCTTTGTCGCAACACAGGCCCCAATGTCAGGTTGATCACAGAGCATGTAGCCCTCAGCGTGGAGAGTTGAAGCCGCCACGTCCTGACCATGCCAACGTTATGGTGAGTTGTGAGCGATGAGAATGTCATGGAAGACGGGTACTGGTGACGAACCTTCTCCTGATAAGATTGCGTTGCTGTCCTAGAAGAGATACTCCACTGTAGTCCATCCCGTCTGAACTCGAGCAACGGAGGACGCTCGGAGGAAAGCGAGAAGAAGGAATGGAACTGCACGTTCCAAAGAAGAAATGATCCCGCTTCCAATGCCTAACACGACTCTTACTATTCAGACAACAATGAGAATCGTGATGAACGCATACCATCTCTAGGAAGCCGCTCGCAGGCATGATGGGCTCGTGGTTGATGATATGCTGCGCGATGTCGGGATGCGTCATGTAGCTGACCCGTAGGCTATTCCCGTGCAAGGGCCTTAGTGCAGGCCCAATCTGCGTCCGCAGAAGGGGTGAAAACTCCGGTAGGTAGGCAACCGTTTTCTTCAAGAAAGGATATGGAGGCGTCCGAGCCTTACGGCTTCGCAGCCGCTCGACAGGGCACAAGACATCGAAGTCAACGCCGTTATAACCTGCTGCAACAACGTGGCCCAACGCGGTCAGCAACGCAAACTCTTCATCGCCCGCGTCGTAAGACCTCGTCCGGCGCATGGGACACGCTACGGAAGACGGCGTTGCTCCGATCTCCTGGAGGTAGCCCGACAGAATGGGATGAGGACCAATCTCGACGAAGATCGCATTCGGATGGTCGTGCAATATCCGCCGCACCGCTTGCACGAAGAGTACAGGATCCCGACTGTTGCGCCAGAAATAATCAGCCGTGAAGTGCCGGAGTCGCATACCCGTCGCAGTAGAATAGGTCGTGACGCGAGGATTCAACAGGTCCTCGCCATGGCGCTGATATATTTCGGTAAGTCGTGCGCAATACTCCTCGCGGCAGAGCTCCATCAGAGCTGAGTGCACCGCGACGCCAGTCTGGATTCTTCGCGACAGGATGCCTTGCTCTTGGGCCACGTCGACGGCGCGTTGTATTGAGTATTCGTCACCAGCGATGGCAACAGCCTCGGGACCGTTGTAGCATGCAATACCCAGGGCTCGGCCATGCTTTGGATCGTCTGAGTCGGAAGTCCTGACCGCGTGGATGATAGCTTGAGCACGGTGTGGTGCGCACGACAAAGCCACCATGGCTCCCCTTGCCTGCTCGACGGCCTCCATGACTTTCCCACGCATAACAGCGATTTCCATCGCCATACGCTTCGATCCCGCACCACAGGCATAGAGCATGGCGGTTTCGCCTGCCGAATGGCCCATGACAATGTCGGGCTGCACACCGAGCTTGACGAGGAGGTCATGAAGGGCAATATGCACCATGAGGAGAGACGGCAGGATAATCCTGATTGGCCAGATGTTCGGAAGGGGCTTAACTGTCGTGGCAGGACCAAATAGCCCGACATCCTGAAGGAGGGATGTCCCAGTAAGCTCAAGATGAATCTGGTCAAGTTCTTGGATAGTCGTGCGGAAGGATTCAAATCTGGCGAAGAGCTGACGACCCACTAGTTCACATAGTCAGATGTACATTGTACATAACATACTGATTGCTGTTACTTACTTTCCATATGCTGTGGACCTTGTCCTGAGAAGAGAAAAACAACCTTGGGCCTTTCATGGGGAGAAAGAATAGGCTCTGGAAACTTGAGCATATTAGCCTGCAACTTGTCTCTGTTGATGACTGTGAAAGTTCTCCAAGTCATGCTTCTGACTTGATGACCATGAAGATTTGAGATAGCAGCTAGCTGTGATGGAGATTGTCTGATGGTTTCCTGAAGGTTTTGGGCCATTGATGTGGCAGATCTTGGAGATAGGCCTCCTGCCATAAGCAACTGTAGAGGTCCTGAAGAAAGTCTAGAATCATGGACTATGACTGGACAGCTTTGCAGCAAAGTATGTCCATTTGATCCTCCAATTCCAGAGCTGCATATTGAGATTAGTGACCCTCCTGCAACAGAGTGAGGTTTCAATGAAATTGGCTGCAGAGGAACATGGAGTCTATACTGATCCCATGGGATAGCAGGGTTCTTCACTTTGAGGTTGACATTTGGTGGAATAACACCAGTCTCCATGATACCACAGACCTTGCAGATAGATGCAAGAAATGCAGTAATCTCAAGATGGCTTGGAACACAAAATTAGAGTTGGTCTTAGCATATCTGAGAAATGAAATATTTGAGACTGACCCAAGGTTCCCCTTTACACTGCCTACCAGCAGTTCTCCATCTTTGCTGAACTTTTCACCCACCCAAGAGGCTTCAATGGGATCTCCCACAGTTGTACCTAGTACCCATGTTAGCATGATATGTTTTTGATGAAATAAACAGCAGCACACCAGTGGCATGCATCTCAACAAAATCTACATCCTGTGGGACATAGCCTGTTGCATGGAAAGCTCTCTCCATAGCTTCAGCTTGTGCAGATGCAATAGGTGCATGTACAGGTCCTGCAGATCCACATGCATTGATACCAGTTCCCAAGATCTAAATCTAGTCAGTCCTGGTATAGCATCTCACATCTCTGTGACCTACATTAGCATAGATATGGTCACCATCTTTGACTGCATTCTCATAGAGCTTTAGGACAATTGATACTGCCCCTTCACTCCTGGAGAATCTATACAATCTTCAGTATGCATATCAATTACAGCATAGATGGCCAAGTTGTTACCCATCAGCATGAGCATCAAATGGCTTGCACTTTCCATCCGGCGCAAGCACAGATGCTTGGCTGTACTGGACCCAATCAGCCAGTCTGGTTCAATATCGTGTCAGATTGACTCTCATATATTTTATATGGCTTACCTGAGATTGAGTTGGCAAGCACTTACAACGGCGGCTTCGCATTCCCCTGCACGCAATGCTTGCACTGCCAAATGAGTCGCAGTAAGGCTCGAGCTGCACGCCGTGTCCATAGGAATGGATGGTCCCCGAAGATCAAGATGATATGATATTTTGTTAGCGACCATGCAAGGCATGCCCGCGAACGACCCTCTAGCCTCAGTAAGATCCTGAAAACGCCAAATCCTAGTCAGATCAATGACGGACATATAGCGACCTGTCTAACGTACGGGTTCAGCGATGTTCATAATGTCATGATTCGTTGCTGTAGCGTAACAGCCGACGTTCCGGCCTCGATAATCTATGCCCGAGTCCAAAAGCGCGAGGAAAGATAGCTCAATAAGCTTTCTAGTACTCGGCGACATCGCGCGAGCGTCCTTCGCCGATATACCGAACTCGAGGTGATCGAATTTGTCGACATCCTTGAGAAAGCCGCCATGCGTCGTAGCCACCTTTCCTAGAGCATCACCCGCCCACCTCATCATAAACCTCAGCGATGGTTCGATGTCGACACCTTAGATCGTCAAACTTACGAGTGTGTATTAAACCGTTCACGTGGGACTTCCGTGTACGCTTCGCCCTTCTTGAGTAAGAAGTCATGGAATTCAGCGAAGCCAAGGTCATGGTCCGCGAATATGCCGCTCGGAAGTGCAGCAGCGATACCAACCTGAGCAATAAACCTTCATGAGCCCAACAAAGTTCATGCTGAAAGTTCAAATGATGGAATACGTACGATGGCTACCGCACTACGCTGAACGGGTGAAGCTTGAATCTCTGTAACAGTCATTTGCGCCTCACAGAAGGGTTGTGCGGTACGAGCGTACTCCTCGCAGCTGACACGGGACTACGTCTTTTCAAGGGTTACACGCAAAATACACGCTGTTAGGAAACGCGCAGAACGCGGTTGCTTACCTACTATCGGAGTCTCTTGGTTCTCTGATCGTACACGCCGTGGCAATGTTCACGAACCGGAACATGCATCGGTTCTAAAAGATGTCAGCGAGAGTTCGTGACTTCCTCAGATCATTGCTGGCGGATTCGGCCTACTCGGCCTCACACATGGCACATGCCATCACCACGCGCGAAACAACAATATTTATCATCCGATTCATTGATCCCGTAACGGGACCTTAAGGACGTTGGCGTGCTTCTATCACCGCTCACTTGCGCAGGGGGAGATTTCATCATATTCATTCCTAAGCGGGAGGCTTCCCTACCTAGACATCTCAGGCACGACATGTACCACTCGTCCACCCAGCCTTGCTTTCCATCAGTAACACGCTGTACATGCATGGCGGAGACGATGCACTCACGAGGTTTATCACGACCTGTGCCCTTTAGAAGACGGGGGACACATATTGAGAACGTCCGGCGACTCAGCGTGCGTATTGACAAGGGTCAGCCGCCGCGCCGCTGGGAAAGCCTCGTTCAAAACGAGTATCGGCTGCGACAGAGGATGCAGCGCTCAGAAAGATGGCCCCTGGGCCGTCAACGTACTGTTGCAAATAAATTGTGAGCGTAATTGGCATGGCACAACTGGATACGCACCAGATAAAGGGCCGTAAGCCAGTCGAGCGGACGAGATACCCATACGGGCCCATCATCCGCGTCGTGAAACCGCACACGCCGGCGAGGCTGACATAGAGGTTGTGTGAGGGTGAAATGCTCAAACTTCGCACAAAGTCATTCGCTGAAGGAACGCGTCAGTGAGCGCGGATTGACTATGAACGTTAGCATGCTCACCGACAAGTAACCTTGAGGTAACAGTTTGAACCGTTGACGCTTCGTTGATGCCAACTTCATTCGGCCGTGAGCACAAGCTGTGAGGTCGAGTCGGAGCCGAGACGATTTATAGCGAGCCCGGGCGGTCAAGATGCTGCCGCATCAGAAGCTCTTCTCGACGTGGGTGTAGAAAGATGAGGCCGTTTGGAGGAATTTGACGCAGTTTAGGTCGGAAACCGATGTATATACAGCAGTGCGGCTGCGGCGAAGTCGATGTTCGGTCGAGGAGGCGCCTCGCCGCGCAAAGGCCTGGAGACCTGGCGCTACGTATACCATATATGGTAAACGCGGTCTTGCCGCGCGGCAATCCTCCACTGCCAGTCTCCTCTTGACAAGGTTAGCGACCAGGTCACCGAGCATGTCACAAAAGAATGCCCCAATTCCAGGTCTGACACTGGCAGATCCGATTCGAGTATGGTTCCGGGACATATCAAGCGCACTCACATACTAGTACTGGCACGGATCTCTTTTCAACTTGAAGCTCACGGCCGTACATAGAGGCTCTCGAATCGGGCCTCAGGCCTCACTGGTAGGCTCACCGACGACAGCTCCATTCAAGCGACCAATATTCAAACCTCGCGATTACTCATACCTTACAGAAATATGGATGATACGCCAACTTTTCCAGGATGTACACTGACATACATCAGAATCACTGACACTTGCTACGCGATACCCGGACTCGCTTTCGTACTAGTATAATTACAGCTACCTCTCTTTCTCCAAGGCGAGCGAAACCCTGAATGACTATGAGCCTAGCAGCATATGAACGGTGGTGTGCGACGAAAACGAAATGGGCAACGCATGAAATGAAGCAACTCAGCAACGGCGTAACGAGGAATCATGCTTCCACCGGACGGACATCACGGACCTGATTGATTACGAGTCGGCGTCGCTCACTCCGAGTCTGTTGTGGCGATCCGAGCCACTACACAGGCACTGTTGATCAATACCAACCAAAGGAATCCTTGGAACCATACACAACTGACATTTGTCGCCACCAAGTGTCTCTGGGGAAGGTGCAAAACAGATCACACTCTCCGTTGGCTTCACGGACTAAACAGCTCTCCTGCGTGAGCACAATCGGCCCCTCAGACGTGGTTTAGAATTCATACCTCGGTCCTCGAAGTCGACGGCTGCATGGCCAGAACTCGTTCGAATTTCCGTTTGAGCCCAAAGTCCGTGCCATGTGAGGCCCCTGCAAGCGTACTGGCAGTGTTGTCGCTCCTCTGGATGCCCTGCATCGACATCACATTGCCGTCCACGAGACTCGCAGTTCGTGCTCGATTGTTGAAATTGATGAGCAACGTGTTAGAATATCTGTCGTGTCTCCGAGTAAGTTCACGGCAGACCATAACGGGGTCGTGCACTCACAGCTTGGACAGCACCAAAACACTGATATCAAGTTAAGTATTAAAGCCATGAAGATGTCGGGCAGGACGTACGGAGTGCTGTGAAGATACGTTCTCTGCAGTGCGAGTGAGTATCTACGGCGTAGTACCGACTGGCATGCCACTCACCGGCTTTATGGTGAAGAATAGGAGATCGAGAATGGCAACCACCGCTTCGTTGTAACACAGTCAGAGCCATCTCATACATGCTGTAACGTGGCATATACCCGTGAAAGTGCCTGTCTCGATCCCGAGCGCGATGAGTCGGTCGATGATCGCGTCCGACCGTCGTATCCCAGTCTTAGCCCTAGTAAGCTTCGGTATCCCTGTGTTAAGGCCAGGAAGCTTCAAAGAAAAGATATAAACACTCACCAAGAGGGTCATTGAGATAGCAATGACACTATCTGTGAGTGCGCTTCCCGCAAGCCACGTCTAACGACCATATCAGATGAGACCGGCACATGTCTCATTCGAGGCTCACATCGATGTATGGAATAATGACTGCTTCGTCTTCGTCCGTGGTCAATGCTTTCATCTGGTGAGTCCTTTAGTTGTTTATACAGCGCTGACATATGACGGGAAACAAACCTTCACGCCGCTCACTATGGCTGCAGACATCTGGGTGAGAGAGATCTATATGCGTGTTACACCTCTCAGAGTGACATCGATTGGATTTGCAGTAGAACGTACCGTCACAATGAAAGCACAAAGCCAGCGGTAGCGCGACATCATCAAAATTCTCCACGCAAAGAACGATTGCACCGCGGCTGACACCAGGCCAGCCATGACGCAGATCGTAAACCAGCCATTGTAGAAGCTGAGCAGATTGTCGACCTGGTCGCCATAGCCCCAAACGTATACGTGAAAGCTGTCGACGGAACACAAAGCAGTCTGCACGAGTTCAAAGATGCAGATGCCATAGACTGCAGGTTTTGAATTAGCGCATCGAAACTCGAGGGTAACGTGCAGATTGGGCACGAACCGAAGGCTTTCAAGGAGAGTGGATCGTTTGGGAAACAGACATGGTAGATATCTGTAGACAATAGAAATTTGAGCAGTTAACCGGGACGTTGGCTCGGTGACTTCTGGCTCACAAACTTGGGCGATGAGGACGCCTTGCAATCCGTAGTTTAATAACGAACCGACGAGCTGTAAAACAGGCTTCAATACAGAACATGACGCTAATACCGAAAAATATTACCTCAGGACCCGAACTAGCCAAAGCATAGCCAATGAATGAGTTTGATTCAGTAGACAAAGGTCATCGACTGCACTTACAGCAGGTTGACGCTAGTAGACATCTCCAATAGCAACGCGACGAGTGGAGTATGACTGGCACGACTCGCGTCGTGGAAGTTCTAAGGGATGCAGCGAGGCTTGAGCTTGAGACCTAGACGGATGCGAATGCTAAAGAACGCCTACTAGTAGCTCAGCTGGGACCGCACTGATTGTTCAGTTGTATCCGAAGCACGACAGTACTGCCCCTGGGAGCCTATCTGAGTGCGCTGAGCGCATGCTAACAAAGCGTGCGTAACTCGTGTGTACTTCGCATCGATGGGGAGGATCAAGAGATGTGGACTCCCGGGCCTTTGACACATCTGTGTGCCAGTGTTCCGGACTCGGATGGCGATGCGCTGGCCGTGGCAAAGTTCAAGTGTTGAGCGCTCGAAGGAGGAACTTGGTTCACAGTTCAAACGTTCATCGAGACATCACTCAGGCATCTGCCAGTGATCGGCCGTACAAGATCATTATACTTTTGTAAGGGTTTGTACTCATGAACAGCCGGCGGCCGGATGACTGGTATCAGCTGTCAGTGTCACCTTTTCATTGACACTTCTCAAGACTCAGCGTGACGCTCTCATGCTCGACTTTTCGAACGCCCCAGCTGCCCGGTGCTCTCTTGCCCACTCCAGCCGGGAGGTACGTGACTACTGTATACGTGGCTACTGTAACTTACTATCATGAAGGCAGCGCATCCGAGGCGGTGTCTCTAGATACCGATTAATGTCCGATGCTACCTTCGAGAAGGTATGGTTCTGAGCGGTGTTATACTACGTGACGTAACTCTCATCCTTGTGAATTCGAAGCATCTGTCTAGCACCGTTCAAGCTTGGTTCAAGCTGAGGTCTTCTCCGAAGCTTAGGGCAGCGATATCTTGTTCACATGTCAATCATTGAAAGAGGAGCATGCCAGAGTGCTCTGACCACGGTTTGGCTGTGCGGTTGTCGTGACCCGCTCATGGAAGATTTCTCTGACACACAAATCAATCGTCGCGACGCAAATCCCAAACAAACTGGTATTAACCCAAAACTCTGCGATCTCGGGTCACTCGACGCCGTCACAATAGGACGTAGAAAGTACAGCCCGGGCCAGAACATTCCTCGCATTGTGGTCCTGTCATAGCTGCACATAACAAGCTTCGTCTTGTGCTGAACGTCCCTCACTCCCCTCCAAGTCCCCATTGAAGTCATGGACTCAACGGAGATACGTCTACTGTGCGTATTTGCGGTCACCTATGCTCAAGCTAAGTCTCATAGTGTCCTCGCCCCGCATATGTAGGTCTGCCCCTATCGTGGGTATTTTACACGTACTCTGCTGGTTGCAATGGTCTAGAGTCTCGTTCGCAGATCCTCGGGATTCATCTCAATTGGGGCCTGGAAGGCATATTGCTGGTGCAAACGTGTGAGTCGGTACTCGCGCTGGGTTGATTTCCATGTTGACCATTTGATAGACATCTACAACGCGCGATACACGTCCGATCCGCTGCAATTCAAGGTCCTAGGTGAGTCTAGCAGCTAGTAGCTGTGGTTTTGCGTTGCCGTTGACACTGCTACTTAGTGTATGGTGTGTTCGTTTACGAGACGGTTCAAGCATGCCTGCTCGTGGCCGACATATTCCACTACTGGGTGTATAACTACGGAGATCCTGACGTCCTAGTGATGCTGAGCAATATGTGGTTCAGCATCTTCGTCATGGGCGGTATCATGGCTGCTGTCGTACAGAGTTTCTACGCATGGCGTATATGGAAGATCGAACAGCATCTTCTCATGACTGTGCCAATCGTCATTGTAAGTCAACTCCACATACTAGCTGTATTCATAGTTGCTCTATTAACGCCGTTCGAGTGAAGATTTCTTTCGCTCAACTGGCACTTGCCATAACGAGTGGGGTCAAGGTATGTGTGGATGAACGTACCCATATTACGAGCAGCAGTATTGAGTAGATTCTCTTATAGATGAAGCTGCTACAATCGGTTGTTCTGGAGCACCGTATTGCAGCTTTCATCGAGGTATCCGCCTTCATTTGCGTGATACCGTTCAAGCTAATCTCCGTACGAAGGCTTGGCTGGCTTGTGCTTTACTGGCCAATTTCATCGTCTCAATCACCATGACCGTTCATGTGTGTCATCCCATTACCGCAGGACATCCGTGCCTCCTAACTACACATATCTAGCTTCTCAAGAGCGGCCGAACCACTGGAAGCACCCCTATCAGTCGTGCCCTCGCGTTCCTTGTGGAGTCCGGAGCATTGCTCGGTGTGTCAGCACCGCTGCGTACTCACTGATTTGCGAACTAATCTACTTGAGAACAGCTATATTTACCCTCGCTGAACTCGTTCTATACATTGTGGAGTTGGTGAGTATGCTTTCCTTGTCGGTATATGATCTCCGCTAAGTGATTATGTCGACCAGGAAACCAATATGCATCTGCTTTTGTGCGTAACACATTTTGCCGCGCAAAAACTCATAACCTCACAAAGATGTTAGTGCTCTGGTGTCGTCGAAAATGTGCGTCTCGTCGGGCTAATTGCCCTCTTAGTTTACCACTGACTACTTGCTTATGACAGCTATGCCAATAGTCTGCTGATGAGTTTCAACAACCGCGCACTCCCGGGCATGAACGCGAAGGGGTTCTTCTCACCGTTCCATACAAGTAACACTCGACTTGGAACTGCCAGCACTGGCACCCAGATGATCTTTGCCGAAGCACAGGGCACGGCGGCTCTGGGAATACGCTCGATGAGTGTCAAGGAAACCTTTGACTGAGTGTCGGACCAGCGTAGGTGCCTCCACGATGTCACATTCCCACCATCCTACTAACAACGGAATCACGGCGCCAGATACAGGCGATGTTGTGGGGATTAATAGCTATGCTCAGACATACCGCCGACTTCTGATGCGGATCGATGGGCATTAACTGATTGACTTCGGAATGGATAGGATTGCTGCTCGCAGATGCTTGCATCAATGTACTCGGAAATGAAGCTATGTACGCCTTGATGGCTGCCATGCTGATCGATGATGATGCCAGGGAATCGATTCACTGGGACCACGAAGTCCGGACCTATAGGTATGATGCAAGTGCTGTCTTCGACGTCAGAATCGGACACAAGCTCCTGAACCGCTGCGACTCGGGCCATCCGACGATTGCTGATTGACTTTCAGGTGCGAACACGACTTCGACGGTAGTACTGCGTTCGTACCGCATACTCGCAAGACTCCGGATCCATAAATCAATGTTCGCTGTCGCGGCCTGTGAACGAAGATTGTTGCCGCGCTGCATTCTCCATTCATTCACTCCCAGGTGCGCGGAGAGAATTCCAAGAGTTAATCTCTTTTGCTCAGCAATCAAGGGTCAGTCCATGCAGCTGGGTCAGGTATTGACTGTGGTCTACCATCAGCATCGAAAGCGGACGATATAGCCGGTGGTGCAAGCTCGCCGCATTCAGTCTATTGTTGGTCACACAGATAAGTAGCATGGGAGATTGACATACGTTCAATATATGACGCAGTGCGAGTCGCGAACTATGTATCTTGGCCTTCGAATTGTTCATCATGAACTCAGCCTTCGTAGCCCTTGCGTAATGTACAAGTGCATTCTTTCATACCGATTAGAATTCAACTCTACATACCGAAGACTGTATGCCTCGACACGTCGCGGTAGTTCTATCATATCCCTGGGATGGCGCCGCGGCCCGAGCTTGAGAAGGAGTAGGCTAAGCTACGTACTTTAGGCGGAACGGTGCGGCATCGCATGAATTTCCGATGACGGTAAACCGGACACTTCGCGCGCTGGGGCCGACGAGGCCCGACTATGCGTACAATATCCTGCACTTGAGTACTTGCTGCGAGCCAGGCGGCGAGGGCGCCGGTATCATAAGTTGAAGTGAGTGCTGGCTGTATGTAGTAATAGAACAACTGTAAACGCGGGTACCCGCCGGACCGGTCGGAGCGAGTGACATGTTTCCTGGTACTATGAGTAACAACTAGTCACACTACTTTGTACGACCTGGCTTCAACGGTCCGTCATGTACACAATGTTCATCTCCAACCACCACTTTCCGCGACTCTCCGTGGCGGACAGTGCCTCCCATGCAGCGGCTGGCGATGGCGGTCAACCATATGCTCAGACGAGGCAAACTCGCCGGAGCTTCGCGGTGTGCGTCACGGTGCCGCCTCAGGCCCAGGATCAAGCACGATGCCGGCTCGTAAGGTCGACAGGACAGTCAGCATGTGAGCGAATTGTGAGCGAATCCAACAAATTGTGGCACCGTATGGTACCCGACTTCTTGCGTCCCACTGATTGTTCTCGCAGTCTGTGCGGCCGCGCTGGTTCCTTCCGCCATCGAGAGGCCGCATGCCCCATTGCTCACTCTGCGCCGTCCATCTGGACCCGGAAAGCCTGAAGGAGGCATAATGCATTCAGAAACGCCGAATCCGTAGTGCGCTCTACTGCCTCCACGGTCGTCAATGAAAAGCGTGTCACCCTATGATACCGCGGATTCATCTCAACATGATCGTGATGCTCCGACGATGTTCATCATACACGGCGCGCGGAGATCTTTCGAAGCAAAACAGGCTTCTTCAAGGGGTAACGATTAACGCATGATCGGACCGAAATACTAATTCTTGAGTTGATGCGGTGCGTCGGTACCGTTCAGTATAGATCATTCGTACTGTGCCGCTGAAGTGCTGGTCACATATGCAGGGCGATTTGTACAGTCGCGCAACGCATCAGACAAATGACAAGACAAGTTCCCAGCTGTCTTGCCACAAGAGGCCGCTCTAACCCACATGCACATGTACAGCGGCGATTCGAGGGCACGGATCCTCATTCAAGGGTAAGCTGTGTCATCCCTCTCTATCTCGAATCAGACAAGATTCAATTATAAATCTCAAGAGCGCTGACCTGAACCCTGAGCTAGCCGCCGACGATCTATCGACGCCGGTAGAACGAGGGACGGCACATGGATATGAACAATACATCTCATTGCGCAACGCATCCTGGGACAGCGTCACCGTTCATGCGTGATGTCTGTGCGATCACGGTACGTCCCGTCGCTCTCTCATCATCTTGATGCCCATATGCTCCGACGGAAAGGCTACCTATCATGCGCAGAGACTGCATTCGGGCGATAGACGTGGAATCATCCCGGGAACCCCGGAGTCATATGTCATGTCTGTATATTTATGTCATCCAGTGAACACCTGGTGAACACAATCGGAACGCAATAGACCCTGTGAGAGGCAACAGTCTAGGCATTCAAATCAGTTCAAGAAGCTCACTTTCCGCGCTACGCACGTTCAGCGATATCAGGTTCCCGTAGGTTCTATCGCACCTTCCATGTACGAGAAGCAATGAGGATGAACGTGATTTTCTTGGATAGAGAATTGGATTATCCGTCGGCGTCGCAAGCGCGTTGGTATAGGCGACCTAGTATATCCTGGACCATCGCTCAACCTGCGTTCTTGACATCGAGCTGCCGCACGTCTACTCATATATTCAAGTATCCAGACGTCCTGTGCATTTTTTCACTGGCAACATGGAAGCGAAACTAGCTACCATAGGTGACATCGCGGAACGGCGCTTTGACTTCGTCGTCGTTGGTGCGCATTACGAGCTGAGATCAATATCGTTGTCACTGACTCTCTGTGGGCAGGCGGCGGTGTGAGCAATATATGGGCATTTTTCTTAGCGCTCTTTGACGTCTCTCGATCCCTAGACTGCCGGACTTACTGTCGCATCCCGACTGTCAGAGAATCCGGATGTGACTGTCGCCGTGTTAGAGGCAGGAAAGGCTAGCTTCGATGACCCCAACGTTTGTGAGTCATCTGCGAGCGGGACAATCGGGCGGCGCGACTAACACCAATGACTTTAGTGAAACCCGACGGCTTCATGCAGCAGTTGATGCGACCCGCCTATGATTGGGCGTTCTTGACGGCGCCGCAGAAGCATTTGGGAGACAAGGTCATGCCGTGGTTCAGGTTCGTGGTGTTGGTCGATCGTCATGGATATTATTCAATGCGGCCTACAGAGGAAAGGGCTTAGGAGGCAGTTCTAGGCTGAACTTTCTCATGTGGATGACTCCGCAACGCGAGGATATCGACGGTAATGGCCCATACGCTCCCATGGTATGCTTGCTCATACCGCGCCAGCTTTCGAGAGGTTGGGTAATACTGGCTGGAATTGGGAAACAACGAGACGCTATCTCGAGGGAATTCAGAGGTCGGAGGTCTTCTAATACCCATTGGCGTGGCTCATGTTACTCTATAGGCCAGTCACGGATGCCACAGGACTTGGCGGGGAGGCTACTGGTGAAGCTGCCCGATATCCATTGCTGCAATGAACTGATCGATGTTTGAACAGGCCCAATACCCCTCGGATATGCAAGCACTCCGTCTGGGGCAGAGTTGCCTTTCCAGAAGGTTTGCCCAATCTATTGCCTTATTGTCATCATGTCTAGAACACCCCTGTCTAGAGCATGAATAATAATGGCATAGCAACCCCTCTTGTGGAAGATATGGTAGGATGCATTTATTGGTTTGATGCATGAAATCTGACCCAGTCAATGTTCAGGCTACAGGGCAGGTGAGTTGGTTCTCCACATGTAAAGTATTGCTCCAAAGACTAATCCATTGTAGACATGTGGAAGCTGGCTTTGTACCTGTTGTATTGACCCAAAAACTGGCCATCGTGTCAATTCAGCAACAGTTGAGTGTTTGCACATTTCCATAGTACAAGCCTGATGGTATCAATACCAGGCCTATCTACTACCAGCCCTTGACAGACCAAACCTCCATGTCTTGACTGATGCCCATGTCACAAGGCTTCTCATAGCTCAAGGTCTTGATGGTAGCAACCACACAGCTCAGGGTGTTCAGTTTGAACACAATGGCAGTCAGTACAATGTCTATGTGAACAAGGATGTTATACTGTCTGCAGGGTATGTGAACCATGTTTTCTGTATATGATAACTGATGTTTGTTGCCAGTGCTGTCAAGTCACCCCAGATACTGGAGCTCAGTGGTATTGGCAGCTACAATATCCTGAGTTCTCAAGGGATACCTGTGAAAGTTGACCTTCCAGGAGTTGGTGAAAACCTCAGAGACAAGGTTACAATCTCCATTACACTAGGTATGTGTATTATGTACTACAGCCAAGGCAATGACTAGACATGTGATTATAGAAATGAAGGAAGGACATGACATTTTCAGTTTTAACTTGATGGCCAATCCTGAGTTTCATCCAAGATTGAATGAGATTTTGTATGTGCTACAGTGGCCTTATGTGTGTATTTGACTGATTTTCATCACAGCCCAGATACAGCTGGAGATTTCTCCAGTGTCATTTCTGGGATGACCTTTGTCCCTATACAGGCACTGCCAGACAACATTCAATCCACAGTTCTCAGCTCAGCAGAGGCTTTCACCAAGAATGCCAAACAGCAAGGGTTGTACACCAAGGTGCATGAGCTGCTTGGGGACCATCTCAAGAGTGCCAAAATCCCAGACTTTGAGGTGGTTGTGACACCTTTTGTACCCTCAGGCCCTGGTGAGTTGTCATTGAACTCTAGATCTATTTGTCTTGAACATGGCTCAATCTTTATAAGATCCCAAGAAGCCCTACATTTCTCTTGTAGTGTGCCTTAGTCATCCATTCTCTAGTGGGAATATTGTAAGTGGAAATTGAAAAATTTCACAGCAGCCTGTTCTGATCAAGTTTATAGCATATACAGTCTCAAGACCCCAAGATGATCCCACTCATTGACCCTCATGTCTTTGAGAACTCACTAGACCTGGACATCTTGGTGGAAGCCTTCAAATTCACCAGACAGGTTGTCCAGACAGCCCCATTCTGTGATGTGGTCTCCAAAGAGATAAACCCAGGGCTTGATGCCAGCACTGATGATCAGATCAAGGGTGGGTATTTTTGTGATGCTAGATTGGAACCCTGAAGTCATCTCTGACACTTGGTTGACATAGCTGCTATCCAGAAGAATCTTGCTACAATCTGGCGTGAGTAAACAATTTTTGTACTTGTAATGACTTTTCCATCCTCAGTAATATTTAACAGACAGCTCTGGTACTCTGTCAATGCTGCCCAAACAGGATGGTGGTGTGGTAGATAGCAAGCTCAAGGTTAGTTGGTATAAGTTATTGATCAGATATTTGTGAAACTGATTTGTGCAGGTCTATGGCACAACAAACATACGTGTTGTTGATATGTCCATTGTCCCTGCACCTATCAGCAGCCATACTCAGGGTAAGTTGACTCAAAAATATTGATTCACTGTAGTCCTTACACCTTGCTTATGTAGCTATTGTCTATGCTATGGCTGAACAAGGTAAATGATGCCATATCCCTGTGATTCTACACTAACTGTCATGTTTGCAGCTGTGGACATCATCAGGAAAGAGTTTGGGTTGTAGTTAGGTTCCTTGGCATGATCAGCTTGACATCAGAGGGTGAATGGTCAATGAATTGTCTGTCTACTTTGAATGTACTTTTATGATAGCAATCGTAACAATGGTGTGGACTGGTTGCGCATATCATGCGTGAAAAGGAGTCTGCAGCACCTAATATCGTAGTGACACGGAAACGACCATAAAGCATTCACAGCGAGTATCCGCGCATCACAATGTAGGCATGCATGGGCCATAGTCCCATTTCCCACCGAAGATGCGGTGAGCGGTGTGGTTACTTGCAGCGAATTGAATACCGTTTGAGCACTGGCCTATTGTTCGAACACATTCACGGAGCGCGCACTGGCATGAGGGTGGTTGGATGGCACTAGTCCGAGCTCCAGAATGATATCAGCCAATACTGTCCGACGCTCGTAACGCGCACGGCGAACCACTCATCTAGAGTTTGGACCTTTCGTTCTCAGTGGCGGGCAAGGCTGATGAAGACTGACTGTCTTCTCAATAATACACACAGGATCACGTCAATCCTCGGCGACCGAGATTGACGTGTCCCCCAGCGCGCATGATTGCGATTGCCATACACCCCTCGCATGCGTGCTGTCAAGGTTGGTTTGTAGTCGCGTCATGTTGTTTGATAGGGTCGAAGTGAAGGGAACCGAAACCCGACATGGCTCTGTACTGGCACCGATAGCAGTTTGGATAGTCGGACGACATTGACCTCCGGGAGATCCGAGTCTTGAGCAACCATGTTACTCCAGCGGGAATAGGAACGCCGATCAGAAATGAAGAGCCTCACACCGAGCGAGCTGACACTGTGTGGAGAGCAGATTCAGAGAGCAAGATGACTACAAAGACCCATAATGATACATTTGAAATATAACCTCCGCAGTGGGAGGATACGTCAGACATCTGAATCGGAGGAGTTTCGTCCCATTCACTCGGCTATGACCATCACTTAACAGAAGAATAACTCAGCAGGAACGGTGTAGACGAAGGACAGTCATGGCTGACCTTTATTGTCATCGTCGACGGACGGTTCTGGGGTGGCTGAGAGGTATACGACGTCGCCAACGGGCTTCGTGGACTACACGCCCATGTTAGCGTCGAGTGCTCAACGACAACGTGGACGACTTGCCTCGGAGGTCAGTGCCGACGCCTGTGCGGAAAGGCGAGTCTGACGTCCATCTTTGCGGTATTGTCCTATGTCCAGGCTGTCCGTTGCACCTGTCATTGTACTGGCACCATTTCGGCTGGAGTGGACGGCTCCCAAAGAGACTACGTCGCCGTCCATGAGACTTGCCGTACGTGCCCGATTATTGAAGTTGATCAGCAGGGTATTCGCATACCTGGAGCGCAGTCAGTTTATGGAGATTGAACGGTGGTGGGTTGAGGGTCCAGTACTCACAGTTTCGACAGCATCATAACACTGGAGCCAGAGTCAGCATCAGAGCGGTGAGTAGGGACAGAAAGAAGGCGTACGGCGCGGCGTGAAGATATGTCCTCTGCGAGTGTCAGTTTATGTGAGCAAGGCCGGAGCAATCGATGTAAGACGCACGGGCCGTATGGTGAAGAACAAGAGATCGAGAGTCGCAATCACCGCTTCATTGCAACGAAGTCAGCGTGTTTCGCGTTGAGCATGAAGTCGCACGCACCAGTGAGCGTGCCTGTCTCCACGCCGAGCATAATGAGTCTGTCGATAATGGCATCCGAGCGCCGTATTCCGGTCTTCGCTTTGGTAAGCTATTGGACGTCAGCATTACTGACGTTCCGACCGGTACGTTGGTATAGTCGCTCACCAAGACTGTCATGGAAATGGCTATCACGATGTCTGCGAGCGCGCTTCCCGCGAGCCACGTCTGGCGATTGGGATGAGAGGTGTAATCAGCGCGAACGCACAATATCGCTAGACTCACGTCAATGTACGGTATGATGATGGCTTCGTTCTCATCTGTGGTCAATGATTTCATCTGGTCATGATGATGGCTGTTAGGGCGCGACAATGACGGAGACTAGAAGGACGAACCTTGACCCCACTTACGATGGCAATAGACATTTGGCCAAGGGCGATCTGTAGTTACACCTCGGCTCTCATGACGATGCTTAGAATCGCATTGGCACGCACCATCGTAATGAACATGCACAGCCAAACGGAGCGCGACAACATAAATATCCTCCACGCGAAGAAGCATTGTACCGCGGCCGAGAGGATACCAGCCATGATGGGGAGACTGAACCATCCATTGTAGAAGCTGAGGAGGTTGTCGACCTGATCACCGTATCCGAAGACGAAGACGTGGACGCCGTCGATGGAGATCAATATTGTCTGTATCAACTCGTAGATGCAAACACCATAAACTAGACCGACGTCAGAAATACCAGTCAAAAGTGATACCCGGCTGCAGGACGAGTGTACGCACCGAAGCATTTCAGCGACCATGGATCTTTGGGAAAACAGATGTGGTATATGTCTGGAAGAAGAGGAATGAGCTACCATGACGTTGTCACATCGTCGGCTGCGGAACTCACACACTTGAGCGCAAAGGACTCCTTGCAACGACCAGTTCGATAACGACCCAATCATCTGCGTACAGGTCTCCTCTAGACAACCCCATAAGATGGATGGCGAAAAGTCGTACCTCGGGTCCGGACCTGTTGCAACGCGCAGACTGTAAACGCACTACTCTGAAGATGACGATACGGTTGAACTGGTACGTACAGCAGGCTGATGCTCGTAGACATTTTGGACCTCGGAGACGAGTGAGAGAGACGACTTGCGAGGATAGTGCAATGGGTTTCTTGGGGAACGGAGTAGCATTCAAAGCAAAGGCATTGGCTTGTCGATCCGTCCAGAGACCGCCTTGTATGCCGGATAAGCAACGTGCGCTACTGTCAATGAGCCATTCACGATATTCTACTGCGTCGCTGTCTGAAGTTCAGACAGCGACGCAGTATGACCCCAGATCCCCACATGGGAGCCCAGTGACTCCCAACTCTGAGTGAAGTGGTTTCGGTGCCTTGCATCGCAACAGTACTGATGGAGACAATCAATTGAGCCTTGCCGATGCGATGGATCCTCGCCAGTGGGATCTTTGTGGACCAAGTGTCTGTGTGGCGTTGGTGTGGCGATGGCAGTCTGAGTCTACTGCCAGCGGCGGCGCTCTTACATAATCACTCTCTACCAGCCACTTTTAAGTACACCGCTCGAGGTACCATTGCCGGACTGTACTTGTTTCTCAATCTATTGCTACAAGGCCTGCAATCCGGATTCTCTACGTTGGCACGGATGCTCGTGGCCTGCAACGAGCGCTGAGCATCCAAAGGCAGCGTACGGTGACCGGTCCCCGGGCCCACTTGCGCTGTAGTACGTTGCCATGTCCTACCACAAGCACTGACACCGGGTTCAAGTTGAGTCTTGATTTCTGTTGCATGGCGACTCGGATACTTATGCTGGAATCAAGCCTCTCCGCGAAGGTACGCCGTCTCAAGTACGTACGTGTATTCCACTTGGCGGTACGCCCAGGACTTCTCAATACAACACCGGGCGGCGGTTCCATTCCCGTCTCATGCATTCACACGAGGCTCGACTTCTACGGTCTCCAAGCTGTCAGAGCCATTGTCAATACTCAGCATCATGATGGTTCTCGTGTTGCGCACTAAGCCTCATTCTCAGTCTTTCCACGGCTCGTAAAGCTCATGCACATGTCTCGCATCGGAAGGACGTGCACACAATATCAAAATACATGCGAATGCGGTGCGCCCTATCGGCGCCGTCTTTATGACATACCAAACCTTGATGTGATTTGTATCGATTTAGGTTCCGTCTCCCAGGCTGCCGTTCTCCGCTGGTGTCTGCAGATCTGCAGCTGTGGCGCTCAGAAGGAGCCATATGACCTTCGACGGTACCTGGGAGTCCTTTGACACGTACCTCAGCGTTCAGCGCTCCGCAGTGACCCCGGGCCCGACTCGAACCCGGAATCCAAGTCCACGGCTTGACTTGAGCTTGAGGACTCCGAGTCCATAGCCGGGTTGCTCACCACCGCTCCAGCGTATACGACTCACACCGAGCCCTCGGCATTCACTCCACCATATAGACGTTGGGTAAACTTGCATTACGACTGTGCTATCCCGCCTTCCCGCAACGATGGATATGGCTGAGATACGTCTGCTGTGCGTGTTTGCGTTGTCTAGGTGATTCTGGTGCATGCTCATCCCGCACACGTAGGTCCGCTCCTGTTGTAAGTACGTCTCCTGCAGATGCTTGACTGGGCTCGAACCGCTCTGCAGATACTCGGGATCCACATGAATTGGGGTTTAGAGGGTATATTGCTAGTCCAAGTTTGTGAGTCTCCATCTATGTTGTAAGTATCCGACGTTGACTAGCTAGTAGATATCTACAGCGCACGCTTTTCGTCTGATCCATTACGAATTAAATGTCTTGGTGAGTTCGCCCTTGGACGGCAGCCTGTCGCGGACGCTCATGCGGGTGATCAGTGTATGGCGTGTTCATTTACGAGACGGTCCAAGCGTGTCTTCTTGTTGCCGACGTCTTCCACTACTGGGTGTGGAACTACGGAGACCCAGCGGTCCTTGCCACCCTTAGCAATATGTGGTTCAGCGTCCTGATCATGGGCGGTATCCTAGCTACTCTCGTGCAATGTTTCTATGCATGGCGGATATGGAATACAGTCAAGCATGTCTTCATTAGTGTTCCGATCATTATGGTGCGGTCAAGGCAGCACTATCATGCGTATGATGCTCAAATTGACACCGATTCTAGGTAGCCTTCACGCAGCTTGCACTCGCTGTGACTAGTGGAGTTAAGGTGCGTGCGTGGTTGCGCAAAGTAGCTTACTTCGTTGTGCCGAACTCCTTCCACAGGCGAGGTTATTGCCAATCGGTCTCGAGAGCCGTATCGCATCGTTCGTAGATGTAGGTGCCTACGACATCTCGTTCGGATCAACGCTAACCCTGGCTTGAAGGCCTGGTTGGCCTGCGCTTTACTAGCCAACATCATCATCTCGATAACCATGATCGTCCATGTGAGCCATGTTTTACGTGCTACAAGTGCGAGGTGCTCATTCTGACTCTGCGGGATTAGTTTGTAAAGAACAATCGCCACGCTGGGAGTTCCCCAGTAAGTCGGATGTTGACGTTTATTGTGGAGTCTGGGGCATTGCTCGGTGCGTCTATCGCAATATGGTATTGTAATTTTAGAAATTAAATGACCATAGCGATTTTCACTCTGGTTGAACTGATCCTTTTCATTGTGGAGCCGGTGAGTATGCTTCGCACGTCGCACTGCAATTCATCCTGAGCCGTTTCATCGCTAGCAAACAAACCTTCACTTGCTCTTGTACGTGAACTCTGACTTGATGTTTACGGTGTGACCTCATAATGTTACCAGTGCTATACTGTCGTCGAAATTGTACGTGCTGATCCATGTCGATCATGGTCGAGTTGTATCACTCAACACTCCACCCGTCAGATACGCCAACACTCTGTTGATAAGCTTTAACAATCGCACACCCCCTACCACGGACGCACGAGGATTCTTTTCAGACTTCCGCCAGAGTAGCGACACTCGGTTGGGCTCTTATAGCGATGGCAGCCACTCTCTCGTCTTCGCCAAGTCAGCGCTCTCGACTGGTGTGGGACTACGCTCGCACAATGTGAAGGAAACAATTCTGGATGGAAGCAGCGTAGGTCCTGTCCCAGCGTCAATCTGCCGTCTTGCTGATAGCATGTCCTGGATAGACGGAGTAGGTGCTCAGCTGAGCACGAGCATTTCCCGAATAATCCGAGACGCAGTGCACATTAGCCGGTCTGTTTCAGTCGGACACTCACCACATTCGCACCCGTCCACCAATATACTCGCATGACATCTGTATGTGAAACTGCAATCTCAGTCGGATTGATTTGGTACGGTGATCAAACGGACGAGTGTACCAGTGCTGAACAAGCCTAGCTTACGGCCGGTGGCGAGATCCGATGTCACGCGTTCATAGACAACAACATGAGAGCTCGACGTCAGGGACGAGGGGCCCAAGCGCCAGAACTCATTCGTTTCGATGAGATGATGGGATACTCCTTGTTCAGCATTCAGGTACCGAGCAGTTATCGAGCAAGCCTTCAATCCGTTCAGGAACACGTTCGAGAGAGCCGCTCGCACGATGCGGCGCCCTGTGAACCCGGTGAGACCAAGTTTGGACCGTGTCCTCAAATCACTGATACTGGCGATTTCGGAAGGTATAGCTGGAAATCCGACGATTGACCTACGGGTTCGTCGTGTCCTGTGTGTACTTGCAGTCGCTGCACATACGGTTCAAGACCTCTCAGCGCATAATCATGACCCTGCGCTGTCGCCCGACGGGCAGTGGATGCCAAAGCATCAAGCCTCTGACAGTCACTTACGTCGCATCACAGTCATCGCTAGGGACACAAATAGCCGATGCGGCCGTTGAGCTTACGGTTCGTATCAGACGTTTGCCTATATGATGCACCGAAGCCCCCGTATCGAAGGCTCCATCCTACAACCATCTACCAGTGGATCGTCCTTCGTCACTTGGGTATCGCGCAAGCATGGGCTTCCTAACATATTTGATGCTGCTTTGCACCGCAACGGTGGCCTTTGTCCATGGGACGTTGTTTGCAGATCCGCAAGAACTTTCCCGACAATCGTACGACTTCGTTATCATTGGAGGTGAGCCAGTGTCATGACCAGTGTCGATACATCGTGCTTACTGTGGCATTCATCCCAGCGGGTACCGCGGGAAATGTGCTTGCTCGCAGATTGAGCGAAGTATCAGAATTCTCAGTTCTTGTAATCGAAGCAGGTGTAAAGTGAGATCGAGCTGCTACTGGATCCATTACGTGCGTCTTACCTCTTACAGTAATGATGTTCTGTTCGACGACCAGGTTCCTCTGTTGGACCCATTGATTTGGCCCGATACCGCGATCAGCTGGAATTACACCACCACTGCTCAGACAGGACTTGAAGGACGATCATTCGATTATCCACGTGGGTTTGTACTCGGCGGAACGAGCACAATCAGTGCGTATGCGAGATGAATATTGATCTATATGAGCGCTGATCTGCGTGTCGAGACCTCATGGTATGGAGTCGGGGGTCTGTGGACGACTGGAATCGTTATGCGAACTTTACCAACGACAGCGGGTGGTCTTGGGAGGAGATGTTGCCATACATGGAGAAGGTATGTCACTACTGACAACTGCGTCGGCTTCCTGCCACTGACTGTGTTTAGAGCGAAATGCTTGTTCCACCGAATGATCACCATAACACAACGGGCCAAATCAACCCGTCTGTGCATGGCACCAATGGACCTATTAGTATCAGCCTCCCCGCTGCCTCCATGCCGCTGGACAGTCGTCTACTCGAGAGCGCTACTGCTGAATTTCCGCATAACGAGGATATGAATGACGGTTATCCACTGGGTATCGGTACGACTGGTCCTTATGTCGCAACCACACTCGCGAAGCTGATGCTCCTTAGGTTGGCAACAGGGTACCGTCACCACAGCGGGTAGAAGGAGCGACTCAGCAACGGGATACCTGGATCCCATTATAAATCGCACAAATTTGGACGTACTCATACAGACGCGCGTTACCAGACTCATATCATCCAACTCCGGTACCTCTGTGCCAAATTTTAACCAAGTAGAAGTGGCACAGAATCGTTCTTGTGAGTGCCTGATTGGTCCGTATCGCCGTCACCGGAACCCGAACCTAGTGCCGTTTCTACTACAGCGGAGGGCATCATCATCAGTGCTTCCAAAGAGGTGATACTGTGTGCAGGCTCAATTGGCACTCCCCAATTGCTATTACTGAGCGGCATCGGCGATCCCAACACACTCCAGGGACTAGGGATCGAGCCTGTCGTCAACAACACCGACGTTGGTCAGAATCTCGTTGACCACCCTCTTATTGGCAATGTATGGATTGTCAACTCGAACGCTACCTGGGACAACGTGTTTCGTAACGCGACATATTTGGAAGACCTATTGCAGCTTTGGAACTCCACGGGAAGTGGCCCTCTGAGCGACACGGGTACGAACCAGATCATATGGTCAAGATTACCGAACGGTTCAGCCATCTTCGCCAACTATACGGACCCCTCTGCAGGGCCCGCCTCTCCGCACATAGAAGTACTATCTCATGTGCGTGTGACATACAATTGTACCCGATAGTCGACTCACTGACTTTGTCCTGATGGACCTGTTGTAGAATTCGTTCGGTTCACTTGTTGAACTCATGCCGAGCACGGGAAGCTACATGACTCTATATACGGCGGTCGTCTCCCCCGCTTCGAGTGAGCAAGTGCTCCATCCGGCTGCAACACCTGACTGACTAGCAGTGTTCTTTAACTAAAGAGGGCTCTGTGACGCTTGCGTCGAATGATGCGTTTGACAGCCCCCTAATCGATCCTGGATTGCTGTCTGATTATTTCGACGTCTACACCATGATCCAGGCAGTCAAACAGGTGCGAAACCTTATCAACTCGTCCGCATGGGAAGGGTTCGCTGTGGCAGAATACGGCCCGTTCGCGGATGCACAGACAGACGAGGAACTAGAGGAATATGTCAGGAACAGCACAACGTCAATATGGCATCCAGTCGGCACGGCAAGGCTATCCGCGGATGCCAGTCCCGATGGAGTCTTGACATCCTCACTCCTTGTCAAAGGTGCATCCGGTCTACGCGTTGTCGACGCCTCCGTACTAGTGAGTCGTTCTTCACGGTCATGATGCTTTCGCGCGTACTCACTCCCATCGAGCCCTATATTCCTGCTGGACATCCGCAAGCCGTCGTCTACGCTATCGCTGAAAGGGCAGCGGACCTGATCAAAGCAGCATGGCAGAACCACTAGGACGATACAGTTTATTTCGATAGCAACAAGACGGACATTCGACTATGTTGTACAGCTTGTATGTAGTTCGTCGGAAATCACGCCACAGCCATATAATCCCTGTACCCGTTAGTCCGTACCAATAATGTGATTTCCGACGATCGTCAGTGTATTCTTGAAGCCCGTGCAGTCAGGTGGCATGTGAGCATCGATGTCTCGAAGACACCTGCCTGTCTTGAAGATGTGTGTACGACATGTAGTAGCGGATATTTTGCTTGGAAAATGTAATACTACTAACATCACCAAAAGGCGTTGTAAGTAAGTCAACTATCTAGGCTCTCCGACATAGCTCAGAGAAGCCGGGGCGGTATGTGCATCTAATACTCAGTCAGTACCATACACTACAAGAATTAGAATAAGCATAAGCCAAAAGAAGTATGTGTTAAACTGATGGGGCGCAACCAAAGGCGCCTCATCATGGCGTGAAAGCTAGATGGCACAAGTCACCGTCCTATGTGGCGGCACCGGCATCGAGAACGGAGAATCTACCACATGAACGAACGGCCCATGCCGAAGGAGGCCCGGTGCGAAGGCCCGAAGGAGTAGCACCCGCCACCTTGCTCCTCGACCTCGAACTTGAGCGAGCACTTCATTCCGTTCTTGGAGTAGTTTACGTCCAGTCGTACAATGTTGACGTCGACGGTGCCCTGCTTGATAGACTTCGCAAAGTACGGGCCGCCTACAAATTCCGTGATTATTGGGCTGTTCCAATATTATAAGTCGTGTAAAGGATGCTTACCTCCACGCGACCACGAAGTGCCCTTCAACGCCTTTACCTCGTCTCCGAACAAGTCCTCGATAGCCGCCATGTTACGCTTTGCGATAAACCTTTGTGAATGAAGTGCGCACACGGACAGGAGCCAGACGTACGAATTCCATTATAGTCACTGTACTCTTGGGCTTGTTCTCAGGTGTCGGCTGGATCAATGTGCCCTTGCCACCAAAGATCGACTGGAACTCGTCGTATTCGAGAACTTCGTCAAACTTGATCGTCTTGCTCGTCCCTTGGAACTTCACTGAATCACTCTTGCATTCTTTCTTGAGGCTATGCATGATGCGTTACTGCAATGACAAAGAGGCATGTCTGTCGAGCATACCGGTCGAATATCTTCTTAAGCTGCAATTTGCGCTTCTTGTCTTCGGCCTTCGTGGTGCTTGCTGCGACAGGCGCAGTAGAAGAGCTCGTGGCCTCGGCGGATGGAGCTGTATCGTTAATTTTTCGTGCACGCTTTGCCGGCGGGGGTTGCGAGGCCAGCTGTTCCTCCAACTATTTGTCGCGTATCCCGTAGTGAGTGAAAGTCTTAGAGTGAGATGACGTGTCAAACGCGCCTCGATGATCCTCTGCTTCATGGCCCCTATGATGGCTGGGCTGACAGAACCATTAGGGTCCACGGAGTCAATGTCTAATTCATCTGTGTCCAGTGGCACCGTGAGCGCGCGCTAGCTTGTCAAAACATCCGACGCGTCAAGAAGTCGTTAAGGCGTACATTTGTCGACGACGAGAACGGCGCGCTTGCGCTTGACACCTTTGCTCTCTGATGGGAAGTAGGAGCCTATGCCTGCGGGGGAAGCTGAGGCAGCGGAGGACATGGTCGTGATAAAGAAAGGTGTCGAGGATGGGTGTGACGCCGTTACTCGCAACGCAACCGCTTGCGTGACATAGCGCGTGAACAGGGTCACCTGATCGCGTTCATCGCCGGCCAAGCGGCGTCAAACATCAGAGTGGCTGGAAGTTGTCGGTCGCTTCGGAATGATTGCGACCTGAACAACACCTGAACTAAGTTCACAAACAGTGAGAACCGTAGCATCCCTGTGTCTCTTTGCTGAACTCCGAGAACTAGCCATAATGCGCACAGTGCCAATATGTTACCTTGCATTGTCGGATCTGTATGCCACTGGTAGGGGAATGATTCCATCATAGCATAGTGACTACTGAACAGTAACAACAGGTCTGATTACATGGCTATTAGCGGATGCAGACTCGTTGTACAAACTGGGTGCATTCTGTACGCCCAGCTGGAAGTACTGTTTAGGTCCATGTGCCGTCTGTGCGTCAGGGGTCTGGACCGTTACAAACTTGACTGGCCCCCATCCGCCTGGCCAGCCTCCGTCAACTTCCAAGTGTTTGCCAGCCGCAGTCAGCCATGCACAATGGAGATAAATTCAAGCAGTCTTCCGAACTCTCATTCCAATTCGCCATCTCGCCTGTCAAGCTCTCTGGAAGACGTTGTCTGGTCATTTGGGAAGTTCGTCTCGTATTCTCAGCTCGCTAGTCACAATCTCCTCGGGTACCTCAAGAGCGGCTTTATTTCCTAGAACGCTTCTCACAGGCGACAGTTACTTCTGTACACTCTCCGATACATTACCCTGATTCACCAACAATGGCATCGACAGCCACTCGCCGTCTCGCCGACAGTGTCTCTTACGTTGTCCTTTCCTCAAGCACGTCGGGCCAGCTCACCATCCCTCTCATCGATCCAGTGACAGGCAAGACCGTGCACTATGCTCTCGTCAAGGTCGACACTCCGCCAACGGTTGCCAGCCTCGGTCTCAGTCCGCGCCTGCACATGCGCTCGGTCTCCGAGAGTGGTCATCTTCATGACTCTCACCCGCAAACTCAGACCGCCCGTAGACTGGACCGACTAGCCAAGGAATGCATGCTTGACGTCTCTAGCAACGCGCTCCGTATGTTGGAGGAAGATAAGGAATGGCCTAGCCTGGCTTCGTCGTCCCGGTCGTTCTGTGTGCCCTCATCTTCTTCGCGACTCCTTGCGCCTAGGGTGTTCTCCTCCAACACCTTCAAATTCGACGGGCGCCCGACGTCCTACGCCGAGACGCCCTCTCTATACAACGAGTCCCAATCTGACGAGTCGGTCTCGTATGTCGGCACGCCTATCTCGCACTCTCGGTCACGTCGGCAGAACACGGTCACGGCGCTCGGTTCGGCGGATACAATGGATTCCTCGATGCTCGTCGGCCTAGGCATCTCTGGAATGACGAAGGAAGACGGTTCTCCGTTCGATGGGCTTGGTTCTCTCCCGCGTACTGCCTACACTGCCACCAGCACCGAGTCGCCCATGCCATCTCCTCCCGCTTACGCACCCGCATCCGAGTCCTCATGGTCGTTCTTGCCCGAGCTCTCCCCCGCTGCCTTCGCCAGCGACGCCCCAGAGGATCCCGTCGCGCTCTTCTGGAAAACCGCAACTTCCGCCGACTTCCGCCGGTATCTCGACAACAGCGTCTCGTCGCACCTGCACTCCGCACCTGCCGGCGCGTGTGGCTCGTGGAAGGTTGCCAAGAAGGTCGGAACGATGCACGCGCTGGGACTCGCGCCGCCGAGCTTGAAGTGTCACAAGAAGCGCTTTAGCATGCCCCGCGCTGAAGAAGACTTGTTCATGTGCGAGACACCGGCGATGTCGAGTCTGAGCGATAGGATCATGACCCATCTGGAAGGCGCAAAGCTGGAAGAGGAGTCCTGGATGAAGGCGAGCAGCTTTCTGGACGTGGGTACAAGCCGCAGGCCTGTCTCTTGTATGCTCTGATACATAGAAATCGCGACGACCGTGTATATGTACTTGCAGGAAAACAAGAGCGACTGACAAACCGGGTTCTTCACTATATACCCAACTTATATCGAGCACCGATACCCATGGAAGTTGCAGTCAAACACGATCATTACACCAAAAAGCAAGACACTAAACAAGCTTATAGTACTACGATACACTGGATGGAGACAGATACATATCCAATCACTTCTTGGCCTTAGCTTTCCCCTTTGCCGTGGTTGCCGACTTAGCGGCCGCTTTCTTGGGTGCCTTAATGAGTTTGTCCTTTGAGACATCATCGTCGGAAGCCTCTTCGACCTCCTCGGCAACACCCTCCCCGTCATCATCCACCTAAGTCATGTCTCAGCACAGGATCCGCCGGAATAAGGGCCACTTACATCTAAAGCCTCTTCCAGATCAGGGAGGGGTCCAGCTGCGGCAAGCTTCTTGGGCACCTTGCCTAGGTCTGCGGCCTTGTGGAAGGGGATTGGATGATCCCTCGAGTTGTACCTATATCAAGTGAGCAAGCGGTGACTCAGTCTCCTCGTCGATACGTACTTCTTGGTGAAAGAGGTCTTGGTAGCTGTCGATATTTCCTTGAGCACAAGACTGTCCTTATTCTGATCGACACCAAGCTCCACGATCGTGTCCCAATCCTCCCGAGAGATGAAATAGTCATCCATCCGCTCAATGATGTCGTCCACTGCGCTCTGCACATTCGGGATAGTCGCATCAGTTTAGTCTTGGATCCAACGTGAGCCCATCTGATACGTACCGCGCCCTGTTCTGCAAGAGGTTTCACGAGGTAAGGGAACATCGCAGGGATGTAAGACTGCCGGATCTCAGCCTTGTCTCCAGAGACGTGCAATCGCATGCGCGCCTGGACCTCAGTGAGTTGTCGCGTAAGTTTGGTTTGTTTCGAGTTCTGCCCGAGCCACCTGCGACAACCCTTAGTATGCATGTGTACCAGCGAGACAAGATGAGACGTACTGTGGGAACGACATAGCGTTGGGCCCTCCATATGTCGCGCCCATACCGTAGAGGAACGATGCCGGGCGGACTGTCGAGCAGACAGCATGCAATGGCATCAGCGACCAGTGCTGTTCGGGTCTGCGGCGGCGGATCAGCATTACTCTAAGCAAGAATGACCATCGCCGACGTACCCATGTATCAACGAGTCAACCAAATCGCCATCTGATATGGACGCAGCAGCTTTATCCATGAGTTCCAGGTGTTTTAGAACCTTCTCTGGCCCGTCCAGGTTCTTCACTCTTGCCGGGTGAGTCTTCAAGTAATTCTCCTGCACCACATTGGGCATGATTGACGCAACACAATCAAACAACACCAACCTGGACGAATAGCGGGACGAATGAATGGTCATGGAAGTAGAGCTCCATCTTATCATTGAGAGTTTCTCTTGAAGTTGAGGAAAACATGTACGGCCCGAGCATCTTCTGAATAATGTTGAACGGCGTCATGATCGCATACTTCTCATTCATCTTGACACTACCAGTCGGGATGTCATCGCCTGAACGTCACGCGCATGCCAGATTGCAACTCACAGTGCCTTTCCCTCATCGAAGTCCATCGTATTGTTTTGCAACCTCCATGTAGATAGCATGTTCAACACCTGTCGAATGTCGGACTGTGCGCCCTCAATGAGCTGGTCGATAACGTTGGCCGGTATCTTCATCTTCTCCCTGGAAACGATTAGATTTACTCATGAATATAGTCGCCAATCAAGCTCAAGCGCGCATTCACTTACTTGAATGCGATCGACAATATCCTGGAGCGGACGGATGCAACCTCTGGCCTTACAATAAAGTTAGACGCGATGCTTCGTACGGCGAACTTTGAACTGACTTTCTGAAGGTCAAGTTGAAGGCGACCATGGTCAAAGGCTTGAGTTTCGGAGCACCTCGGTCGTTTGCGATGCATATGATTGGAATCTACTCTCATGTCTCGTGTTAGAAGGCATATCTGCGTACAACAGCACACGAACCTTTGTCTTCCTAATCAAAGCAGCTAGAGCACCTACACCTCCTCGGTCCCCAGCGGACATACCATCTACTTCGTCCATTATAAGGCAGGACTTGTCGGTGATAGTGACACCAGCAGCGTTCGTCAACTGTGATCTTGTGAGTGAGCAAGATAAAGTAGTGGCAGCAACATTCGTAAGACAAACCTGTCCTCCTCCCATCCACCCGTCAAGGGATGTATTTGCGATATTTGTGCTGTTCTGCAAATTGGCTTTGGTCGAGCGTTGTATTATGTGTAGGAAAGGAGCGAGCTGACCTCTACGAGCTTCTTACTCCGAGCGTCACTTGCATTCAACTCAATGGGAGTAAATCCCTCAAGTTTAGCACACAAATGCGCACTCGTGGTCTTACCGATACCCGGCGAGCCGGTGATCATAATTGCTCGGTAGACGTTTATGCCGTCCTTTCCAGGCTTCTTGAAGTTTGCCTTCAGACTCGATGGCCTACATGCTCAGACATCAGCCAACGTGGATATAAGTGCAACGGATGAACAGCAGCTTACCAGTCATGCAGCCACCGCTGCAGCTTCTCGACCTGGCCCTTGTTTCCGCATATCTCCTTCAATGTCTGAGGAGCATACCGGTCTGTCCAGAGTTTGTCCTCCGCGGAGATCTTGGCTGTGCTCCCGCTGGCCACGCTCGCTTTCGCCGCCTTCTTCTCCCGCTTCTCCATCTCCGCTGCAGCAGTTCGGATCGCCTCTTTCTCCTTCTCGAGTTTCTTCTTTGTCTTGTCGTCCAGATTGCGCATATCGGGCACGCGAGTCCCGATCAGATCAAGGAAGCCGTCCTCGTCGATTGTCTTTAAGTTGTTCTTCTTGATCGCAGCAAGTTTGCTGGGGCCTGCGTCCGACCCGACAATGACATATGAAGTCTTCGACGAGGGCTGGCCCGTTACCCGACTGAGAACGCTGTGAGGTCACTAGGCAAAATCACACTTGTACATGCAACGTACCCGCCGTTGCGCTTCGCGAGTTCGATGGCCTCATCACGAGATAGACTGGTCAGCTCGCCGGTGAACACAAACGACAGGCCAGCAAGGCAGTCCGGGGCCACAGGGGTCGGTATTGGCTTCGATCCTGGAGCCACAGGCCCTGCTGCTTTGGCCGCTCTCGCGGCCGCCCAGCTGTGGTCACAATGCATCAGAGACGGACGAAACGAAGGTCGGCAGAACGCACTTGAATTTAGGCTTCGGCTTCTCTTCATCGACCTCCACCGGTTCTTCCTTAGCTACAGCTTTAGCTTTGGTGTTCGTCGATGCCTTGGCCGGTGTCGCCTTCTTCGCAGGAGCAGCCTTCTTGGGAGGTGCCTTCTTGGGGACAGGCTTGCCCTTCGCCTGCCCTTTCTTCGGCAACTCATCAGCTTCATTGTCCTGGTAGTCGTCATCTTCCTCCTCGGAGGTGGATGCAATGAAGTCGTCGTCTTGCTTTCGCTTCTTGGTGGCGGTACTTGTCCGGCGCGCAGCGGGCTCCTTGGCCTTGGGCGTAGGTTTTGATGCCGGAGTACTGGAAGTCGCCTTGGCCTTGGCCGAGGACGATGTGGCTATGGCCTGTTTCTTCCTTGGCGGAGAGGCTTTCGTGTCCCCTTCATCCTCTTCGTCGCTCGATACGACGACCGTCTTCTTGCGCTTAAGAGTAGGGGCGGGGCTAGATGTAACATCCTCGTCCATGGCACGTTCAATTTTCGGCTTCTGAAATATTCTATCAGCAGTGGGTGATAATAGTTGCCAAATGACTCACAGCTTGTTTCGATATAGTCTTCGGTCTAGAAGGGAAGGTGTCAATCGCAAGAACCACACTTAAGAGTTCTTGACCTACGGGACGGAAGGCTTGCTGCTTGACCTACTTATGTTCAGACGGATGCATGATATAGAACTTTGTAGCACTCACTTGACATCGTCTTCGTCACCTATAGACACAGTTATGATAGAACGAAGTCGCGAATACAGGCAACGTACTGATCTCGATGGTTTCTAATTTGAAAGATCCACTTTGTCTCAGCTGTAGACAACATATTGGTCAATATCCAGCACAAGGACAACAGATTTGCCATCGATTCTTCGTATACATCAATGTGCCAGTGCAAGCAAGGGCTATCTGTGGCCTCACCCTATTGGAGGGGTTGCTAGGACGAATGAGCGACTGGATCTGCTGCTCAAGCGATACAAGCGCGGACACAGCCCCCACCATAGAGGGTTGGCTGAGAAACAGTGGGATGAAAACTCACAGAAACATTTGAGCGTTGAGTTGACATGGAACTACCAGCCGACTTGCTACTACCTGCGCCGCCACCAGCAAAGAATCCCCGGATGTCCTTCCCCTGCGGCTTAGCAGAAAGCTTCGTCTTGGTCCCCGCCATTCGTGGTGAGTTGTGGTTAGCAGAGTCCGAAGCGTGAATATATGGTTCGCGTCGAGAATGAGGGCGAGGAGGCGGCGCACGCGAACGCGCTCCGCGCTTGTGACGCGACACGCTCCGTCACGCTGTGACGACGCGTTTGTCACACCTTGAACGGCGACCCTCCACTTCAGAGCATTATTGCGCAAAATCTACCGATGTAGATTCCTGTAGAGGCACAACTTACGCGATTCAAATGCATCCTTGAAGCTCGCGCGAGAGCATCAAACCAGTCGACCAGTACTGAGTAGCCTAACTCGGCCGAGATCCAGGCCCGATACGGTTCACGCACGATTGTATTGATTGCGTTGTCTGAGATTGAACCTGCCTTGTTCAGCTTGTACTAATTGTAAGACAGACTTGAATCTCCGATAGCACTCATCACAACGCGTACATCCGTTTCTGTTTATTGTACTCTGCTCTGTACTTGCATACGGCTTGCATACATACCTTCATTCGCTTGTTCATTCACAGCCATGTCAGTCAAGTTGCCCAGCGCGAGGTATGTATTCATATTTAAGGCACTCTTGAGCCGTGTATTGAAGGTGTTCTTGGACCAGGTTTAAGGCGGTGTATGATAGCTTGCCACCCGACGCGCAACAGACTCTCATTGAGAAACAACTCATACCGCTGCTCAATCATGTCGACCGGGGTCAGTGGAAGAAGGTCCTTGGACAAGCGAGCGACCTCCAGACAATGCACGCCGACATCCCCGTTCTCGATCTCAGGGCGAAGCGGCTAGAGGTCAACGCCTTGCTAGACGAGCTACATCGGGACTCGAAGCGGTCGTTCGTGAAGGAGCGATCTATGAAGAAGGAGCTCATCAGCGAGACGGTGGACAGCCTGACGAACTGGCTGAGCGACATCTGGCGAGTGGTCTACGAACACAACGTCGAGTTCGTGCACGCACACAAGTGCCTCCTGTTCGTCGCGGGAACAATAGACCATATGATCAGCGGGCGAACGAGGTGCGTACGCGAAGCTTGTGTCTGACGGCCGATGACGCGACGTCCGGTGCAGCTGCAAGTGCGCGTTCACCAACCTGTTCGTGAAAGTCACGCTGAAGAACAAAGACGGGAAGCGCGTCAAGTCCTGGGATGTCAACGGCGTGCAGAACATCGTGGAGGTGCTGTTCTTCATCTGGCGAGAGGTCTTCCTGAGCATGCTGGCGACAAACACGAACAAGCAGCTACGGGACATCACGGACATGCTGGAGGAGATCGACGACCTGCTGGGTTGGACGGCATTGGAGCGCATCCTGTATGGCGGGAAGAAGTGTGAGCGGGGCACGCATGCGCGCGCACAAGCAGCTCATGATCAGTCTAGGTCCACACGACATTGATGAAGAGGAGGACGAGGAGGACGAGTTTTTCGATGAGTTCGAGGACGAGGACGACTACACGGAATCGGACTTTGTCGACGATACACTGACTGGGCCACATCCCGCGCGGCACTGGTCGTACCGCATCAGCAACGCCATGCCTCCGCTGCGGAGTCACATACAAGCATATTTGGCGAGCGTGTTCAAGCTAACACCGTCACTCCAGCTCTACCGCGCGCTCACCGCACTGTCTTCCGAGTTCTCCGTCGAGGACACCACACATGAGGAGCTAGGCCGCTACCTGGAGGGCATCGCGACAAGCTCGTCCGACGCGTTCGCGGCCGCGCTCGACATCTGGGCGTTCGAGTGCTTTCCAAACGAGATCGCCACGGCGCTGGAGACGCACTCACATCTGCTCCGCCCACGCGACGCGAGCGCACTGCAGCGCGCCGTAACGGTGCTAGCGCAGCATGAGCCATACAAGCGGCGCGCACTGGAGATCATGGAGAAAGAGATGCTCGACACGGCGCGGGCGCTGCGGAACACGCTTCTGGTCTCGTTCTCGCACCTCGACGCGCCCGCGCACCGGGCGGAGGTGCTGGCGATATCGAAGATGCGGCCCGGGGCGGCGGGGAGGCAGGACCGGATCGAGGCGTGGGTGGACGCGATCTCCACCCCGGGGACGAACGCGCCGAACCCGATGGCGTTCGCGGCGATGATGATGGGCTTGCCACTCGTGCCCGGTATGGACCCGTCGGAGGACGCGGATCCCCTAGGCTACCTCGACCTGGATCCGAACGACCCGGACCTCGAGGACTTACGCGAAGAGTTCAGGCCGAGGCTGAAGCAGCGCTTCGAGGGCTGGGTGGAAACTGCGCCCCTGGTCGTGGGCGGACAGATGCAGCTGGTCAAGGTGTGCAAGGACATTCTGGACATGATGCCGTTTGTCCGTGCGGGCGACATCGTGGACGAGATGGTTGGCAGGTGAGCATGGCCTCTCAGAACACGCGGGTTCACTGCTAACCGTCAGACAGGTTGGCGGACAAGCCGAGCAAGCACCACGTCTGCGATGCGCTCGACGCGCTGATGCAGTTCGTCAAGACGCAGCGAAAGAGGGTCCACAGCATGCGTACGACGACGAAGCATAGAGAAGCCAGAGCCGACGCAAACGCGGCACCCGTCGCTGGGCCTTCGACAATGGTTCCTCCCGTTCCTCCGCCGGCCGGACCGACCCCTCCACTGCCATCTCCTCACACAATTGACCTGTTGCAAGACGTGTTCTCAGGACCGCGCTTCGGCGGTATGGAAGACGTCGACTGATTGCTTGCTCGCTGGTGGTATCGTGCCGTACCGTAACGTTATCTTATTAATCCTTGTAGCTCTAGGACATTCCACTGCCGCTCATTTGCGTTTCACTCCTCCCAGTATCGTACCATACGCAATGCACCCCCTTTCCGCTGGATCGTCGTGTTCTCGTGCACGTCGCTGGAACGTGGCGACTGCCTCAATCGTCTGCGGTGCATCCTGGATCATCCTGCGAAGCGACGAAGGTGGACCCACAAGTGTCAACAGTGCCGACGTTGCACCATATATGTAAGTGATGTATCTCCGGCTTCGAAAGCTCATCAAGCGTCATCGAGTTTACCATGGAAGGTATTCACGATGCCGTAGGAGACCATCTGGGCTTCGCAGCCGTTTTTTCTTCTGACGTGGGCGTTGGTCGTATAAATCTGGGGTATTGAGATCCAGCGCTGTAGTGGGTTTGTTCTCCGTGCGGATCGTGTCTGAGGGCAGTCATCGCACGTGGCACCCCCTGAGGACGCAATCAATATTGAACAGTATGATCGTACAGTCCTGGCAGGCTGCTGGCCCATAAAGGCCGACTAGGGCATGTCGCTGTCAAGGCCGCGCGCGCCCTTGTACTGTCGGACACAGTTTCTGCACACGGAGGCAAGGACGAAGCCTATTTCACGGATGATTTCACGCGAACGAGAAGCGAGAAGCACGAGCCCGCAAGGTGGCCCAGGTGGTTGGTTGCCTTGAACGATGCACGAGGCAGGGAGCACGCTCTGCGGTCCCGATATTCGCGCCCAAGTGTCATTTATCCCGCCCAAAATGGCAGCAGCAAACCCTCAGAAATCCACATAGGGCAACACCGAGTGGCCGCGGCATCATCTCAGCCTCCTCGCATCATCCTTCTTCGACGATCTGTGGACACTCAACGCGAAAACATGAGGAGGCCTGCCGGCCACTGCATTACAGGCTGGGCTCCATGCGAGCCTCATGCGTTCGTGACTATGAACAATTTTGGAGTGCTCTATTGGCCAGAGCCCGCTAGCGCTGTCATCTGTCAATGTGTGTGGTGGTTCAAAACTGCGCATGGTCACCAACCCTCGGCAGGTATACTGTGCCGTTTCGACCATAGGTTCGCGGGATGTGACCTGTGACCAACGAACTAGCGAAATCCCTAGTTCACAGGGCCTGGTGACCTGTGACCACAGAACTTGGATAGTCCACCGCAGGCGGCGGCACAGCGGACAAATTGAAATCGCCTTGTAAGTTGTCCGAAGCCCTAACATTGTGACTTACGCGGTAAAAGTGTGTAGATATCTAGATAACCGAACAAAATGTATTTTACTGTCCGGAACATTGGAAGCCAGCCAATCAGAAGCCACGCCTGTCAATGTTCCCCTGCCTAACATATGCCATTTCCGATAACCTAGATAATCTACACGCTCTTGCGGCATAAGTCACCAATGTTAGGACTCCGAACAAGCCGGGTTTTCCGCTGTGCGGGTGACAGCCTTTGAAGCTTTGCCAGCGGCACTGCGTCGCAGGCCTGAAACTGCATTCGTATACCTGTGACCGCCTACAGGAATCCTCAGTTCGGACCCCTGTGACCTGTGACCGAACCTATGGTCGAAACGGTACAGGATAGAACACAAGGTTTCGCAGCACGCGGCTTGTGGGCCGCCCATCGACGGACATGACCGCAGGAACGAGGACAGGCAGCCGGACCGAAGCTCATGCTGGCGGTAATCTGCCTCGAGGCAGCCATGAACCGTGACCTTCCATACACGGCCATCCACCTCGTTGTGCGCAAGGCGATGTTCCTGTCATTGCAGACCCGCCGCCACGTTGGAAACGCGAGTACAATGATTCACCTCTGAAGACATACTCTTATCCGCCAGCCGAGTGCGTCTTTCCCTGCGATCCTCTCTTCCACCTCTATCACCCAGTCTGAGCCGACCCACGTTATGTCTAGTCAATCACCGCAGCGCAACAGAAAGCCGATGATGCTTCCGGGCACACAGGGTATGTCGCGTCTCTTCGAAAGCCTTCCTTGCGCCCCGTCACCTCCCACGTTAAAGGTCCAGCGTGATTGCGATGATTATTGTTGTCCCGGTGCTTGCGGTGGCTCGGCTGGTAATTGTCAACGTCGTCGCTCTTTCTGCTACGAAGATCCGTGATGGCCTCTCTTTACGTCTTATAGGCTAGCGGACGGGCCATTCATTGGGGCGGATATGTCCTTTCACGCTTCTTACACCGCCGTAAATTTGATCCCGCGAACGCTCATTTGAATCCGTGATCATATTTAGGTCCGATTCAGGGGATCGCGCCCCGGGAGTCGACTCCCTCTCCTTCCTTTCGCGAGAGGCAGCGTGCGACGAAGACACATTCGTTGCCGATTGTGCCATCCCTGAACCAGTTACAGGAGCGGCAATCCGTATATCCTCAAGGCCAACAACCGAGTCCGACGACTTCCACCGGCTCTCATCCGTCTCGCAGGTCGCCGCCACCTTCACGAATCTCACCTGTCGCTGCGAAGATGTCGGTGGCGGCGCACGCACGTGAACATACCCCAGAGGGTGCGCCTTCTCCGCCTCTGCAGTCGCATCCTCCGCTGGTGTTGCCTCCTCATCTCATCCCTCTCCCGCCGCCCGGTCCTGTTCATAGCCAGAGTCTCCCCTCCGTTCCGCAGGCGCAGAACCCCCACCATCCCCGGCCTATCAACCGCATCCCAGCACCGAACTTCCTCTCTCAGTTTGGCAATGACACATGGCAAATGACCCCGGAGTTCATGGCCGAGATTGAGCGGGCGGACCTGCAGCAAGCCGCTGCTGGCCAGGCAGGGTTCGCCTACGCCGGAGGAGCAGCCTCCGGTGGACTGACCCAGCTCATGCAGCCAGCAAAGGATCCCGCCGTCGAACGTGTGCGCGCTGGCGATCGGTCCAGCCCGAAAGACCAGGATGCTACCGCCGCGAAGCGCCAGTCGCGAGACAAGGACAGCATGAACGCGCGCGACAGTCCGAAGACACGAGATCGCTCGCAGACGGTGTCGTCGATCTCCTCGATGGAAGGCCACGCTACGGCCGCTCGCACGCCCGAGTACCGCGGATCGCCACAGTTCCAGACGCCGATGGCCTCACCTGGAGAACGCACCGCGGCCTATACGCAGTACGTCCCGGAGGGCTACCGTGACCAAGGGGGCAATACACAAGCACAGGGTCCCACGGCCCCCACTCGGAAGCCAGTGCCTTTCGTAGGCCCTGCCGAGGCTGCTCCGACGCGCTTAACACCGCCTGCCAGCTCCAAACTTGCATCGAGCCACACCCCGCCCTTACAGGCCATGGCCTCTCGTCCGTCGGAGCGTTCGCTGCCCTTGCAGGAGGAGCCAGAGGAGGAGGTCACGCACTTCGTCGATCGTGAGCCAGAGTATGAGGACCTCCATCGAGGCTCACCCATCCCATCGTCAGACGTGTACCCCGAAGGACGCTACGAGCCCCGTCGCGAGCACGCGCGGAACGGCAGTCGCGGTAGCGACGAGGAGGAGGATGACGTGACGTTGAATGACGAGGACGACGAGCACCAGATGCAGGGGAAGGACGGTGAGGACTCGGGTTCCGGGTCGGGGTTTACTCCTCGCTCGCCGTCAGTAGCGTTGCCAGATCGCTCTCGGGATGCTCCCTACCCCAGCCCCACATCGCAGTACAGCACGGCGACCGCTCAGTATCAGGCGAGCCCGAGCGCGGACTACCAGAAGACGATTCGCGCGAAGCACCGATCTGGCCCGACCGACCAGCTGGGCATGCGGAGCTTCGACCCTGCCATGTTCGAGAGCACGGTGAACACACTCAGAAGCAACGACAGAGACTCGCCTGCTGGCAGTCAGCGGCAATCCTCTCGTCCGCCTCAGCCACCTCCTCAGCAACAACAACAACAGCAGCAGTCCATGGCTCAGGCTCAACAGGCTCCGGCACGGCTGGATCCGTCAAGACTGCAAGCAGATGCTGCCCGCCACGCTGTGCTGGGGCAGTTGACGGAGCAGCAATTGGCCCAGGCCGGCATATACCATCCTCACTTCCCGCACCCCGAAGAACTGCAGAGCATGCTGGAGGATCCGACATCGTCTTACATCCGCAGCTTCTTGCGGACTCCCGGCGCTCGCCCGAACGCTCCCATTCCTCCAACGCCCCAATCGAACACCGCCGCGCCATCGCCGTCGCCTCTTCTCTCCGCCATGCAAAGCGACGCCGAGCCCCGGCAAATCGGCTCGCCGTACCCGTACCCCTTCACGCACATACGCCGCTCGACCATGCCCGCTATGCAGCAGGCCCCATCGTCGACGCCTGACATGAACAACGTTGACTACGTTCGCGAGCAGATGGCCCTACAGATGCAAATATACGCGCTGAACAATGGCTATCAGCAAGCGTCTGAGGCCTCGACGTTCTCTCCGCCGGGCACGCCATTCCCTGGCCCAGGCTACAACCCGCTAGCGTTCGTGCCTCTGATGGGTGTGCAAGGCCTTGGGCAGGCAGGTGCGCGGGCGTCCGTGATGAGCATGCGCTCGAGCCCCAGCCATGAACCGGTGAGCTTGCCGCCTCCGCCGGCGATGCGGGGCCGGGGCTTACGCAGGCGTGACCAAGCCCCGAACTTGCGCGCACCTCCGCCCGGTGCCCGACCTGTCCGGCGAGTGAAGCCCCCGCCTCGCGTGGAGAGCACGCAGCCGCGCGAAACGAGCCCGGAGTTATCGTCTGAAGGCTCAGGCGAGGAGACGGCCGGCGAGGAGAAGTTCGTAGATCATTACATCGCGGAGGCTAGCGCACAGTCGACCACGAGCGCTGTTCCTTGGACTAACGGGAACGGCACCGAGCACGCCGAGGCTGAGGAGGGTGAGTGGGTAGACGAGGAAGAGGAGGGTGAGGAAGAGGATCTGCTCGAGTTGGAGTACCACCCGACGTATGTGAGCAGTCCGCAGAGACGGCGGCGCAGATGGGAGACACGCTGGGACGCACTTATTCAGGCAGTACGTTGGATCCTTCGATTCACTCTGTCGTCAAGCTCACTCTGCTTTCACAGTTCCAGTCCCTCGACAGAGAGACAGATGCTACGCTCGTCATGCTCGCATCCCCATCTCACTCGACAAAACTGCACGCACTGACGTCGCGCTCGATCCGACGCGACCCTGCGTTATACAACTCGCCCAAGCTCTCAAATATTCGCTCCTCGTTCCATCACCTCTCCGCCCAACGGCGTAACGCGCGCTCGCAGCGAGTGTCGCTCGTCGAAAGGCTTCACCTCTCCGCCCGGTCCGCCGCATCCGCCGACGGCTCGCCCATCAGCGCCGAGTCGCGCGAGGCCGATTTGCGTGGGGCTCTGGAGGCTGCGTTAGGCAGCCTCAGCGAGATGGGCAAAATATACGAGGAGCGGGAAGTACGCTGGCGGGACGAGATGAAGCAGCTCACCGAGGACCGAGATCGCATCGAGCTGCTGCTGAAACAAACACTTGGACCTCTGATAATGAACGGTAACGTCAATGGGAACGGGCGGGTATGACTGCTAATGAGGCTGAAGGAAAAGGGACGAAAAAAGAAAAATCTTGCGAGACTTACACGACCGTTCACGCAGAATGTACGACAGCATCGCCAGGTTCGATGTAGACCACGACTTTGTACACGTAGACAGAACTATGAACTTATGGAATATATCACAAGCTTATAAGTAGCTTTACCAAAGGATGATGTCCATCTCAATGTGTAGATCTGTGTAGCTGGCGCGACGTCTACCGTGGACTCAGCTGTGATACTGATTTCAAGTGTGAGCAGGCTCGCGCTTCATCTCAGCTGCTCGCTTAGCCTATAGTCCGTTGCGTCCTCGAATCTGTGTCGCAGTCATGAGTACAACTTGAACTTCACAGCATAACTGCAGTGATGGCTGCTCCTATACTCGCAGATACCAGCCACCGGGCGGTCCACCTGTTTACCCACTCTCCTGAGCGGACACAGACGAAGATTTGTTCAGTGAGATGGGGGCGGTCTGTACAGCTGCACCGTTCGCGGGAAGCGTTCCTTCGTAAAAGCCGAGTGTACTGGTCGCGTTGGTCACGTTGCCCGACCCGCCGCACGCACCGACGAAATCACCGTACAGCGCCTCCCTCTGGCTCACGAACGACACGAAGCTGTCCAAGGAACACGAATCCTCCGGCCCATCGGTGCATCCTGGCAGCGGTATCTGCGCGGCATTAACGAGTACCCGGACGAAATCGGTGTTACTGCTGTTCCCGGTCGCGGTTGCATTGCATTGGAGGCGCTCGAGCCCGATGTTTGCGAGGAAGGGCAAGATGTTGGAGGTGCGCCATGCCCGGTCGTAGTTGATCGAGTCGGCCGGCATACTTGCGTTCGTCGTGTTGAACAACCCGAGATTGGTGACAATGAAGGGTGGCTCTGCCAATCAATCAAATTAGGGCTGCACGCATCGTTTTCGCAGATGTCAGATACGAACCTTCACGGTGTGTGAAGCTTATAAACAATTGCTGATCACCAGCGCTCGAGTTCGTGGCCGAAGTGTTCGCGCTCCCAGAGAGCAGGCGAGTCGACGCGGAGACCCAAGGCATGCCGAGCACGGGCGCGAGCTCGTTGCCATACCCAAGCGAACGGTGGTACATCAAGTCGTTCGCGTACTCGTAGCCGAGCCACTCGCTCTCGCTGAAGAGGTCCAAGTTGCAGAACCCGGAGAGGGTCATGTTTCGGATGACGGTGTCGTAGCCACAAAGCGATTGAGCGGCAAACACGTCGCTCGCAGTCCAGTTGAATGAGGAGCTGACGAGTCCATTGAGTCGCGCGGCGATCGTTGGTGCGTAGGTGTTGATGAAGGTCATCTTCTCGACTGATCCTCTGTTAGCGTCGAAAGCCTCGCAAGATTGCTGTCAGGTGCGTCAGGTCAGAGATTGTAGTGAACTAGGAGTAGCAAAAGACAAACATGCGGAGTCAATGTATTCGCAAACTGGCTCTCGCCCTGATCCACAATGACAAGGGTTGCTTTATCCATGGATGCATTGAAACCCTGGATAAATGCCTTGGACGTCTTCTGAATAACGGCGTCAGCCGTGTAAACATACTGCTGTTACATATGGCGCAAACCTGATCACGCGTTGCCGATGCGCTCCAAAACTTCCAGGAATCCTCGTTCTTGAACCCAAGGATACTGTTATACCTCTGAGCGAAGATTGCCCCAAGAGCGGCGGCATCCTGCTTGCCAGTCTTGGTCACCTTTTCGATCTCTTTATCAGGATCGTCAATCGGACTTGTCCAATTGGTGAGGAAAGACAACGATGAGTCGTCCGAGAACGCATGTCTGTCAGAGAAGTTCCCCAGCTTGTAAAGAAAGGGTGCGATGGTATGCTCGTATTCGTACTACGGAAGCTGCTCAGCAATTGTCAGCAGCATGAGATTGGCGGCAACGAACGTCATTCGCGTAGATGTCTGAATGCCGAACGAGATATGTTGCGTGCATTACAGAACACCCAACCGGCAGCGCTGCGGTTAGTCCCACCCCAGGTGAGTTGAAGTATGGCGAGTTTCCGGACAAGTCTGTAAGCCACCAGTCAGTCCAGATGCATCAGAACTCAATTGGCCGTGCCTACGCTGCAAGACGTCAAAAGTATCATTGCCAATCACTTCTCGAGGTTGATGTGCTGGGTGGGCATCCTTGACGAACTCGGCGCGTACCTCCAGCTCGCTCCGCGGGAGCCCGACTGCAAAGGGGAGCCCTGTGAACAGCGCGAGCAACACCTTCATCATGGTTGTAGTCAACGCGGCGTTCACGGGTCGTCAGCCTCGCTAAGGCCAGCTCGCGTCGTGCTTTTGCTATGCAAGCAGGCGGCTGGCCAGACCGTCATGCCAAGGTCGGCCAAGCTGTTACCCCACGCGGTCGGCGGGGCGAATGCTGCATGCTCAGTCCGAAGCATATTAGTTGGTCGTCAAAGCCGAACAGCGGCCAAACGAATGTGTTGCAGAACTTCCCTCTGGCGTCGGCATTTGCAGTGTAACTCTGGAGACATCGTTGCCAGTCCAGCCTGAGTGTCTCGCGCAGTGTGCTGCCGCAATGGTGATCAACCGGAGTCAAATATACGGTCTGGCAGTGCTGCCCACTAGTAGGGCATCATTAGTGGCAATGGCAGCTTCCTGCGATGCTACCAAGATGCTACATAACGATAGTCCGGGTGAGTATGAACGCGTTGCGGCTTGCGCCTACATACTAACTACGCCGTGCAGACTGGAGGAGGAGGAGGAGGGTGGGTCCATTTGTGACAGATTTACGCACAGAAATTTAGCGGTTCCCGCTGACGCCGCGGCGGACTGCAGATCATATCATCATGAGCGTCTCAGTGACCCTCTCCTGTAATCACATCCACTGTGGCTGTCCACAGGCCGTCGGCCCCTCATGATGCTTTTGTTGTTGCAACGGCCGACCTCCACTGGCATATGTCTTGGGGCCCCTTCGGGCCTTCAGTCTCTTCGCTCGACGACTCGGAGGAGGTTCACATTCTTGACTCATTTCCTCTGTCAAGGTCTTAAGCTTCCGAGTCCTTCCGCGCTGACAACTACCTATCGCGCTTGCGTTGGGTCGCTACTATTACTAGTAGACTCGCTACCAGGTTGGTCTCCTACGTATGCTTCTCTGGTAATTGGATCTGAATAGGATTGAACTTCTTCCGATCCACGCGTTGTAGCGTCTTACCTTGGCCCTATCCTCCCAAGGCTCTGTCGAATCATGCCTGTCAATTCAGAACCTGTAGTCCCTGCCGAACTCTGCGATACCGTCATCGACCATCTTCACGATGATCCTCGCACCCTCGCAGCGTGCGCGCTCGTCTGTCGAGCATGGGTCCCCTCTTCACGGATGCACCAATTTCACACCGTCATCCTCCACCGGTTCCCCGGCTGGCGAGGCCGACGACTCTCGCTCATTTCCGACCCGTCATCGACGGTCCTCCCATACATACGTCGCCTTGCACTTGGAGAAGGCAGACGGCGCGGATCTGAGCCATATTGGCTTGACGAAGCGTTGCTCGAGATTCGCGTCGATGATCTAGTAGCACTAGAGTATCTAGAGCTCATCGACCTCAATTGGGAAATGCTCTCGTTGGAGTCGGTCAGACGCCTCCATATGCTATGCCATCGACCTCAAAGTGTGGCTGTGCGGCTCTCTTTCATTCCCAGTCTCTGCTCCCTGCTCGACCTACTCCAAGCATGCGACTCAGCCCACAAGTTCGTCGCCGACGGAAACGACGATGTACATGAGCTCGCAGCCATGCCTGCTTCGTTGACCATGCCACAACACCTACACACCCTGGAAGTCAACGGCTTCATGGCCCATTTCACTCATGCCCTCTGCCGCCTTGCACCGAAGCATGACAACATCCGTACGGTCTACATTCCATCTATCTTCATCGGACAGGCTGCCGGGATCGCCCGCTTCATGCAATGGTGTGGCTCAGCCGTCGAGGAGATCAGTCTAGACTTCCCGGATCCACGCACCAGGCGGGATGATTCCGAGCTCCAGGAAGGTAGAGGCTGCGTCTCATAGACAAGCTCTCCCACTGACAATCTTACTAGCTCCATTCTGCGACGCCGGAGGATTGAAGGACAACACATCGCTCCGCGTCATCAACCTCATTGGTGCTCCCTCAGGCCTGCTGTCAATTCTCAGGCAGGTCAGCTCCGAGGTCGTTGAGCAGGTCAGCATCAACACCGCTCCTGGCGCCCTGAGCGACCTCGATTTCGACGGGCTCGCTGCCCTCTTCTCAAGAGGCGTCTTCGCATCGGCGAAGCTCCGCATACTTGGCTCGGACATACCCGTGCAGCCCCTGATAGAGATGCGGGACGAGGTGTACGATAAGCTGAGTGCTCTGCGGGAGCAGGGGCGACTCGTATTCGAGCGGGCTGGTGGGTATGCCATGGACCCCTCTACGCCTCCCGTTAATGAGGCGAAGTGGGGTCCTCCATTTGTCGTGAACGATATGCTATTGGACCATTATCACCCAGGCAGCTCGACGTCCTAGAACGTTGGTAAGCCTGGGGTAGAATTCCATGCATCCCAAAACTAAACACATTGTCAGTGTATTGATGATGAGGCCACGAATTTATAATTTATTGTAACATGCGCGACCAGGCCTATTGTACAGGCTTATGTCGTAAACCCCTGCGCGCGTTGACGGTCTGATGGCGCTGAACTGCCTTGAGCTCTTCAATAAAAGCTGTCGCTGAGAATGTGGAGCGCCTTATGTTATGGTCACGGTTTCAATCCGGTGAGTGAAGCACCAACCTTCTGTCCAAACTGCTGCTGCCTGCAGGCTTGTCGATCCATGAGAACGTCGGTCGTATATATATAGCGCCCTCGACTTGCAGTTGGCTAACAGGCTGTCAAGGGCCAGAATCCTGCTGGTTTCACGGCGACGCCACCGAACTTAGCCATTCTGGAGGGCGAGTCCTTCATGTCGAGCGTCGTGGCCACAAGTAAGTACAACATACCTATGCACAATTTGGATTACCGATATGTATCCAAGGAAAGCGAGTGAAACCGCCTGACGGAGGTGCGGGCCCAGTGTCAAGAAAATACCTCCGAGTTGACATTAGGTCTTCAAGGATCCGCGACGCTTGCGAACTGGGCAAAAGCTGTGCGTGGTTGAAAGGTTAGTGTCCCACTGGCACTTCCTTCTTTGACGGTGCTCCGACTCCGAGAGGGTTTCGGAAACGCCGCCGGTGGTCGGGATCTCGTCACGACAATTCGCGATAACAACCTCACCAGGGAGCCTTCGCGGCTGCTTCCAGTTGTGAGGCAGGCGAGTCCGAGGTCGTGGAACGCGTCGGCATCGACACCGCCTCCTGGGCCTTCGACGCTCTCGCGTCGGCAAGACTACGCGTACGACCCTCAGATATCGACGTGCTGTCGATAGGAAGGAAGAAGTTGAGTATTGATCTTCAGGAGCAGGAACGGCTCGGATTTGAGCGTACTGGCGGATATCCGATGAATTGGGACCCTCTTTTGACGAGGCGAAGTCGATTGGTACCCTGCTTACTCATCCACGCTGGAACATCGGTGAGATCATGCCATGATCTCAACGATGTCCCAATCTAGGCCAGCGCTGTGCAGAACAATCGCTTCGAGTAGGCTGGATCCTGCTCTAGGACTGGTTGCAGCGACTCACCGCATGCAGTGTGGATACGGTCGCATAGTGAAACCTGAGTATGCGGGATATCAGAGCCTCACGTCCTTGCGACAGACGACTCGGAGTGCAATCACGATGGTATGATGATGAGAGGAGATGTTCTAGTAGAAGGCGGCTGCTGCACTTTCAGGGAGACATGTCCTCTCGTGAACACTGCACATTCGCTGTGGTTGCAACCCTGTGACCTGTTGGACTTGCTTTCACCATACTCACTGCAGAGCTTTAAACGACGGTATCAGCCACTGAAACCACAATGAGTATGAGTAGGCGGAATACAACTAACGCGGCGAGTCCTCGATCCGCGAACTTGTCGACGTTGGGTCAAACACCAGAACATGAATGCCGTGTTGCTCGCCGGCGACGAGATCCCGGGCAACAATTCCGCGATCATTGATACTTATCGGAACCACCTTGATTGCTGGCGATGCCAGTGACCTGCCCAACTTGAGCGTCCATTGTTCGTCCTTGCGAGTCCTCCGATCCGACGCAGAGGCCAGGCCAGTGGCCGTCTAGTGCATTCTTGATACACCCGCGCCCCAAACGATGTGGCACAGTTGTTCCCTTGCTCAAGCGTCTTCTCGGGATACGGGCGTGCAATCAGTAGTGTAAGCGACCTGGGCAAGTACCGAGGAAATGGCAAATACGATAGGATTGCCAACGGCCGTATGCACGAATGGAGAATCGTGGCACCTAGAACAACACACTGCGAGACAATTGCCATTGGTAGTAGTATGACTTCGACGGTCTCCAAACGGTGCTGATTGCGTACCAGTGCAATTTGCATGATGAAGACCAAATGAAGACACTCAGGTTGCCACTACAAGTTGCGCCGTCCCTGTTCAACAATCGTTTGAGCCACAGACGGCTGGATGGTCTGACGTAGAGCTTTCCAGCAGTACATACAAGGATTACTTCAATGTGCTTGGTTTGTGAGGGGACCACGCCCGGGTCTCATGTCCGAATATCCGAGTCGAGACTACTTGCGTCCCAGAGGCCGGTATTGATGGAGGCGTTGTCACTGTCAGATGTTGACATGAAACTCTCACACAAATGTGCGGTAAGCTTCGCAAGTGGTTTCTGTCACCGTTGGCAATGTGAACGGCATCGCGGTATGCACTCGCAAACAGCCAAGAAAATGGGAGTTGCAATGAGCAAGACAACCTGAGAATGAGGAAGATGAACGCCAGGGCGAAAGGCAGAGTCGACAACAAGCGCATCAAATTGACCGCTGGCCGAGCGACCCGGTCTGGCCGTCTTTGGCAGTCCATCAAATGTTTATGGAAACCAAAAGTGAGCAGCCTCGTTATCTGTCACGGACGTGACAGATCGTGATTCCGATCTCCCATATCGTGATCTGGCACCTTCCTTATCGGGTATGCGGTCTTGCACGCATGAGGTGCAACGCAGGCGAGCCCTCTTTTCTTGCTCCTTCCGTACATATTCAATGCAAAATGACCACTTCAGTTGTCTGGATATGCTGTTCGGGGCTAGGAGGGTTGTCAGCTCTGCCAAAAACGCGTTTTCGGCGGGTTCGAGATTAGGCGCCCGTGCGGATGTTCATGCAGGCGCTTGCTCTCCAAGGCTCGCGCGCGGCATAAGATGTCTGTTGCGGTGCTCGCGCTGGTGTACGTGTAGGCTCGGGACTACATATGTTGTAGCTGAAGGTAAAGAGCCTTCGCCACGAAGCCTGCGTGACTTCCAGATCTCTGTTTTGGTATCCACTGAATAAATTTGCTCTAATGACTTCGAGCCTTCAAGACGTTCAACTAGTAACATCATAGTACACATGATGTAAGTACAAGGGAGTGCACGGGACAGTCTACGATTGGCGATGTATAAGCCGTGGACAGGGTAGGTGAGAACCGTGAGGTCCGTGCGGGAAGGTGACAATGAAATATTCTGAATATGTACAGTGAGGCTTCCTACAACAACTCGGACGGTAAGCTACATTAACTGCGAGGTGTTCGACATAAAGTCCCACCGCGGTAACTGCGAGGTGTTCGACATAAAGTCCACCGCGGTAACGGCGCGGTTTGACTCGAGATGAAGAAGTAGTGCGGGTGTAAAAGTGCGAGTGCCGAGAAAATCAAACTTGATCATGATTCTTGACTCGGAATGAGCACACCACTCTGCAAAGATGAAGTCGAGTGGAACCACGAGCCTGAGAATAGGAGCAGGACATGTTCACGGGTGCACCGTGCACTACTCGCTGGTAAGTACATACGATCGCACAAGCGCGCAGAGTCGCGGGAATCAATGGCTCGAATAGTGAGGCTCAGGCTGGCGATGCGAGTGAACAAAACTATTTGAACGGGCAAGGTCGGCTCGGGCGGTCGTAGTGGCTACGGTCGCGCGGAACGAGCAAGAACGGGCTCGGAATAGACCCAAGTACTGGTGTTGGAAACACGAAAAGCTACGGTACAGGCTAGCGCAATGGCCGCAATCTACGTGCTGACATAAGCATGGGGTGGGCGCGCCCTTTAAGTTACAAAAACTCGAAGTATGGATATGGTTCATCTGGAGAGAAGGGCTGTTTCAGGTAATGCACTCAGGCTGTCACAGGTGGGTTGCGAGCATGATTAACTCGAGAGCTTCCGAGAGCAAGGAACATGAAACTCTGTATATGGAACTACTAGTAGTAACCACTGACATAATTCAGAACCGGTATTGCACATCGGAGTGGGTTGCCTGTGAACATAGCAAGCTAATAGCATACCTAAATGTACCTGAGTTATCTGTGACTGTTCCGGCTTTGTAATGCACTCAGGCTCAGGCTCGCCCTCCGGCGTAATCCACTCCTAGTCAGTAATCATACCAGGCTGTCGGCTAGCAGAATGATAGCTCCTGTTCACTGCCACTACTTCGGATGGCCGCCATACTAAACGCTGCACTGATTCCACTACTAATATATAAGTACCTAGCAGTGACTACTGACTCGTAATAGCAGTGTTATCAGTCAAGCTTCAGTCTTCAAAAGTCAAGGGTTGGCATACCTATCTGCATTCTAGTCTGTTCCTCCGGCTAAATGCTGCATAACATCGCAGTCCTGGGGCAGGCTCTGACGTGCGCCTGCATGTCGCGCGAGCCTTGGAGAGCAAGCGCCTGCATGAACATCCGCACGGGCGCCTAATCTCGAACCCGCCGAAAACGCGTTTTTGGCAGAGCTGACAACCCTCCTAGCCCCGAACAGCATATCCAGACAACTGAAGTGGTCATTTTGCATTGAATATGTACGGAAGGAGCAAGAAAAGAGGGCTCGCCTGCGTTGCACCTCATGCGTGCAAGACCGCATACCCGATAGGGAAGGTGCCAGATCACGATATGGGAGATCGGAATCACGATCTGTCACGTCCGTGACAGATAACGAGGCTGCTCACTTTTGGTTTCCATAAATGTTCGATGCGCCCTAGCGATCATATCAAGGCTGTGCGTTCTGCCGTCAGGCCGTGCGGTGTCAAGTAGAGGGGCGGGACGTGTTTCGCAGCGAGGCATTCCTCTTCGTCTCTTCCTCTTCATTCGCCTTTGCCTCTTTTTCTTACAGATTTTCTACATTTTATCGTAATGGCCCAACAGTTCGACAGTCGTCTTGACATGCGGGTACCGGGTGCCCATGCTCGTCGCGGAGCAAAATTCGCGCGCTCACTGAGCGCATCACCCACGTCGGGGACGGTGGGCGTCGAGACGTCGGTTCCCAGCATCACCGCTCGCTCGCACGGGGACGAGCTCACAAAGGGGGAGAAGGCGGGTGTGGTCGTGTGTGTAATTCTATTCTTTGCCATCCTCGGTGAGTACTTTCGACGTGCTTCTTGATAGACAACCTGAGATGGATCGTC